TTTTTTTTTTTTTTTTTTTTTTTTTTTTTTACTTGTCTGACGATGAAAGGATAAAGAAACCAATCGTCTTTATTTTATTCTATATATTTTATTCTATATATTTTATTCTATATATTTTATTTTTGCTTTTTTGGAGAAAGTTGGCTCTCGTTAGTGCAGTGTCTGCATTTTGTGGGCTGTGGGCTGTCCTGTTATCAATATCCCCTTTCCCTGTTTCTGTCGTTTTGGTGCTCACTTTTATTAAAGAGGCATTGAGGACTTAGTGTGGATGATTCTTTGTCTAATACACCAGCCAATTATCAACGTCGTAAAAAAAAAAAATATTTAGAGGACAAGACTTGTCGCATTTGGGACCTGAGAACAGACAGGGTCCATAAAGCCCTGAAAGGGTTCGACTCTACTGTATCATCGATCTCGTTTACCCCTGCAGACGACCACACCGTTTTTGTTGCCTCCAGTAACAAAGTCTACTCTTTCGATTTAAGAATGGAGTCACTCCTCCTTGACACTGCTCTCGCCATCAGAGTTTATGAAGGAGCAGAGGATGAAATCAATCAGGTATATATATTATGCCATCACGCTTATTTATAACTCTTCATTAACATCTTTCAGCTATTAAGGTTGGCTCTTATAATCAACCTCCAAATTCCTTAGATCCAAGTAAACCACAGGGCAAGATATTTGATAGCATGCGATGATGCTGGAGATGTGCGAATCCTTGATCTTAAAACACATGAGTGGATGCGTCATACCCGGCGTGTGCATGATAATGTAGTGTATTTCTTTTTCTTTTCTTTCTTTCTTTTTTTTTTTTTTTTTTTTTATTGACAACTTTAACTGGATAACTTTTTATTTATCATTGTGCTTGTTCGCGTCGTATAGATTGCTATGACAGCTCAGTTTGTTGCAAATAAGGATTTACAAGGTACGTCACATGAACCTTGGGCAAATTTTTTTTTTTTTCTTATTTCCCATGTCATTTCTTCACCGCTTTGTTAAAACTATTTTTCTCTACAGCATTTTCTGGGGGTATGGACAAACTGATAGTCGCTTGGGACTTTTACAAAGGCCGTGCTATACAAATTTTTGATACTGGTAAACAAAGCTAAAAAAAAAAAAAAAAAAAAAAAAAGACATTGAGTTGTGAACTGTTCTAAGTAAATGGCATTTATTCATTATTCACTGAACTCACTTTGGTCCAATATCTCTAATGATCTGAATTGTATCCCAATAACAAAATATCTAGACCCTCAACCAGATCCAAGCGCGACGCATACCAAGCAACTCTTTAACCCGCCATTCGTACACTCCATCGCAGCACATCCTTCAGGAACACGTATAGCCGTTGGCTTAGGAGATGGATCTATCCAATTCTTGCATACTCCTACTGACCTCCCAACCTCTATGGAGACAGAGCCTGATCCAAATTCACAGGCTGTTGGAAGCAGTAACAGCAGCAGCATTGGTACATCCAAGAAGACCAAGAACAAGAGCAAGAAAGGGACGAGCAGTAGCAGTGGCAGTAATGGGGAGAAGAAGATGAATTGGTTGATGGGAGGTCGTTTGTCACATGCCCATTCAAGTCCTATCGCTTCCATGTAAGCCAGATAAAATAAAGAAAATAAAAAAAAAAAAAAAAAAAAAAAAGACAAATGTAGTATACTAACAACGAGCTGTTTTCCGAATTCTTCCTTTCCTCGCCATTTCTGGATATAAAAGAGAGTATGCTGGATTCAATCCAAACTGGTTAGTAACATCCTCCAACACCGGCTCGATCGCCATCTGGGATGATCAAGCGTCCAGATTCAAGACAGTTCAACAGCTAGAGCAACAAAGAAATATTCTGCCGAACAAAGAGTCTGCGGCAACGGCTGCAGCATCTCACAGGGCTCTTCAGCCCTTGCAAGAATTTTCGACCAGGGATGTCTTTGAACGAGTAAACTGTATATTGACCTATAAGTCACAACGAGATGTTGATGTTGATGGTGGTGATGGCGACATCACCATCCCACAAAAGATGTTGTTTGTGGCGGGCACGCATCCTAGAGTTGGCGACAAGAAATTGCAGGGCCGTATCGCAGTCTACCATCTATAAGGTTGCATATCCGTCCGTCAAATGGTTTCTTTGCATGTGCAAAACAATGATATGCATGAAATAAATAAATTCTGTCCTTGCAGGAGATCAATCTCTGATCAATATGTCCAGTAGGTAATGCGTGTGGAAATCTATGCATGTGCCATAGCTTGAATCAGCTACCACCTTTCCCCTCTCTTAGCACGAAAGCCAAGGCGGGAGATGGATATTTTACAAGTAAAACAAGTCTTCTCCGCCAAATCATGGATAGGGGGGGTTCGGACTAAGAGCTATGAATATGAAGTGTGCATAAAAGGTCAAGATGGATTACCTCCGAGAACACTCATCTTATGCAAGCTTGAAGATACTTGATCATGATTATTAATTAATGACTTTTTTCGCTTGTGATTTTGACTGGAATCTATAAATGACAAAAAGGAGATAAAAGGGCCACCAAGGACAACAGAAAAATAATGAGAGTAGATATACCATCTCGAATCCCAATCGAAGGAAAGACAGTTCTTTTGGAAGACAATGGGTAATGTGAAATTGATTGTGAGCTCAAGAATGAGAATTTTTCACGACTGGTGAATACAACTATACTTGAGACGCGTCTCACGCGTCGCATGTTCCTCCACTGAACAAAGTCATAGTGGTGGTACTAAGTTGTATAAAAAAAAAAGACAACAAAGATAGGAGAATGAGAGAAGGTTTTCCAAAGGTGATAATGTATTCAAATGATCTTCTTTCTTTTTATAAACACTTTTTTTTGTCCTCTCCTACTACTTTTTCCTTCCACTTCTTTCTTCCTCTTCTTCTTGTATCCCTCGGTTGCTATTTGTTCACTCGATCCTCTTCCAGTTTTTATATTTTGTATTCTTTTTTTACTCCTTTCACAACCCACCTCTCTTCGGAACCAGGCCATAGCTTCCTTGACATCCAACGGAACACCTGAAGTATCACTTGAATACCTCTTACACCGCTATTGTGGCTCAACACTCTTCAATGATTCAATCCTTTCCCTCGGTTTGGGAGCGATACTCCAATTTGCAACTCTTCTGTATGGTACTCTCTCTTTTGGTCTGGCTCTTTTCCTGCATTGCTGCAGTTGTCGCCATTACCCTTAGGTAACATTCCTTTCCAACTTTTTTGCAATGGTGAAATGGGAATGAGGAGATTGTTGTGTAATGACAGTAGTGACAAGAAATATAAATGGATATGAAACTGCAACGCCCAATTGTGATCTTTCCTCGTGTCGAGGGCGCGATTGAATTTTTCTGGATAACGTTCGAAGGAAACTAATCAAAAACATGCCAAAATGCTGGAAATATTCCTACAATGGCAAATTTCAATGACTGGCCACTCATAGCCGATCAAGATATGGAAGGTTCAAGCCATCCTTATCCTCGCAAATGAGTGTAGATGAGGCTCCAGGCGTATCCATCATCCGTCCCCTTCGTGGCGTTGATTGCAACATGTATAAAAATTTGGCTTCTAGCTTTGAACAGGACTACCCATGTTTTGAAATCATCTTTTCTGTTGCCAACCCAGGCGATCCAGCCATTACAGCCGTTGAGGCCCTTATGAAACAGTACCCAAAGGTTGATGCCCGTCTTATCATTGGTATGGCCGAATTATGAAAAAAAAAAAAAAAAAAAAAAAAAAGAGAGGCATCATCAAATTCGAGTTTGTTTGCGTTTGGGTTTTGGATTTTTGAGTTTGAGTTTCTGTGTTGTATCTTTCTCACTCCACATGGACATGGACGGACATGAACATGAATATGCTTCCATTTTTTTTTTTCTTCTGTCCTCCGTTCAAAATTGTCCAATCCACCACTGAATTCCTTACATGCGCCAACCTCGTCTTGCCGCAACAACGTTTTTAACATTTTATGCTTCGTCGACAGTGCTCTCTGTGTGTGAGTAACATAAGCAACAAGAGCGTGGACATTTCACTGGCCAGGCTTTGTCTAACATCAGCTGGTCCTTGATCCTTACTTGATGGAAAAAGTATAAACGTGGTCGGTGCATGGGCTCGTGAGCTCACTAGAAACAAAAGAAACTATTGCAATCAACATTGTTTCCTAGCGTGAACGTGCAGAATGTAAAAGGGGGGTGAATAATGAGGGAGAGAAGCTAGTTCATCTGCTTGGCTCTGGGCAGTCCTCGCAACAATTGAATTGTTACAGTTTAACTTGTTTTTTTATCAATACCAACAAGATCGTGATAATATGCAAGAAAACAAGAAAAGTGGGCTGATTTTTTTTTTTTCTTTAAAGGAATGTGATCCTGTCTTCTCACAGGGTTCAATGACAAACGGTTACTGGAAAAGGAGAAAGGAGAGAAAATTATTATGGTCTATTCCAAACTAAACTTCGTTGGAAACCCCTCCGGAACGTGATCGTTCAATCAATAAAGGGGTTGAGGACGACAACAATTCGCGTTCATCCTTTTGTACAATTACTTTAATTGATTTATGCACTGTCTATGTTTATTGTGTGTCTGTGCATGGCATGGTGGTGGCACAGGTGTTAACTATCGGGGTCATCACCCTTTTTTTTGTACTCACTTCATGACCTCACCCTAACACAACTGTTCTTTCCCCTATCTATCTTCACGATCTCATTATGTTGCAGGGGAGGAGATTGTGGGTATGAATCCCAAGGTCAATAATATGATTCGATCATACGAGACTGCCAAGTACGATATTGTCTGGATCTGTGACTCTAATGTATACGTTGGTCCTGGTTGCATGGGCAGATCTGTCGATATGATGATGAGGCCTGACGTGGGTCTTGTACATCATTTGCCATATGGCGTTAGACCTCAGACTCTGGGGTCAGAACTAGAGCTCATGTTCTTGAATACAGTGCATGCCAAGATGTACCTCTTCATCAATTGGACAAGGCTGGCATCATGTGTAGTTGGCAAGTCTAATTTGTTTAGGCGCTCGGACCTGAACAAGGTTGGTGGTCTTGCTGCCTTTGGACGCTACATGGCTGAGGATAACATGTTGGCTACAGCCATCTTCAAGATGGGGTATAAACATGAGATGACTGGTGATCTTGCCTATCAGTCATTAGGCTCCATTTCTCCTTCTGATTACTTCTTAAGGCGTGCCCGCTGGACCCGCATCCGTAAATACATGGTTACTGTCTCTACTTTCTTGGAGCCGCTTACTGAAATGATAGGTTGCGGATTGATCGCGTCCTATGGCTTTAATATGCTGTGGAACATTCATGTCCTCAATTTCCTAGCATTCCATATCGTTACATGGTTTTTGGTGGACCTGACCATTTACCAGGCTCTCTCGGGCGAAAAAATGGACAATCTTCGTGGCTTTTTAATGGCGTGGTGTGGGCGCGAGTTAGCGGCTTTACCCTTATTCGCCTATGCTGTTGCAGGATCAACAGTCGATTGGCGTGATCAAACATTCATGCTGTATAGTGACGGTACAGTTAAGCCGATTGAGCCTACCCCTCATCTGACCAAAGGGCCCAAAACTAGGCGAATGCAAAAGAACCTGTTGCCCTCTCCCTTACTCAATGTGGCTTCTGCTTCTTCACCAACCGCAGCTGCATCTTGGACTAACACCATGGTCTCTCCATCAGCTCAAGCATCCCTTGGAAGGTTCTTCCGCCACCCAGCTGTCATTTCGGTCGTCAGCACCACGTTTGCCATTATCCATTTCGTCGTCGATATCCTGATTAAAAGCCAGCGCAATGGCATCAATGACGATGATAGCACGTACATAGAGGATCATACGCTACATGAGGACATGACTAGCAATGCTATCTTCGAAAAGGAGGGGAGTCTGGGGCCCCAAGCAGTTACTTTGAAGCATCGTCTCAATAAGGGCAACAGCAGCTATAGTAACAAGAAGAGCAACAAGAGATTCGCATTCGATTATGATGGTGATAACAGCAGCGCAGCTAAGAACGAAATTAACTTCAGAAGAGCCCATCTGAAGGTTTCCGACCACAGCAATGAGGCCGGCTATGTTAATGTTAGTCTTAATCACAAGGTCCAGAAGAACGGTTTCGAAAGCGAAGATGATATAGTGCGCCGTGCCATCGCCGGGCAGTATCCTAGCATCAACGACAAATACGAGACAGAGACGGAATATGGTCACCGAGCATCTGAGGAAGACGAGCTTTCCAAGGCTGTAGAGCCATATCTTTCGGACTCGCTCAGTCGTCGCGCTCAGACTATGCGCCGTGAACTGCCTTCTGCTTCACACTTTTTGAGCGTCGTATCTTAAGAGAGAGGGGGAAAAGAGAGGAAGGAGATAATTAAGATGTTCTGATAGCGAAATGGATTTTTTTCGTGGATTACTTCCTTCAGTTCCTAATGTAAATATTTATCTATAACTTTGTGAAAAATGTGGCAGTTGCATCGCGAGCCTAACCACGGGCCTGATAATAAATTCATTTTTTTTTTGCACTTTTACCCTTTCCTTGTCCGCTATTTATTTTATTTTATTTTTATTTTTTATTTTTTTTCAATAATTACGCTTTTGCCCTTTCAATGATGACCAGACCTAAATAGTGAGCTTCTTCAACCACCGATACATGTGTACAATAAATATAATTGACAGAAACTAAGACGAAAAATATTTCTGTGCCATGTGTTCATTCGCGTTGGTTTTCAATTGAGAAACATGGTCTGTGCCCTGCGATATGCCAGAGATTTAAAATGCGTTCATTTCTTTGGTGCTTTTTTTTTTTTTTTTTTTTTGTCTAAACTACCATAACTCTACCTCACACTTTTACACTTGTACCCAGACCATCCCTTCACTCCTTACACTACACTTCTGTTCGTATCGTCGCGAAGCGCCAGCCCGGATCGAAAATCCATCTGACGAGGAACTGAGTTCTGAAGGAGAACCAAAGTGCTACTTCTTCTCACGTCCCATTTCGAACGTCCATTACCCTTCTCTTCTATTTTTACCCTTCCTTTATAAAGGTAAAGCCGCTAAGTATGGTTTTTTTTGTAAATATGCGTGCACCATTGTGTAGGCACCATTGCGTAGGCGCTCTTTAATCATTCCCTATGTTTTATCTGCAGTTTTTTTTTTTTTTTTTTTTTTTTTTGAGTAAATGTGTTCTTTACCCTTCCAAAAGTGACCATTCTACTTTCCCTGCCTCCGTTCCATCTCAGATCATAAGGATAAAAGAAAGCAGGCGAATGAAAAGGCTGCCTTGATAAAAGAAATCAATCAAGAAAATGATGAAACTGTCCTACCATTCCGTGTTACCTCCGAATCGCAGAAGAAAAGAGACAATATATGGTCTTTTTACACGGCTCTTAAACTACAAAATAGGGGATCGAAACTGATTACTTTCTTATAGCTACCTTTTGAGGATCCTTTGCTTCCTGCCTTCGCTGTTCTTTTCAAGCCTTCTATTCTGCACTTGGATGCGTGTACTACCATATCACTTAATTCCTCTCTCTGTTGGAATAGGTCATGAATGCAGTCAATTCAGAGCCATATGGTACTACTGGAACCACAGTATGATCCATAAGAGCGCATACGAGCAATAATATGCGCAGCTGAAAAGATAAATATGGGCAAAGTATCAAATTGACAAAATGTACTCTTATTTTCTTTCTTAATTCACTCAAGAAACAGGATAATATCATATGAACCACTTAATGACAGCTATTTCGCCTAAAATCTAAAATCACAACCAGAAAAATATATAAATATATATATTTATATAGGGATAGGGCCCTTACGAGTTTATGGACGGGTGCTTTCGGCTGCCATCCCTAGTTCGACTCATCAATCTTTTTATGAGGCTCGAATGGAGAAGATAGAGGGGAGCTGGAGTAAAGAAGGGCTTGGAATGGGGAAATCGTATTTAGCTCAAAAAAAAAAAAAAAAAAAAAAAAAAAAAAATTAGGAACACTATTGAAAAGCTGTTTATATTTCCAATGTCACTAAACATGAAAATATTCATCAAGGTACCTTAATATTTAGAGTCATGGATGGATTAAAGTGAGAGGAGAGCCATCATGGCTGAAGTTGGTGGCTACAAAGTCGAAATATATTTAGAGCAAGACAATTTAACCTACAACCTTATTCCTTCCAGAGAATCATAAGAAGAAAAGGTCCTCTTCCTTTATCATTGTGCAGAGCCCATTGTGCTTCTCTCATGTCTAAGTAGCTGTCGAAAAATTTGACTCATATCAATAAGTGGGACGATGACAAAGCGGACGGGAGAAAAGTGCGGCGATGGGTTGTTATGAGAGCACCGTCCATGCTCGTAGAAACAGCCAAAGCAACACAAAGCATTGTTGCCAAGAATACACGCCAAGCCTTAATTTCTAATATGTATCTTGCTCACTATAATAAATAAACCCTAAACACTCCCAATTAAGCCCAAGCGATCAGATCAACGGGACAAACCCATCTATACCAAAAAAAAAAAAAAAAAAAAAAAAAAAAAAAAGCCCTAAGCTACAGCTATGCCTGGTTCTCATCGGTATGAGAGGCCCTCTAGGATAGTAACGACATATAGTGTAGGCTGAAGACTTTGTCGACATTCGTCGTTATCATTATCATTATCATTATCATTATCATAAAGAAACGTGTTTTCTTGGTGACGCGGAGATTGCTTTATTTTGCGACATGCCAACAGCCTGCATCAATTATGCTTTCCCACATTGGCAAACATACAAGATCTTCGATACTCTGACAGACTGAGGCTCTACACTTCAAAAGACATAAAAAGGTACAGCTCTCATCCTCATTTCTTTTCTCCTCCCTCTTTCTTTTTTGCTTTCTTTCTTTTCTTTTCATCCACAAGGTTACGGCAAATCTCTGCGGTCATCTTGGTTATATATACCACCCCCTATAGCATTGATACCTCCATTATTATCCAAAGAAGTATTGTACTATAAATTATAGCTCACGAGTCACTGGACACCTACGGTCATAAGCATGACACCGCCACCATCCAGTCTCCCTGCTCAACCTAGCAGTCCTCATCCACCAGAGCATAACGAAAGCCACAACCACAAACCACGCACAGCATCTCATCCAGTGATCTATGCATCCCCACGTGCCTCATCTGCTTTGGGTCGTGCCTTTCGCCAGTTGGGTGTAGTCTGTCGTTTGAATTGCATCCTCTTACTTCGGTATTGGAAAGCTACCCTTTTGCAGGTGATTGTGCTACCGCTGCTGGTGATGGGTGTCACCTTTGGCGTACAGAAAGCCTATGTCTCCGATAACGGCCAAGTCAAATCTGCCGACAATGCTGTCCAGACGTGGGCGATGGATGGTATTCACCAATGTCAGGTAAAGTTTATTTATTTTTGACAAGTGACAATTGAAGATTCACACATATTAATTTTTTTTTTTTTTTTTTTTTTTTTCTGTAGCCTGAGCCATTGTCAAATGCTTGCATGACCTTAGTATTTGCTCCGTCAAACTCAGAAACAAATCAAATCATGGGTTACTTCCAGACCAAGAACGAGGCTCGCACCAAAGCCGCTCTCAAAATCGAACCTCAAGTCTGGCAGGACATGAGCAGTGTCCCCAAGGAGAATATGGGCATTGTCCCTATGCCCTCTGACCAATTCATCTACGACTATTCACTCCAGCATCCTGATACCATTCAACTTGGTATGGAGGAAGAGCAAATGCAAAAATGAAATAAGATATTCATGTACAATCTCTCCGTTGCTCACAATTTTTTTTTTTTTTTTTTTTTTTTTTGCTTCTTTTCTACTTTTATTTATGTGTGTAACAGGCGTCGTTTTTACCAAAGAGATACCCACAGGTGCTACAGATGGACCAATTCACTGGACCTATCAAGTTTATTACAATACAACACATGCAACCAATATGTCAACAGTCCCTGGATACAAATATAGTCGAGAGGCTGGTTATAATCGTATATCTAGTCATGATGATCCTTATGGAGCACTACTCCCCAATATGATTCGAGGCATGGATGAGGCTCTTATGACCTTCATGGATCCGGAGCACAAACAGGCTGATCTAGACTACTCGCTGAAGTCATTCCCAACTGCAGGCTCCAAGAACGGCTACACTTCACAGGATGATATCTCAAACCTGCTGGCTAACTTGATGGCTCTTCCTGCCAGCATCACGATGATCATGGCTATGCTTCGGGTATCCCGCGAGAAGGAAACCAAATGCAAAGAAGCTATGCAGATGATGGGTTTAAGCTATGTGGTCTATTGGAGCGCTCAATGGCTGACTGGTTGGATTATGCCCATGATCCAAGGAGCTGTCATGGTCGTGCTTGGATATGCATTTCAAATGACTTTCTTCACCAACACCAACTGGTTCGTTCTCTGGCTCATGTTTACGCTATTGGCATACGGAATGACCATGCTTGGGTTTTGGATCACCACCTTTTGTCAAAAGACAGGAACTGCCATGGCTTTCGGTTTTGCACTTGTGGTCCTAGTCTTGGTCGTTGTCCCTATAATAGCGACGGGCTCCTGGGTTGGCCTCTGGGTCGACACGAGCGCCTACATCAGTGCTGTCGATGGTATCGAGCTTCCACCGCCACGCGCTTATAGGTGGATCTTGGGTTTTTTCCTACCATTCATGCACCACGCCACCCTTTGGGGACAGATCTCAGCTGTCTCACTGAACTCTGTCGATTATATGACCGGCAACGTCACTACAGGGCCAGGGTTCCACTTTGCAAACTTGACAAATTATGAACAGATGCAGCCCTCTTATCAGACATTGCTTCCTCAACCGTACTTATTACTGGGATTATATGGTGGGAACATTTTACTTGCCGCATTGTTGACACTTTATTTCGATCAAGTTATCCCAAACGAACACGGTCATCGACGTGGCCTCTTCTTCTATTTTGGTAGCATTGCCCATCTCTTCAAGATCATTCGCTATGGTGGCAACGCTGGTCTAACTCGCCAGCAGTCAGCTGATGCTCAACGAATGATCCCATACCAGGGCCAACCGCCACCTGACGAAGATAGTGATGTGATTGCAGAACGAGAGCGAGCTGTCCACTGTCAAACCAAGGTCGCAATCCGAATCTCAAACCTTACCAAAGTTTATATCAGCAATGGAGCTGGCTTCCTCAAGAGCCTGTTCTTGTGTCTGTGCTGTTGTTGCTGCCGAAAGCGTCGGCGCGCCGCCAAAATAGTCAACACAGCAGTTGATCGCTTGAACCTAGTGACCGAGCCCGATGAACTGTTTGCACTCCTGGGTCAGAATGGTGCAGGGAAATCAACAACGATGCAAATGCTCTACGGCGTCACGGGCCCGACCTCTGGGGACGCATTCTTATTTAATCGCTCCATCCAAACGGATATGCAAGGGATCCGAGCCTCCATGGGTGTTTGTCCCCAACATGATGTATTGTTCAATGATTTGACCTGCTGGGAACATATGCAACTCTACGCTGGCATCAAAGACTTGCCTTCAGAGGCCTTGGTCGAATCAACCAACAAGATGGAATCCGTTAAGGAGAATGTTCGTGAAAAACCTAGCTGGATCCGCTCACGATTAGAGGCTGTTCAACTTTGGAAAGACCGCAACACAATGGCGGGCAGACTCTCAGGAGGGATGAAGCGTCGCCTATCAACAATTATCTCTACGATTGGTGATCCGGACGTCCTAATCTTGGACGAGCCGACCACAGGTATGGACCCTGTCCATCGTCGGCATGTCTGGACATTCTTGGCTCAATTTAAACGTGGTCGCTCCATCCTGTTGACAACCCATTCTATGGAAGAGGCTGATGCCCTTGGTGATAAGGTTGCCATCATGGTAGCAGGCCATCTTAAGGCTATTGGAAATACTACACGCCTAAAGAATAAGTTTGGAAACGGATACCGTGTCGAGTTGGCTCTCGGTAACTACATTCCTACAAATCAAGGCCCTGGTTCAAATACCAACAATAATGTGAACGGCCAACAACCTTCCAATATTCGAAACATTCCAACACAAAAAGAATTGGAACAAGAGTTGACGGATACTATCCGCTCCATCATGCCAGAATCAACGCTCCTAGATCAGTCTGGTGGTATGATGGTGTTTGGTATCCCAATGCAAGCCATTGGACACATGGCTGATTTGACTGCGATGCTTGAGAGGTTCCAAGCACAAGGCAAAGTCAAGCAATGGGGTATTGCTCAAACAAGTTTAGAAGAGGTCTTTTTGTCTTTGATACGCAATTCCAAAGATCGCCACTAAAAAAAAAAAAAAAAAAAAAAATTGCATTATAACTTTTTCTAATAAATATTATTTATTATGTTTAATTTGGCTGGAAGACGTGCTTTCTCTATAATACAAAACATCAACTGTAAAAGTTTTTTTTTTTCTTTTTTTCTTTCCCCCCCTTATTTAAATATATCCAGATTGCTGCGGTCTTTGCTGATTTGGTAGCGCGTTATGGTTACCGAACGGATTATTGGGGTTAGAACTGGCATTCGAATGATAGGTAAAGCCTGTTGGCTGGGGCTGGGGCTGCTGAGGATACCCGCCTTGGTATGAAGGCGTAGGCGGAACCATCGAGCCCATTGGAGCCATTGGGTATTGTTGAGGCGGAGGATAACCAGGTGGATTTCCTGGCGGAGGTGCAAATGAGCTGTACTGATATCCAGTTGAGTTTAGCCTCTGCGGTTTACCTTGCAGGCGTTGTTGCCGCCTGCGGTTATAGCATCCTGCACAGCAGCAGCTCCAAATGCAGCAAAGAAAGAAAAGTCCAACAATTGCTGCCACAGGGACAAAAATCAACAAGTTGCCCTTGATCCAATCTAGGACACTGTTCACGCCGCCAGTATACTCACAAGTACCAGCATTACATGTTCCTCCAAACCCGCAAGGGGAGCCATCCACGAAGTATGTGCCTTGAACCTGAATACAGCTTAATGCTGAGCCGCTAGGATCATTGCAGGTCAATTCACAGGTGTTGGAGGCGCTACATTGCTTAAACTTTCCATGCTTGTCCTGCTGTTTGCATTGCAGATCTCGGGAAGTGCACAATCCATTGGCACACTGGAGGCCTGTCTCGTTCTTGGAGCCCTTGCAGGGTGTCAGATTAGGGACGCGCTCGTCCGATGGGCATGATGCATTAGTTCCTGAGCATACTTCTTGAATATCACACTCTGAGATTGCTGGCCGACAGACATGTCCTTGAGGGCGCATCTGACAGTTCAGGCAGCAACCATCGTTCAGGTCATCACAGACAGCCCCATTCTTGAGTTTGCAGGTCGTGCCATCGCAGCAAGGATCTTTGGCACAGTCCTCCGGAGATCCACAATCGCACTCCTCGCCTTCCTCCTTAAGCCCATTGCCACAAATATTGGGCTCTGAACTATGGGTCACACGTGTACCAGGAGGCTTTAGGCATTGTCCTGCACCACTCTTGAGCGTATGACAGATAGCTTTGATACTGCATGGCGAGAAAATCTTCGTGGGAGTGGACTCTGAAGGGTTCATGATATACTTCGCACCGGCGTCACAGGTAGATGACGATAAGGGACAGCATGAACCCGCAGCCTTGTCTGCAGTACATGTCTGTTGATTACAATCATGAACAGCCCCAAAATTATGTCCGATCTCATGTGCCACGACCATCCATTCCTGAGGCCCAGCCGAGGAGACTGCAGCTCCCGCTGTATATTGTTGTTTTCCATCTGTGTTTTGCGTCTGTGTCTTTGCCTGACACAGGGCTTTGGTCCATGCGATACCGACAACGGGCCCAGATTTGCAGGTCGTCATCAAATGCCACAATCCCGCTCCATCGCGAGACCGGTCGCCCTGCCCTCTCCAGTTGGAGAAATCGCTCAATCGCAGATCTATCGAATAAGAATCTGAACAGTCCTGATTCCATTTCGCATCCTCCACGGGTGTGGATGGGCAACCGTCCGGAACGATATTGAGCGCAATAATTCCAAGCGCAACATTGAAAGTACTCTCATAAATAGCTGAAACCGTGTTAAATGTTGAAAAGATTTGTTTCCGTGCATTAGCAGAACCTTTATAGTTGCGGACATATGTACAATCTGCGGCGACACCCTATTTTTTTTTTTTTTTTTTTTTTTTGTTCAGAAATGATAAACATTATCAGAAAAAAGTTTCACAGACTTTTTTTTTTTTTTTTTTTTTTACACTGAATAGGATTGAATCCTAAAACTTCTTATAGAATTTACCATATAGTTCACAAGTCGAGAGGTGGGACATCCGTCGGGAACAGGGTTAGGCCCTGCTACGTTAATTGCGACATCTCTTTTACGCAAGGACCCCGTTTTCCACACATCGCTCCATGAAGAACTCAAGTCTGGGATGTAGGTCGTCAGATTTGGTGGATAATAATACTCATGGATTAACGGCTTCGGCTCCGCTCCAACAACTCCTGCTTCCGCCTCTGCTTCTGCTCTCCTGCTACGATCGAATAAAATCTCTGAGCCACATGAAGAATCACCCTCTGGAGCTAAGCCTCTTTTCCGGCGGAGAATGTTGCTTGATCGTGTATAGAGATCAGAGTCCCGGAAGATAACAAGGCCAGATCCTGCAGATGAAAGTGGGGTGGATGATGATAGTGGTGGGGGCGCTGCATCATCCGAGCGCTTCTGGAGGTGGTAGTGTTCCTGTGTTGTGACCTGGTACGTTTCACCATTTGCCATAAATGCACCTCGCATGACTAGCGCATTACTTTTTTTATGATTGACAATAATGTGGATAAAATTAAATGTGTGAGCACAAAAGGAAATTTGCGTCCCACAGTTTTTTTTTTTTTCTCATAAAAAGTGTGTTAGGACTTACTTATTTTTCGGATCGTGCTCGATCAACATACGAGCCCATCCCAAAACTCCATCCTCGGCAAGATGATGTTCAATTGAACGCTTCTGTGCCCAAGTAGTTCGGGCAGCTTGATTCCATTTATGGTCTGAAAAGTATTCGTCCTCAACAACAAATCCTTTGAACGCCATGATCTCGTCCAGTGAAAAACCACTATTGTCATCGCTGAGGTCTAAGTCCGGGTGGATTAAATCTAGATTGGGTTCTAGGTGAAGATGGAAGGTAGTGTTGTAGGCCACAAATTGGATGCGTAGGGTATCATGCTTTGTGACAGTGGAGATTGAAGATGAAGTATCACTGCGTTTGCTAAGGGAAGGTAAAGGACTTGAACCAACATAATCCTTAGGCAAGATTTCATGATGCACGTCAAAAATATGTTCAGTGCGTGTGATCGTTGGCGATGTGGTTGAATGGGCTATTGGAATGGATAATGACCCATATTCGATTTTTTTTTTTTTTTTTTTTTTTTTTTGAAATGAATAGTTATCCAGAATACAGAGAAAAAGAAACGGGTCGTGTCAAAAAATAACGAAAAAATATATGAAGAGTTTGGTTTGATTTAGTAGAGGTATTAAGGTATATAGCAGAAAATTGAGAAAAAATGTATGCAAACCCACCTTGAGCTGGAGAAAGAAAGGACAACGAAAGAATACAAGCAGTAACCGCGAGTACTGTTGTCGCTACACGACAGGAACTCTTTATTGAGGGTAGCATAGATAACGTGCTGTGTACAGCAAACACAGTGAATTACTCCTTTTTTTTTTATCTTCACACAATCTGGAGTTGAGAATATGGCAAAAATAGAAATTCTCATAATTAGCACAAAGTCGATGTGAAAAATAAAAAAAAAAAAAGGACAAATTAAGGAGGAAAGCCGTGCAGATGTACCCTTTGCTCGAATCGGTTTTGACAGAGAGAATGTGAGTAAGAGTGGGAGTGGGAGTGAAAGTGAGAGAATAAGGAGTTATGCGAGGAAAGGAGTATGGATCGGAATGGAGAATGCAAAGAAACGATTGAAGTGATGTGAGAAAAGAAATGGTTTCCTTGCAATTGTTTAGTGATGGAGAAAGAAAAAAAAAAAAGCTGGTACTAAAGAAAAGAGGAGGACGAGAAGGTTGGAAGGTTGGTTTAGTTGATTGAATGATAGGAAGAGGCTAGAGTAAGCTGTTACAGCAGTTACAGCTGTTGCAGCAGTTACAGTTGTTACAGCTGTTACAGTTGTTACGGCTGTTACACCAACTTACTTTGGAAAAAAAAAAAAAAAAAAAAAAAAAAAGTCCTGTTCCTGAGCTTTACTTTTGAATGGCCCAGAAAAAGACCGGCCTTTTCAGAGACAGGGAAAAAGCAAAATCCAATAAGGTGCCGCTCATGCCCATTTCATTTGCCAATGGTTGGCGTTTGTCGTGTATAAATTTACAAATTTTGTTTTTAATAATAGATTGGTTTCTTTTGGGCCTATGAGCAAATATCAAACTAGATCTACGGTAACATTTTATCACTTATAATTTGTAATTTATAATTTATAATATCTAAACTATCATAAATCATGTTTCACACTATTAAATGCTTGATCTTTTTGAGACTGCCTATGCTTGCTGCTGTCGATCCATGTTGACGTAGCAGCAACCTAGACCTCGCCCTGTCCTCTCCCTGCTCCTCCTCTTCTTGAATATGCAGCAATAGGTGCTCAAGAACATAGGAAGCACTGCTTTGGAGATAATCATTATCTTGAGTAATGACCGCTTGAGCAGTCTTTACAATAGTTTCAACATCTAGATACAAAAACGCTCCTCGACAACGACTCAATAGCCTAACTGCATCTCGCATCCGTACAAAGTCACCCATCTCCATAGCAAAAAGCAATGCTTGCAAAAGATCCCATAAGAGTCTCCCATTATCATCATTAGCATTCCTGACTTTATCATTGCCATTGCCATTCCTCCGTTGTTGCTCTTCTATCATAAGGCACAACTCGCCTATGCGAATCAAACATGCAGCAGATGAGGATGCCATCCCCAAATGTTTATACACAATCATCATACGCCTCAAAATATCCATTTGCTTTTGGCTCTCGCCATTATCAATGATGCCAAGAGGATGTGTGTCCGGATGTCCTGACGCTCTCGCCAAAACTGTAGCCATGGCGAATAACACCAATGCTGTCTCCGCTCGAACTCGATCGTCCTGTGATAGCGGTAAAGCAGCTGATAATAATGGCGATTGAGTTTGAATTTGGTAATGGGATACTAATGAAGGTGATTGCTTGGATAGTGTACCTCTACTTAGCTGTGAAATCATAGAGGCGCTTTCAAGGAGGATAATGAGTAATTTGAGATTGGGATCTGATGGCTTCTTGACAACGACAGATTCATCAGGTGCAGACGTGGATGCGGGTGCAGTAGCATTAGAAGTGGATTTCATAAGCTTTTCCGTCTTTGGATGCCTTGAGAGGAAGCGCTTACAATGCTCTAATAATTGAGAGACAGAGCATGTATGGACCATCTTTAAGAAAAGAAGAAAAGAAATAAATAAATAAATAAAGCCCTAATCAAAGTACCATCGATGAAGAACTGTCCTAAACAAACTCTTTAAAAGTATACTCTTTAAATTTTACTTCGAGAATGGCTTGAAAGTCCATAAATTTGATCTCCCATCGTCCTTGAATGGCATCGAGATAGAACCCCATTGCAAGTGATGGTGAATGATAAACAGTTAAACGGGCCATGGCGAGCCGCGAAAGGTATAGAGTCATATTGATTTGGGTGGCTGTGAGCGATCCTGCTGTTGGTTGTGATGGCTGTGCTATTGCCGATATTGGCTGCTCATCCTGAAGGTTGGTAAGGATTTGTATTAAAAGAGACAGGACTTTTGCAGTTTCTTGGCTCCGGCGAAAGGACCATAAAGCTTTGATGTATAAATAAAGAGAATGTAGTATTAATGAGCGTCCGTTGTAGTGAAGGATAAAGGCCTGTACTCTGCGCTGCTTTTTTTTTTTTTTTTTTTTTTTTTTTTTTCATGTTTGGTACCTTTAGCGATCTTCCATAGGACTGATGAAGCCATGCCAGGATTCTCCTTTGAGATCTTGCTGACTTTATGAAATGATGCTATTGCCTCCGCAACTTCGGGTGGATCCTGCTCCTCCTTCTCTTTTTCTTCACCATTGGACTTTTTGGATTCAGATGCAGCGGTCTTTGATCCTGATGAGGTGCCTTTTGATCTGACTCCTTTAGCTTTTTTTTCAGCTTCCTTAACAGCAGTGAGATGCTTGGAGCTCATTTGATGATTATTCCAAGTGGCTTCAGAGCCAAATGACTTTTTGCAGACGGAGCAATTAAAACGCCCATCGCTCAATTTCTGCTGCTGAGATGGTTGTTGTTGACGCTGCTGTTGTGGCTGTGCTGGTTGCTCCCTTGGCCTTTGTGCTGGATTCGGTGATAACGTCGACGATCCAGAAGGCTGTGAAGCCAATAATGGCATTGTGAAGCGCTGATATTCATTTGTAAGATCTAAAGAAAAAGGCTCTGGACAACCAGGTAACGGACTAAAAACTAAACCAATCGAGAAAATGGGTTGAAATGAGCCAATAAATGTCTCAACCACTATGTTCAATGTTACAGCAAGGAATAAAGCCTACATACTGTCACGAAGAACACCTTTTTCGATCCTCGGCAGAGCTGCGATGCATTCTTCTAGCGTCATTGAGACAGAGTAAGCATGAAGATTGTTTTTTTATAATTTTTGCTGATCTTAATGCGCCTCAATTGGACTGTCTTTTTTTGTTTCCTAGAAATAAATCTATAAAGTCTTATTCCTAGGGATCCTCTACATCGAACGTTCGTTACTTGAGTGACATGGAAGGAAATTAAATTGGATTCTCTTTATCCCTTCTGTCTCCTTCAAGATGCAATAACTTGTTTCCTTCCCTTACTCTCTCGTTTATTCGTCTATATCTTCCTCCCCAATGTCACCAAGGATGTAGTAGAATTGCTATAGGTGCCTTTGAGCACAGATAATTGAACCTGTATCGATCCATTTGTGGACTTTGCTCATCGGTCTCATGGACCGTGTTCAATCTAATGTCTACGCATAACAATTCAGATTTTTAAATGGCTTGAGTACACTTTTATTGCCTGAGGACTTTATGCGTTTGGTGTCGAATGCTCACAAGTCCAGCAACTATGAAGAAGAGTGGAATCTCCAATAGCACTTTAGCAGAAGCGAACGGAAGCGATGGTGACAATGAGAAGACCCTACAGTGCCTAACACTGTGGCGCTAAGTGACCTTCAAGCAGATGCACATCCTGGAGGTGCCAACTTACATCCATTAAAGCTGATTGAAGTAATGAATCATTATACGATGTTGATATGGTGACATGAGGGAGCTGACCAAATGGCTTGATATCAGAAAGTCGCCCCACTGTGTTATTGCGACCTATAAAGCTGATGATCGAGAAGCCAACGCCAAGAGTACCATGAGTGCACCAAGGAAGCCATGAATGGATGAGAAGCGCACCAATGTGGACAGCGGTTTGTTTAACAAGTTTGTCAGCAAGGTTTGCTTTACCAATGTTATATTTTCTATTTTACGGTGCTTGTAAATGAGTGTATCGATAATAGAGCTAATGTCACGATGAATCCTATCCAATAAAGCATTCAAGACCTACAAATATCAATGCACAGCCTCTTTAACTGTTGAACCATCTGGACCATTTGGACCTGTTGGAGTCAATGTAAAAAGCAGAATAAAAAAAGAGAAGTGGAAGAATGCAAGTTTGGTAATGAATAGGGCGAAGGCTGTGTTTAAATTAAAACAATGACTCAATAAAAATCATTTTTTTCCTTGACGGGCTCACCACAGCATGCTTTCAGGGGAATATTCAACGTGACTCGATTGGATAAAAACGGTTGACCCCAAAACTCATAAAAGGCAAGCAAAGAAGCAAGAAGCACGTCCCGAATTTCTTTCAAGCAACTCTAAATTAACCTCATCAGACTGTCTAAAAAGAAAAAAGAAATCATAACATAAACCATAACATAAACCATTAAAATAATCATGTCATCCGCAATCGAATCAAATAACGTATCCCCTGTTCCCGCTGTTGCGGCTGCTGCTGCTGCTGTAGACAAAGCAGACAAGGCGCAAGATCTGCAGATCAAAAGTGAGGCCTCACTGCTGAAGGTACACAAAGAGAAGAAGCCCGCAAAGAAAGTCTCTGAGGCAGCCTATCCTCTTGAGGTAACTTTTAAGATTTTAACAGTAGATTAAGAGCTTTTGGGATGAAATAGATGTATGAGATATGTTTGATTAATATTTACTCCTTTGCAATAATCTTTTAAATAAAATAAAATAAAATAAAAAATAGGTATCTCCTGCGCCGGAGTACGTCGCCCACCGCATCGGCATTTTTGAAAGGCTCAAGCAAGAAGCTGATGAACTAGCCTCTGGTAAATAAACTTTTTATTTTTGCTTGCCACTGTTCATGCATAACCTACCATGCTTAATATATCATTCTTGACTAATACGTACTTTCGGCCTCCAATGACTGCTACCCCACATTAGCTCAACCTCGAATTCCTATCTCAGTCACGATGCCTGATGGTTCCAAACGTGAGGGCATTGCTTGGCAGACGTCCCCCATGGGCATCGCTAAATCAATTGCAAAGAGTCTTGCAGAGCGAGTGGTTGTCGCCAAGGTTGATAAAGTCCTGTGGGACCTCGAAAGGCCACTTGAAAGCTCTTGTGAACTCGAGTTATTGGATTTTGAAAACAGTGAAGAAGGCCGAGCAGTCTTCTGGCATTCATCAGCCCATGTGCTGGGAGAAGCATGCCAGAAACACTATGGATGCCATCTCTGCCTCGGACCTCCTATTGATGATGGCTTTTACTATGAGATGGCCATGAGGGATGAGCGGTGAGTCATACTCTTTTACTATCTATAGACTTTGTTATTATCATTCTTGGTGTAGAGCATAGACTTATCAGTTGTATGCCTTTGAAACATGGATGGGATTTTAGCTTGGTCTCCCAAAACGATTACGAAAGCCTGGAGATGTTAGCGAAAAGCATTATTAAGGAAAAGCAGCCATTTCAGCGGCTTGAAGTTAAGAAGGAGGATCTCTTGGAAATGTTCAAGGTATTTCAAGCGAACTTAAAAGAGAAGGCTGTATTAAGTCTATACATAACAAGAGGACCTAAACTGATGTTTGAGGGGACATCTTATTGTTTTAATTCGTTAGCATAATCAATACAAGGTTCAATTGATCCAGTCCAAAATCCCAGATGGATCGGTTTCGACGGTCTATAGATGTGGCCCCTTGATCGATCTCTGCCGCGGCCCTCATGTCCCTCACACGGGTGTCATCAAGGCCTTTGCTGTCTTGAAAAACTCTGCCTCCTATTTCCTTGGTGATCCTAAAAACGATTCTCTCCAGCGTATCTATGGTGTTTCCTTCCCCGATGCCAAGCTCATGGTTCAATATAAAGCCATGCTGGAGGAAGCTGCCAAACGTGACCACCGTAAAATCGGTCGCGATCAAGAGCTCTTTTTCTTTCACGAACTCTCACCGGGATCCTGCTTCTTCCTCCCCCATGGCGCTCGGATTTACAATACGCTCATGGAATTCATCAAGTCCGAATACTGGAAGCGTGGTTATACGGAAGTGATGTCGCCAAACATGTTTAACGTCAAGCTTTGGCATATGTCCGGGCACTGGGATAACTACAAAGAGGACATGCTCATGTTTGATGTGGAGAATGTTCAGTTTGGACTCAAGCCCATGAACTGCCCTGGCCATTGTCTCATGTTTGGTGTCCGCGAGAGATCGTACCGTGAACTACCACTCCGATTCGCAGATTTCGGAGTCCTGCATCGAAACGAAGCCTCGGGGGCGTTAACGGGGCTGACGAGAGTAAGACGATTCCAACAGGATGATGCTCATCTGTTTTGTAGACTGGACCAACTTGGAGAAGAGATGGATGCAACGCTAGACTTTTTGCAGTATGTTTACGGAATCTTTGGATTTGAGTTTTCTTTGGCGTTGTCGACGCGACCGGAGAAATATTTGGGCAAGCTAGAGCAATGGGAGCTTGCAGAAAAGGTGAGTTTGTGCTTATGACCTAAGAAAGACATGGGGTTCGTCTCTTTCAAGCTGCTTACTCTATATTTTATTTTATTTAAAATAACTTTGAATTATTATTACTTTATTTTTTATGTAGCATTTAATGGACGCGCTTAATAGATTCGGCCGCCCTTGGTCAGTTAATCCGGGTGACGGTGCATTTTATGGTCCAAAGATCGATATCCTGATTCGAGACTCTCTTCGACGGAATCATCAATGCGCCACGTTACAGCTCGATTTCCAGCTTCCTGAGCGTTTCAATCTACAATATCGCAACAATGGTGGTGAGATTTCAGACTTTTCACGTCCAATTATTATCCATCGTGCAATGCTAGGTTCACTTGAGCGGATGATTGCGATCCTTACGGAGAACTGTGCCGGACGTTGGGATTTCTGGCTTTCACCACGGCAGATTCAAATTGTCCCTGTGGCTGCTGCGTTGTTGCCTTATGCAGAGTCTGTGCGGAAGCGCTTGCACGATGCCGGGTACTTTGTGGATGTGGATGCCTCTGACTCGACGATCAATAAAAAGATTCGAAATGCGGAGCTGGCACATTACAACTTTATTTTTGTGGTGGGTGCTCAGGAAGAGGCATCAGGGTCGGTCAATGTAAGATCAAGAGATGCTGAGGAGAGCAAGAAGGCCAAGGGTGAGGTCAGGTCTCTGGATGAAGTCATGGACAAGCTGAAGGAGTTGAGGGATTTAAAAGCAAAGCGAAGTTGTATCTAATATGCATATAGGCAGTTAGGCAGTTGAAAGGGTTCTGTTTATTTCCAAAAAATTACATCTTTGTTGTACAAAAGAACTTTGGTCCAGTTCCCACTACACAGTTCCAGATTATAAAAGTGGTAATAAACTGTTGATGCTTCATTATGCAGTCGGTGTTTCCCATGTGAGCATGTCATGTAAGGAGAAAAAGGGAGAGAAAGAAAAGGAGAAAAATGATTTAGTAAATCCCTGCATCCCCAGACACGTCAACATGTCATCACCCAATGAGCCAGCACTCCTTAATACAAAATAAAAATTGATGTCGTTCATTCCACATATCCAAACAAGTTTGTATTTTTGGACCGGACGTACTCTCCAAACATCCAAAGAAAAAATACAAAAATTAACGAGGGTGAATGACGGATCCTCCAGGACTCCTTTTTTTTTTTTTTTTTTTTTTTTTTGATCCAAAATTAACAACTGTAGTGCAAGAAACATGATAGGCTTAGCATACTAACATAAAGTTTAGCCATGAGCATATCCAACAAGCTCTCTATTTGCAACGGCATGTTAATGAAAACAGACAATGTTGTGCTCATCGCCTCTCATTGGTCCGGTTGCACCTGGGGCTCAATTCTTTGTTCTTTTGGAGTTCAGATAGGACAAATATATTGTATATATAACAACAATAAAAATATACGGCTGACTGTCAATTACGGCGGGATTTACAATTGCAAGTTGCCCTCGACTGACTCAACGGATATTCTTTTGGCGAAAAAAAATAAATAAAAAAAAAACAATGAGGTGTCGATGGAGGTGTATTTACGATGCCTATACCATGTCGTGGGCAATGAATGCCTTAACAAAGAGTGTCTGTCAGGAAATGTGGAAGAATATCCAACTGGATCTTTCAGGAGACTTTAGACACGTGTGAATAGCAGAACGATATCCAAAGAAAAAAAGGAGGGGGAGGGAAGAAGGAGAAACCTCGCTCCCTTTGGGATGCTTCCCCCGAATTAAAAAGGGCATAATGGCGAAAGAGAAATGGATGGCTCTTTCAAGAAAAAAAAAAAAAAAAAAAAAAAAAAAATAGAAGGGTATTTACTAAGACGTCATTTCAATTAAGAAGGAAAATGAAGGCCCTGCAAACAACAATTGCACAAGAAAGATGCCATGCAGAAGCACAGTTTGGCATAGCCCCTCCAGAAGAGCACACAAAGAGCCCCCATTCATTACCTATGATTTCTTTACACAAGACAGATGCCGCAATAACAAAATACCAAATATTACAACAGAATAACGAGAACGGAAACAGAGCAGATCAGATCGTAGGGAGAAGAGTATAGAAAGGTATAGAAATGGTGGATGCAGGATCGGTTTGTGCTTTTTTTTTTTTTTTATAAAAGGGAGCTTGGTTGCACGGGAGCAAACCCCTCTTTTTTTTATTTATTTTCCTCGTAACATAAACTCATAAACTCATAAACTCTGTTTCTCTTCATTGACTCTCTTTCTGCAGACGAAGCAACCTTCCTCTTTCTATTTTCCTCTGTCCTCATTCTTTCTCTGCTCCTTCTCTCTTTTCTTTCCTTCCCCGACTTTTTTTTATATTTATATATATTTATATTATTATTATTATTATTATTATTATTATTATTATTATTATTATTATTATTATTCTTGATTTGTTTGCTGTGCTCACATTGATCTCTCTTTCTCTTTTTTATTTTTTATTTTTTATTTTTTATTTTTTATTTATTATCATCAATTGACTGAATTTTTTGTTCCTGACTTCTTCTTTCTTCCCTCTCCATCCTCCATTTTCTATCCCCCTCCCTCTTCCTCTTCTTCTTCTTCTTCTTCTTGCATCTGATTCCATTCTTCATTTCATCTGAATCCTTTTCAACTTGTGCGCTTTGATTTCGCATCGCATTTGTGGATTGATTCGTCGCTTTAGCTCTCTCTCTCTCTCTTGTTATTTGTTGTTGTCCGACCGTATAAAAATAGACCTGACCTTTATTCATTCTCTGACAGTCTGGAATATTTGCTCACTTGACACTTGCAATTTTTAAAACAAACACTTCCACAAACTCGGGTCTTTAAACGGATCGTCCACCGATGTCCCTTTCTTCTTCTGCTTCCCCAATTGACTTCTCGGGCGAGGATATCGATCCAGCCGTCCTCGCCGATGTCGCCCGTGTTGTCGAAGAGTTGATGAGAATGCAATCAAGCAGCAATCTTAATGACAACCAGGACCCAGTCTCTTCTGTTTCGCGCGACTTTGTTAGACAAGACTCACTCGCATATACCGATAGAATGAACGTAAAGGTTGATAATGTAAAGTTTTCTCTTTTATCCCAACAAACGACCGAGTCCGCAATCCAAAAGAGTTCAGGGATCAATAACAGCTCCCAAATCGAAAGCAAAGATAGCGATCACTCAACACCGCCCACAGTCTCTACCCTCACATCATCTTCCGATCTATCCCCATTCAACTCTGCCCTTCCCCCTGTCACAGCCACAACAGACAACGAAAAGGAGGGTCCAAAAGTTTTATCTTCCTCAGAAACATCTGAAAAGGCCACAGATGTTGAAGATACCTCCTCACCGGGCCAAAAATCACCAGCGACTGCAGGCAGCCATGTCTTACAAGCCGCAGATATTTTGGCTCTATCAACCGCCGTCATCCCAAAGTCCATGCCTCAGCCGCCAACTAGACCAAAACGGAAAAGAGCCCTACTTATTGGCATCAACTACCTCGGCGATCCCAATCAACTATTGGGTTGTATCAATGATACACATGATGTATTTGGATTTCTCAACGGATATTTTGGATTCCGGTATCAAGATACAATCATGCTGACAGACGACCAGGTTTATGAATACAAACGGCCCACAGGAGCCAACATTCGTTATTGGATGAAATGGCTCGTCAAAGATGCTGAGCCCCAGGATTCTTTATTCTTCCATTACGCAGGTAATGCATAAATTAGTAATCCAACAATTAACTCCTTTACTTATAAGCCTACAAAACACGAGGCAATCAATTACAAGTGACTGAGTTATTATCTTTATTTTTATTTTAAAAAAAAATAGGACATGGTGGAAGAATCAAAGATTTCTCGTACAACGGCAAGACAGAACATTGTAAGTAACATTAGACATTTTATTCCCTTTTGAGCAGCTCGGTGCCGGTTTTCAGTGTCAAAAATGGAAATGATTTCGTTTTGTTTAAAACTCAATTCTTCCTCTCAACCTAACAACTTAAACAGTAGGAGATGAGGCTGATGGATACGACGAAATTATTTACCCATGCGATTACCAACGGTCCGGAATTATTTCCGATGATGAGATGTATGACTTGATGGTCAAGGATCTTCCTGCAGGTGTGCAGCTTACGGCCCTGGTCGACGCCTGCCACAGTGGTAAATTAAATACTTCTTCTCTTTGGGCTGTTGGACCGGAAGAAAAAAAAAAAAAAAAAAAAAAAAAAAAAAAAAATTAAGAAAACGGAGCGTAGAATTGCTTGACCGTAACTGAGCCTTTTTTTATTCTTATTATTCTATTTACCTTTACTCAGGAACGATGCTGGATTTACCATACGTTTACAACGGGGACCGTGTCACTGCTCTAGAAAAAGTAACGAGGAAGAAGGTTGGAGTGATGGCCGCCATGTCCGCTAGCGAAGTTGAGTTTGACCTTCCGGGCTCAAACAATGGCAGTGTCACTACTACTACTACCACTACTACCACAACAACCACAGTAACCACCACAAGCATGACTAGCAACGGCCCAAATCCTGTTGTAACTCAGTATACGTCTGGAACTGCCATGACAACGAGTGGGAACCTACTACCCCCTACTGGCCTGCCAGAGATTCGTACCAAAGAAGGTCAAACTGAAAGCAACCGCTCATTTGAAGAAAACGAAGGCGACTCGAGCACCAACTGTGAGAGTAACGAAATGTCAAATGACGATTTGGTCTCAACGTTGGCTATCACTGAAATCAACAATGATCCAGAATTCAAAGAAGATACCACTACTCCACCCACTCTCCCTGTTATCGAGCTGAACAGTACGCCCTTACCATCATCAAATATTGTGGCCGATACGCTCAATGAGGAAGACGATGACGGCATGGAGGAAGCACGCAAGGTAGGATGACGGAGGATTTTCTTGTCCTGAATCTAGACGTATTCATTGTCAATAAGCCTAGAACTTGTAAGCTGACATTATTTTATCATTTATAGATGGCCATGTTTAGAGAAACAAAAGGCAACGTAGTTATGTTCTCAGGTTGTCGTGATGATCAAGCCTCTGCAGATATCCGTGCCAGCACTAAAGATGCTGCTATTTTTGCAGAGCATCTCAAGGCTAATGGCGCATTGACTCCAGCTAACTGGGGCTCACCAGCAGGCTTGGATGAGGCCGACTTGCCTAACCCATTAGGATACAGTCTCCCCCAGCCATACACTAGACCTCAGGCAAGAGGCGCCGTCTCATACGCCTGGATCCAATGCTTGTCTCAGAAACCAAATCAGACATATGAAGAGTTGCTGACGGGAATGCGACACTTTATGAAGCAGCGAGAATTGGAACAGGTCCCACAATTAGGATCTGGCGTACCTATGGACATGTCGACTGTATTCACACTTTGAAAGCATGTTCTTATACCCAATCGATATAATATAATAATACTAATTAAAAAAAAATAAAATAAAATAAAAAATAAAAAAACGTGAATAATTGCAGTACCTCAGATGTTACGTCTTCTGTTTCATGCCTTTAATCTCTGTACGGCATACACAAACCAGAATGCGCTTGCCCCTGACTTCAAGAGCTCTGGAGCCGTACGAATGAGAATAGAGAATCTATCAGTTGTTCGTCGAACGTGATTTCTCATGGCAACTCAGTTCTTGTCATCATCAGTTGTCGTATTTGCACTTTATTCAACACACCATCTTTTCAACCCAAAAGACACTCTTGCAAATGGCTCCGGTCGGATTATACAGAGCCGTCGTTCTCCCTCTTGTACTACTTTGTATTGTGGCATCATATTTTTATCTCAGAGTCTGGTCTAGCATTGGTACCGACAGCACAAATGGTACAGCGCTACATTCAGGCGAAAACTTGGAGCAGGAAGAAGAGCAAGCTATCTACAGACACCAGCGTCAAAATGCAGCGCAGCAAACCGAAATTGAGGTGCCAGCAAAGGAACCATTTCCAGTATCGGTTTCAGGGCTGGAGCATTCAGCTGAACTAAAGGAGCTTGATAGCTCGTCACCGTCCATTCCCTTAGATCATGCATCTTTTCCACTGGATCCACAGCGACAAGATTTTAACGAATCCATGCAAAGATCTGAAAATCCTATAGAGCAACAACAACTTGGCCTAGAGTCGTTCCCGGCCTTAATCAGCACCAACAACGCAAGGGTTGCTGCACTCAATTTGAATGCATTTGTACGTTTTTGTCATAGGGATGAGAGGGACAAACACCTACAAGGGCAGTCGCTCATAGAAGATCCCCAAGCAGACCTCCATACTAGTGCTTTTGCAATCATCCCAAAAAACAGCGGACAGCGCCAACCTCTCCGAGACAAGGATTTTGAAACATACGGAGAATGGATCGATTATATCAAAAGCAAGAACTCTGGTCAGGTAAAGGATGAACAAGAGTATCATTCAGAAGAGCATAATAAAAGTGCATCCTCATCAACCAAATCCAACATTCGCCCTCAATTCTGGGAACGTCCGCTGCGTGGGTGGATTGTCAACTACACTGCGATCCTTGAGCCCTGTGATCGCACAAAACACACCTCGGCGCATTGCCTGTCCTATCTTTCACAGGACCACCTTTACCTCATCCCCTCCAGTGAGGCGAAAGCCTTCCCAAACAGAGCGCACAGGATGGAATCAGGGGCGAGCGAAACTAAGATTCAGGAAGGCATTGAACCAGATACAGACTACCTCGAAATGATAGAGGCGTCTGATGTAACAGCAGCACCGCTATTGTCCCCACCTTCACCTTCACCTTCACCATCATCTTCAAAGTCCACACAGTCGTCCAAACCACCAATCTCAGATGTCTCAACTCTTAATTTTCATATGTTTTGGCGTGGATATATTACAGACAAATTATCGCTCGCTGCACATGCCTTTCTGTATACCCAGCCTCTAGACAGGGCGAGGCTACATCTCTGGATTGATTCTTCAGATCTCCCTGGCATGGAGCCAGAAGACTATGAAAAGAACCCGTTTGCGAGAGACTTGGTCTCTGAACCACTGAATCGATACGTCAAACTGCATTCATGGGACCAAGTTTTTAAAAACCCTGCTTATTCTCTCCCTACTTCTGATGAGCAGGAAGCGCAGCAGCAACAGCAACAGCAACAGTCAAATAGAGCAAAGGTTCCTTCTGTCGCACTCTCAGACGAGGCTCGTTTCCTAATTCTGTATCGATACGGTGGAATTTATTTGGATGCTGATGTGATGCTGCTTAGAGACATGTCACCACTCTACGATTCAGGGATGGAATTCGCATACGAGTGGAGTAATACACAAATGTATAATACTGCAGTGTTGAGGCTGAACCGTGCTAGCGATGTTGCCAGAAGGATCTTGGATGGAGCCAAAGCTAAAGAGAAGGAGATTCGAGAGAAGCAGCAGAGCTTAAAGCAGATGGAGGATACCGACACTACATTATTGGAGCTCAAGACATTTAAGACTAAGAACCGGCTCAAGAAGCGAACCCGTAGGAAAGCACATGATTCTCGTCAGTTTGCAAAGCGCGAGATGCGGCCGAATGAAATCTATCATCCGGCGCGGTTACGAGGCTACCTTAGTCCTCAGAGTGGGGGAAACACACTCCATGGCAATGGGTTAGTCATGATGCCGACTGCAATTTTCGATCCACTCTGGCTGCGTGTCGATAATGCTGAATCTTCTATTGGGTTGTTGGATGATAGTGAGCGAATGATGGAAGATCTCAGGTCGTTCCCAGACGCATTTAGCGATCCAGATGCTGTTTGCCCAGCTCAGGTCAATAAGTCACATCATCGAGGAAACGAAAATGAAAAAGATTTCGCGGCAGGTCCGGAAGTCTTTTTCACCGGCGCATACGCGTACCATTGGCATAACAATTGGCGCACTCCCATTGATCCCGATAGCTGGATTGGGCTGATGCGCAAAGCCTATGACGGGTTTCTAGCAGGAGAGCGGCCTAACCTCTATGGAGAGTGGCTCCGTGATGATGGCCAGGTCCTATTCAAGTAAAAAAAAATCATTATACGTCTTGCACGTAGAAAGATATCCTTCACTTACATACTATATGCCATTACAAATAAATAAATAAATAAATAAAAATAAGAAGCTGTCCTTCTGTTTGGAGAGCATAATGAGTACGCATCCCTGGCACAGGTTTCAATTACTTTGTTGCTGGTGGTTAGATTTGCTCATGAATAAATAAAAATAAATGTGACATTACAATTGATCGATTGACGCGTCCAGAACACGGAACACGAAACACGGAACACGCACTGGATAAAAAAAACCCCCAATGTTTTGATGTCTAAACTTCATTCCATGCTTCATTCCATTCACTAATTCGTTCACTTCTCTTATCTTTCTCTCTTTCAGTTCAGACTTACTAATAATAATCTTCGTCATGGCCCCACGGACTCACATTGCAGTCCTTGGTGGTGGAATCTCGGGTCTGTCCGTAGCCTGGTACTTGGCACGGATATCCCCTCCCAATGTGGCCATCACTCTCCTGGAAGGTTCAAAACGTACAGGAGGCTGGCTGCACTCTGACCGCATCAATGATCCTCTACATCCTGATGGTTCTCTTCTCTTGGAACGAGGCCCCAGGTCTTTGCGCCCACAAGGTGTCAGCGGACTTAACACATTAGAGATGGTAAAGCTTCTATTCATTGGGTTACATCTACTGCGCAACTCGGAAAGAACCTATCCGAGGCGTATCTACTTCGTCAGCACTCCTCACTATCCATTCTATATCTCAACTATGAATACGAATCTAGACTAAGCTCCTTGGTTTGGAACGTGACTTGGAGTTAGTTCCCAAAACATCTCTTGCTGCAAAAAACCGATACATCTACTCCCATGGCAAACTGCATATGCTCCCGTCTTCACTCTCTGGTGCTCTCACACATCCACTCCTTGCACCAAAGCTTGTGCGTGCGGGCCTTGACCTCGTAAAGGGGAGCAGTAAAGAAGATGATGAAAGTATCGAAAGCTTCGTGACCAGACGATTTGGTAAAGGCATGTCAGATGATTTGATTTCGGCAATGGTGCATGGAATATACGCAGGGGATGTCAGCAAATTGTCTGTGAGGTCTACTTTTGGGATGCTCTATCATCTTGAGAAGGAGTATGGGTCAGTCATCTTGGGGCTCCTGATGGGCAAAGGCAGTGTGGAGACACCATGGGACCAATTACTGAAGGAAAGGATTCTGAAGGGTATGCCTGAACTGAAGACATTTGATGAGAATGTTAGCATTTATTCCTTTAAAGATGGATTGGAAACACTATCCAAGGCGCTAGAGAAGGACTTGAGAGATTCTGGACGAATCAGCATTCATTTGGATAGCCCAGTAGAAAAGATGGACTTTAATCACAGCAACAAGACCGTGAAGGTAATTGTCAGGTTTTGATACTTCTTTTTTTTTTTTTTACCATTGTAATAGTAATGCAAATGTCAGAATCTTACCTTTCTGTGTTGCTTTATCGTCGTCGTACCTTATTAGATATCCATCAAGGATCAAGAGCCTGTTCAAGCAGACATGGTCATCTCCGCGATCACTCCTCGTCAGTTATATAACCTTTTGCCTCATTCTCACTCGGAATTAATTCACAATCCCTCTGTGGCAGTTGCTGTTGTAAACATGATCTACCGCGCCGATCAAGCTCGCCTTGCTTCTCCTGGTTTTGGATATCTGATCCCCAAATCGGAAAACTCAGCTGTTAATCACCAAGGCCTCTTGGGAGTTGTCTTTGACTCGTGCTCCGCTCCTACACAGGACCAAGGCTCAAGCCAGGGTCAGACCCTTAAGCTTACTGCTATGATGGGTGGACATATGTTTGACGATGTTGTCGCGCAAAGTTCGGTGCATGATACTGATGATGATTCGGGTATGACTATGATTAAATCATCAGACAAAATGACCAACAGCAACGGCAGAGAACAAGCTTTAAAATCATTTTTTGAAAAAGCAGCAAAAGATGCTGTCAAGAGACACCTTCAAATCGACTCTCCACCAGAAATTGTAAAAGTTCACATCCATCGTGAATGTATCCCACAATATCTGGTAGGCCATTTACAAAGAATGCAAAAGTTGGATGAGCAATTGCGTAAAGAGTATGATGGGATGCTGGCGGTGACTGGAGCTGGTTACCTGGGCGTGAGTGTTAACGACTGTATCAAGAACTCCAGGGAGGTTGCAGAAGCCATTGTCTCAAAATTAGAAGAAGAGGATGATGGCGAAGCGCAACTTGTGGGTAAACAGGATGCCATAACCGGACTTGAGAGATCCTGGTTCTTATAGTTAGCTATACTGATGACATTTAATATTTATGTATATATCACAATCAGCGATAAAAAATAAAAATAAAAAAAAGCTCTACTTTATCATGTTAATATTCGTTTGGAGAGCTCCAGGGAGAGTTCGTACTTTATGCTCCTAAAGTTGATTTTAACCATAAAGCACAATGATCATGCCGTTTATGCTATAATCAAAAAATCTCAACCTGCGGATATGGAAGAGGTTTCGTGCTTTTAGGACAGTGTACTCAACATAATCCATACAAAAGTTTACAAGAATGAGATGGGCACTGACATGCTGACAATGACAATAAATTTTAATAGAATACAATACTGGGAGAAGTCATTTCGAAATTTCTGTGGACGCTTCGCTTAAGAAGCCATTCAAAAATTCAACTATTTTTTAAAATTATTAATAATAAGAATATGTGCAAGGAGAAATGTCAAGGATTTTAACATTTTGAAAAAAGAAAGCTTTTTTTATGGGTATCCACCTGAGCTCCAAGAGATGGCGTGCCCGCCACTCTCCTCACTCGTCTCGACAGGTACCTGGACCAGAGGATAGGCCTGCTGTGAAGGCGAATATGGGTGCACAGGGTAGGCCGGGACAATAGTTTGCTGAGATAGTCCGGGAGAGGGCCGCTGAGGAATAGGAGGAGCAGCGCGTACAGACTGACTGCTGTTCATGATGTATTGGTGCTGATGTTGTTGCTGGTATTGCATGCTGCCAGTGGGGTTAGTATGTGTAGCAAGTACTGCAGGCTCCGAGCTATTGATTGACAAGACTGGCTGTAGTGCAGGAGCCATCAGATGAGTTGGTGTAGGGGAGATGTGATGGTTCTTGGGTTGAGGTACATATACAGCCTTGGGCTTGTATTCAATCGGTTCTATCAGCGTCCTAGGCTGCGGGGGCACCTTGACAAGCTTTGCAATATGTCTGTTTTCAGCGTTGTTGGGATCGTTCATGACTAACTGAATGATCGTATTGCCATTAAGGTCTGCGTTAGAGTGCAGTTTCCGGATGTTGTTTCCAAGGATGATTTGCTCCAAGGCTCCTGTTTCAATATGACGGATTTCAATGAGTCCACTCTCAAACGCGATAATATATGGATATGCGAGTGCAAATGACTCTGGGCGACCTTCCCATTCAATCAGTTCCTCCTTAGCCAGTTCGCCCTTCTTGGTCATCTTGAAAGCGAAGTCTTAGAATGAGAAGGAAAAAAAAATAGAATCAATTTTCATGGCTCAAGATTTAAAAAAGCAATTATTAATAACAGATTAGTACGAAATTAAGAATAGAGAAAAGACCCACCAGAGTAACACATCAAAAATTCCTCTGAGCTAATTTTGAACATGCTGACTGGGATACTGCCAGGACGAAGGTCCAGGAAAGCAAATTTTGGGTCCTTGCGGGATGGGAAAACTTGTGTATTCCCCAAATCATCCAGCATCAGAATTTCAAATCCTTTAGGACAAACCACACAGACCATCTTGGACAACATCAACAATTGCGATGAATCTGTACCAACATAAAATTCTTTATAAAGCTTGAACCAGTCCGACCTGTTGGATCTGCCAAACGGTAGACCGAACCCTCCACGATGATGTCCACCCAGAACTGCGTTTTCAACCGGCTCAAATGCAGAAAAGTGACTCTCTCCAGCATTTTTCTTCTTCATAGTAATGACCAATGTCCTGCCTGCACAGATACCTGCTGTAAAGAATTGAACACTCTTGCCAAGTTGATGGCCAGTCTGTAGTGATTTTTCGGCGTTAAAGTCCAAGCAGCTCAGATTGAAGGCTTTTAGTACTCTGCCGCTGAGAACAAGCAGGATGTGATATGCCTCTAGGACGCTGACCTGACTAACATTTGGTTCTCTGAGGGCCAACCTAAAACTATATGGGTCGTCCTCCATGCCAACATATATTCCTTCTTCGGTTCCTATAACGACACGTCTCTTGCCATCAAGCACGTTGAGATAAGGTGCCGAGCAAGTCGAACGTCGGCCATCCATAGGATTATGAACCAGGTTGGAGGACGGAATTGGTGGTGTGGCATTGTAATGAGTGATAACAGTTGTCTTAAATAGTTTAGATCCAGAAACAGCCTCTTGTCGACGTGCTTGCACAATCTCCATTTGTTCCAGGAATTGATCTCTATCGGCTACGGTCATGTAGAGTGTATAGAGGCCTCCTCGTCGACCACGGTGTTCGATCGTTATGGGCGCGATGTACTTTGTCTCCTGGAAGCCTACACGATAGTTATTATCATGTTGTCCCATGAACGTAGAATGACGATGTCCAGAGCCTGAAGATTTTGTGCTGCTGGTCAGCTTCTTGCCAGGAACAATCTCTCGTCCAGGAACAGCTGTTAAAGGTCTACCATCGTCAGCCCAGACTTGGACTAACTCAAGGGGGATAGGCTACATGCACATTTTTTCATCATACACATTGAAATGAAAGTCAGAAAAAAAAAAAAAAAAAAAAAAAAAAAAGCCAAATAATGAAATATAAAAAATAACAAGTAATTGAGAACTTACATTCTTGGAGACTTGGTACAGTACACCCTCTTTGTCCTTGTCACGCTTTTCTTTGGTCATTAATAACACTTGGTCAAATAGGAACAGTCGAAGCTCGATCATTTGAACATCCAAGTTCGACCGTCGCTTGACAAGGCACTCAAAATGCAGTTTCCTTGATTTATCCGATAGCTTAAGGTCCTGTCGAACTTCTCCTGTCTTCCAAATGATCTTATCCTGAATGGTCAAAAGCCTCAGCTGCCGGTTCCCTTCTGGTATGCAGGCATCTACACGCTTTCCTAGCTCCTTACATACTTTAATTACTTCCTGGATGACGTCGCGATCAGGGACATCTTCGTCTGTCCGCTTGACTACTTCACTGAGTAAAAGTGGATATCTAGGAATTCGTTGATACGGCTGGCCAACAAAGTGTCGCAAACCCAGACGGCGGGCTTCTGGATGGCGTGTACAATCCTTGAGAAATTGAGCAAATCTGGGGTTTTGGGTCTCTTCCCTTTTGTAGGCATACTCGGATAAAGCGATTCGTGGGATATATCGGAGGTAAGCCTCTTCAAACCCTGATATATGCTTGAGCATGACGTCGCCAATGCCTTCCACTAAAGGTTGTTCTTTCTGTCTTTGTCTTAATTCTTCCAGTAGTTTCTTATTGAGCGCAAGGATTTCCTGGAAATTCAAGAAAATATCCTCGATCAGCTCCTCTCTTCTTTCTGGGTCAACAATATCTCCGGCTCGAAGAGGAGCAATGAAAATCTAGAATTAGGGAGAAAGATGTTTAACCATTGTCAGTGCGTCGTTAATATATATCAATGGGTACCCATTTTCTACATTATCTCATCATTCTAAGTCGAAAAATATAAAATAAAAAAAAAATAAAATAAAATAAAATAAAAAAGAAATACCTCCTCCATGAGCTCAAGATCGCGAACGTAATTATGCTCAGTATGAACGACTTCAAAGATGGCTTCTTGACGATTTCGTTCTTTCTTTGATGCTGCAGCCACAACACTAGGGGGGACAGAATTGGCCCAAACATTCTCTTGGCCGCTTACCGTCGACATATCACTGTTCTGTCGCTCTAAAACGCCAGCCTGCATTGCAACAAATGGTTAACGTTAGGTACAATTCAGCATATTCAAACAATCCATGTCTAGTTTTAGAAACCGATATTTGGCGGCGCAAAAGGCAGATAATACATACGATATTCTGGCGATTGGGACAGAGGTAAGAGTAACAGGGACTTCCTCCAGGTTGGCAATCATAAGTGTAGCAAGGTGTAGTGTGCGGGAACACGCCGACTGGCACTGTTGGAAACCCTGTTTTCCCCGGAATATATGCCAACGTTGCTTCAGAAAAAAAGTACTGATCATTGTTCGAGTCATAAAGAACGTTGACACCGCCTCCAAAGAACAAGACTTGCTGTTCCAATGAACGTGCGATGGCTAAAGCGTGTCTTCTGTCATCAAACTTTGTCAGCTCCACGATCACATCCTAATACATTTATTTGGGTCGCGTGGTTAATGAGTATAATCACAGCGCACATACGGAGTTGCCATTTTGATCACACTGGTCAAAAAAAAAAAAAAAAGAAAAAAAAAAAAAAACATACCACTGCTTCCTTTCCAGTGAAGGTCACAGGGAACTCGAGCCCATAGTTGACGGATTCAAGTCTTTTAGACTCGTTCTGTAGCATCTTCTCACGGAAGGCAACAGCAATAGTAGAAAGGATGCCAGGATTAAAGTCAATCAATAGCCGAGCTGCCTCTGATATAGAAGATTCATTATCATCGAATGACTCTTGCAATCCATATTGACCCAAGTAAGACGGGGGTGGAAAGCCTGGAGAGGAAGGTTGACTCCAGGTCGTTTGGGTCGTTGATGAACTGGTTGATGTCCTGTAAAGCTGACTGGCAGAACTTGGTGTAGGTGATAGTTGAGGTATTTGTCCCTCTCCATATGGATACTGAAAATATTGCTGCTCAGGATGCTGATAAGGATGATGCTGTGTGTTTGAAGTATAATTGAGAGTAGCATTTGGAGGAAGCTGCTGTTGATATCCTAAATTACTATTTTCATTTTGCCGTGCTCGCAAAGGTGAAGCTATATTGAGGTTGGAGGCATCCTGATGTATTACGCCGCAAGTGTCATCTAACGTTCTGATGCTAGGAGCTTGGAAAGAGTATCTAGGTTCACTTCCTTCATCTTCATCGACCTGTGATAGCTTTGCCATAGATGGATGATAGACGGGTTGCTGTGCAAGCTGCCGTTGAGATGCAGATTCCCAGATAGTGCCATTATATCCTACGGATGAAAGCTGTTCCGTAGAGCTCCTTGCGGCTGCAATGCCATATCCAAAAGCCGACTGATATGTTGGATGGTACTCTTGCTGGTGCTGCAGAGGAGGGATTGGATAATGAGTAGGCAATCCGTTCTGAGGACCATGATGTACACTAAGTTCGTCCAGAAGAGTACTGGTGTTGCTAACATTGCTGTGATGGGTAAATGGGTGGTTGGGAGTATTTGGAGGATGAATGCCCCTAGCTCTATCCTTCTTTGGACTGGGTACATACGAGCTATGAGGGGTGTAAGCTACAGGTACTAGCGGATTAGGACGATTCCCAGTTCCCTGACTACTTGGAGGTGGTGCCGTGTAGGTGGCCATTTGAATATTGAAGGTGGTATTGACACTGAAGTTAATGATGATGTTATTGTTTCGCTCTGGACCAGAATCCTGAGGTGAAGACCCTTTCCGTGGGCTACGAAGGAGGATGTAAACTGGGGGGAGGAAGGAAGGAAGGGAAGAAAGGAAGACAGAGTGAGAAACAAACAATCGGTGAGATAAAGAGAGAATGAGAGAGACAAAGGAAAGAAAGAAGGAAGCACGCACGGCGATTATAACAAGCGACTCTGCTCACTAAAGCACACACAAAAAAAAAAAAAAAAAAAAAAAATAGAAAGAGAGCACTCTCAATCATACACACACCCTCCTGTGTCGGTTGTCTTGTCTGGGAGACAGAGATAGCACGATAATAAACTGACTAATTGACTGGTTGATCCAGACGAAGGGGAATGAAGGAGCACATTGAGCAGGATTTCACATTAAAAAAAAGCTGTCGCAGATGATTATGAATTACATTTCATTGCGACACAAGTGTCGGCTGATTCTGCTGTGATCTTTTTGAAAAAATCGATGTTTGTTATTCATTGTTCATTTCCCAACTCAGTCTTTATATAGAACTCTGTTCTCAGTACTAATTGTTCTTTTTATTTTTTTTTTTTCCTCGCCGTGCTCAATGAGATAGGTCTTTTCTTCTTTTGATATTATAAATTAGAAAGAGATGGAAATAGGATCTACAATATTATCAAGTAAGATATACCTTTTTTTTCTTCCTTCTTCTCTCTTATTGTTTAGGTGTGTTCTAGATGTGTAAGGGCGAAGGAAAGATGAAAGGTGTGTGTATATTGAAAAAAAAAAAAAAAAAAAAAAAAAAAAGGGCTGAGAGATAGGAGGCTGAATGGATGGCGAGGCGTTGGTGTTAGATAGTGCAGAATGATGCGGTAACCGTGTTGTGATAATGAGAAAGAGAATTAAGTTGAGAGTAAATCGAGAGAGTGTAAGAGGTGTGAGAGACGTGAGAGGCGTGAGAGATGTGAGAGGCGTGAGAGATGTGAGAGTGAGAGTGGAGAAAGAAAAAGAGATGAAAAACGATACTGCGGTTGTACTAAAAGCAACAAAAGGAAAACAAGAAAAAAAAGAGAAGCCAATGCATGGATGAACTGCTTTCTGGTGGCAAAAATACAATTCACACCTTTATTTGCCTGTGTGTTTGTATTCTGTGTGAACACAGCCCATTTTGGCTGTTTCTCTCTCTATTCTCTCTCTTCGATCTCTCTTCGATCTCTCTTCGATCCTTTCGACCCTTGTCTTTCATGATCGAAAAGCGAACCAACCACATGATTCTTCACGAAATATAACAATGATCAGTAACACTTTCAGCCTACAGTACTCCACGGAACTCGTGCCTGGTCTTCGTTTTAAAAAAAGTCTCTCCCCACGACACGATAAATCTCCCTGCGTAAATTTTTTTAATTGTTCCGCGGGGAAACCTTTTTTCATTCCCTCACTTATTGTCAATACGTCTTGAGCTCTGACGACTTGTATTTTCAAGACCGAATCAGACAACTTTGTCCTCGTCTCTGTCCGGACATGGAAAACCCAGATATTAATTATACATTCAATTGCTCAATTCTCTTAGTGCCCTTTAGCACGTTCCTCCTTCACTAAAAGGCCACGGAATAAAGAAACTGAAAACGATGTGTCAAGTGAGCTCATAAAAAAAAGGTAAGCTGAGAGCACCCAAAAATGAACAACCAACAACGTTTTATGAAAAAAAAAAAAAAAAAAAAAAAAGGTTTCCTCATCTATTGCTGCTTGTAAATTTTTAATATTTTGTATCGTATAATTGTCCAGAGACACTACAACTCTTTAATAATACTACGCATAGATATCTAAGGCTTCAGCTTCCATAGTGAGTGCTGTCGCCTTGACATTTTCATTCCACGCACCAAGTCGATCTTGCATACCCTTGATCTGATTTCTGTCAAGGACACGTGGCTGTACCCAGTTCACACGTACAACAGAGTCGACTTGATCAATAGTTCCTTTGATCAAACCAAGCGAAAGTGCCTTCATCACCAAGATCTCAACTTCCTCCAAAGGCAACTTTGTCTCAGAAGAGATGGTTACAAAAGGAATCGAGCGGTTATCGAAACTGCGTTTGAACACTGTTTCTGTAAGTGACATCAGACAGATCTTTTGGCGCAGAGCATCGATGTTGGATTGCAAGATATTCTAATAAAAATCCATTAATAGATAAAAAGGTAGAGAAGAAAAAAAAAAAAAAAAAAAAAAAAAAAAAAGAGAGAGAGAAAGGTCAGTCCGCACTGCCACCTGAACATTTCATTTTAACTTGTCGACATATTCATTATCAAATCATTGCAATAACAACGTCGACAATACCTCTTGAGTAAAATGAGGAGAAAGAGCCTCGAACTTTCCAATATCGCCACTGTTGAAAGCAAAGAGAAGATTCTTGAGCCATTCGCGTTCTGTGCCGACCAAAGATTCCAAAACTGGATGCATCAACTACGTTTTAAATGTGGAGAAGGTTAATACAGTGAATTAATCCAGTTGGATTCAAATTAACTGTTCTCCATAACAGCACAAATTTTTATCCTTTACACAAAAAGGTCATAGACAAGCCTTACAAGTTCACCAAAGTTATAAATCGAATCGCCAAGGAGTGCCGACAGAGCCAGATCGTTCGCACGGCTTGCCTTCTCGGCTTGAGAAAGATCATCAATGTTCACGCATGCCAAGTAGAGTAATGCATTCTTGTAATACTTTGCATATTCAGCCTTGATCTACAGTTGGATAATAGATATAAGCATCAAATGCAATGCATATATTTAAAGCATGAAGGTAACATTGATTTAATGACATGCACCATTAATTCTTGAATCCTTTCAAAAGGAAAAAAATAAAAAAAGATAAGCGTGATCTTCGTTACTACTCCCGATTACCTTGTAAAAGTCAGCAGAAACACGGAGATAGCTGGCATTGATATGAGGGTCAACAGAGTCAAAACTATCAAGGAGCTTTGAGCACTCTTCCAAGTCCTTCTTGGTCGAGTCCAGATCGCCCAATAACAATCCAAAATGACTCTGTTCCATCTTTGCCAGCACGTAGGCGTCTCTTGTCTCATCCTTATTGACTTTTTCTGTCAGTGTCTTCAAGAATTCTCTGGCTTGTGTGTGGTCTATGAAAAGATCAGTTGCGTATGTTTAGCTAGCTGACATGATCGTATTGGCTAAACATGTCTCCATATTTTAAGGACATATGGATTTCCATGAGCACACACATACCTGGAATTTGCTTTGAAGCAGAGACGCCAAACGTAACCAACTTAAGCTGACTCATCTTTGATTCCCAGTCTGAAATGAAGTTATTGTAAAGATCCACTTGAAAAGGTCCTGATTCGGGCTTTGATAAAAATTCTTGAACCGCCAGTGTCAATTGATGCCATAATCTAAATCAAAAAGGTATACTTCTTATTAGACAACTAGTAAAATATAGGTATTCGATCTACTAGACACGCTGACTTTCAACTATATAACAGGAGTCAAAGATGAAGGAAGTACGAACTTGCGCTCATAAAGGTCTTCAAAGGTGTTGTAGTAGTTTTGAAGCGTTGCTGGGACCTGGCGCTTCTGTGTGGCGAGGAAATGAGGAATGTCCGAGTCGATCTCCATAATGTCTAATTATTTGAATTGCCAGTATCGTTTTTCTTTTTATCAGGGAAGAATCCAAAGCTTGGGAGCGTTTAGTTCTTGATGTCGTAAAAGGTGAAGGAAAGATGCTGAGTGAGGGAAGAGAAATAGAATGAAAAAGACATGTTCACGATGTCCACGCGTCCCTCTTATTTCCTCCTAGAGAAACAGAAGAGCGCAGCACAATTCTGGCTCTATTGCGTCACCGAAAAATTACTTCGTCCGACGATCTATTGATTTTTTCAGGAGTCCAACTCCCGGTTCCAGTCAATAGGCAACGGTATTATCCCAGATCGCCAGATGAATCTTACCTCCCTCTAAAAAAAAAAAAAAAAAAAAAAAAAGGAAAGGGGCTAGAAAGCTAAGTGTAAGCAATTGTAGGGAGATGAGGAGCTATGAGCTTCGTGAAGGGAATAAATAGCAATAACAGCATAATATGAGCTCCCGCACTTTTAGGAGTACGTGCTCTTTCATAACTGCCTAGTGTCTAGGCTTATGTAATTTGTATGTATGTAAAGCCCGTAAATATGACAAACTGATCGAGATTTGTGCCTTAAAACCTCAATCTTTTCTCTTGATGTAATTTGACGCTATATCTCCTCACCTCTTCCTGCTGACTTGATGTCGAATACGTTAACCAGCTTTGTTGGCTCTCTCGGCAAGCTTCAGCAATCAGGAATAGCAGCAGGATCAGTGGCTCAGTAAATAGTATACTCGCTAGTACTCCCTTAGTATTTCGGCATGTTTAAAAACCATTTCCAGGTTCATCTGCTTTCTATGGGGATGGTATCCAGGATATAAATCAGATACACATTGAAAAAACTGATAGCTGTTGAGTTGTAATGTTCTTCCAGATGGATCAACAACTTCGGCTTTTGATGATATCCATAGCGTTGACAGGCCAAAGATGAATGAAGCCTTAAGTGGTTTTATCCCATTCCGTCAGAGCAACGTCAGCTAGATCCTTGCTATAGACTGTTAATCATCAACTCTCTCTTGACCAAAGCCAAGTAGTTACTTGCCGATCTCGAGATTGGCCCAGCAACAGTAACTGAAAATTCTATCTCGTTTTTCCATGGAATATTGGGGATCATCAACATGGTTTCTCCAGGGATCAATGCAATCCTGTCAAAGATCACTTACAGGACTTACTTGGAACCTTGGGCACCTTGGCGAATACAGTGGAGATGATGGTCCAGGTATCAGTCTGATTCAAACCGTCAAGGTGTTGGCGAATACTGCGATCAGCTTGATTGATAGCGTCCCTTTGGCAAATAGTGTTGCCAAGCTCCCTTCTTCCAGCATTGGATGTCCGGCAACCGAGTCTGTATCCAATATTCAGGAAACATATGATACCTTGAACTATCCTACCACGCTACTTGAGAGCGTTCCTTTCATTGGAAGCAGCACGAGGCTAATTCAATACTTGCTTGATACAATCGAGAAGGTTAATGATTGTATGAATGTCGGCTCAAGCACGGCCGACATTGATCCTAACAATCTCGCTATTTCAGGGTTTCAGGGTTTCCGCTATGAAGGTATGGAATAGAGCGAAAAAAAAACAGAAGCATTTAAAAAGCCAGATCTGTAAATAAAGCACGGGATTTGTGCTGTATAAAAGTATGTTTTGCAGATTGAAAGATCAGAAGAGCCCATTTTGTCAAGTGGTAGGTATGAGTAAGCGGTGTGTATTCTTATAAATTTATTCAATAAATCACTTAAATACTGTATACAGACTACATTCCGTGAGGGAGCCCTCGGGGCTGGATATGTATATTTATACATTTATAGATATAAGATATACAGCTGAATAAGGTACTTACACATTCCCGCCAATGCTCAGGGACGAGTGGCAGTAGGCACGTGTGCTAACCATTTGCAAGGACTGATCCTTAAATTATGCTTAATGGCTCTTGAGATGAATTGATGAATCTGAGGGCCGTGCGTGATCACGAAACCAATCTATAAACAATTGACTTCTTCTAATTAGCATTCGTTATTATTCAAGCTGGCTATGCCCAGCAAGCGAAATAGACGATACAAGTCTACAAAAGATTCTTTGTGTAATCAAGGCTGATCGTGTGTGGAAGAGGAGGCTTTGTTTGTATGGATTGAACTGGTACGCAAAATAGAGCGGGACACATCTTATGTGATCAATTGGCACAGCTTCCTGCTGTTGACCAGCCCCTAGGGTGAATATAAACAACGAATAATTTTTCATCCCCTGGCCATAGATTATCTCAATCTTGGAAATATCATTGTTTCCCATTCATCTTCCCGCAGGAGGAATCATATAACCGCTGTATGAATATGGCCCATATGCTCCTCTCCCTCTTCTCTCCTTCTCCCCCACTTGTTTCTAGGAATGAGATTTTAAGGACATGTGATGGTAAACATGCATCTCGTCATTTCTGAGCGATGTTCCCATGGACCATTTAAGATGAGATGGTTCTTAGTTTACAATGCAATTACCGAGACGCTTGCTTACGCCTTATGGTGTCTTTACTTCTATTCATTGATCAAAAACACGGAGAAAATTTTATTTATTTACTCATTTAATGACATGTTTGCAACAGAGGGTTTCTGAAGGTGCAAAAGCTGTGAAAAAGATATGAGTGTGTAGTGAAGTGCTCAAGGCTTTTCGTAATCCCTTTATTACTGTTTGTATATCCAGCTCTTTTATTGATGTAATACAGTGGTGAATGTTGATCCACCAAACTTCTCAGCAGACTGACTTTCTTTGTAATCTAGCACTGGTACACGCAGAAGAAAAGAATAATAATGGATTCTTGTTCTGCACAAGTCATTGTTTCCAAAGTCTTTTAGTCGCGAATCTTAGAATCGAAAGAGCATGCAATCTAGGAATAGGTAACCATGAGTGCATTCATAGGCTTGATTAATGTGATCTGTGAGGCTGTGACAAAAGTCTTTAATCACGAATATGCAGGTGCCTTTGTATCCTGCGTCTGAATGATTACAATGATTTTTGAATTGAAATAGTGATCATGTAAGAATCAGCAATCGCCAGGCAAGAGCAAAAACTTCGGCAATTTTTGGATTCGCCGCCTAGCCAAGACAAATAGCTTTATACAGATAATACCAAATAATGCAAATAATATAATAGAAATTGCAATGGTACGCCATCTCCCTAATTGTCACGAAGACAAGGACGAGGCATGACAGTGAAGAACAGCAGGGTTTGAAGTTAACGTGGGACAGAAAAGCATGAATGAGCGAGCGAGAAGGTACGCATTTGCATTACACATGAAAAAAGGGTTCCTTGTGTTGGGAGAAAAGTGATGAAGATGCACTGCATTTTTTTTTTCTCTGTGTACAACCTCAACAGCATGACACGCTCACAGTGATCAACATTGTGGGAAGAAATATAAAAACGCTGCCTGTGCCCTGTTTTTTCTTTTCTTTTTCTTTTCCTTTTTGTCGCCCGCCCTGTTATTTTATTATTTGATTTATTGTTTTTCTTTAGTTTTATTACTCGTAACGCGTTCATTTTTTTTCTTTTCATTCCTTCTCTCCCCCTACTCTGCTTTGCCTCCCTTCCTCCTCTTTGCCTTGCCCTGTTCTGCCCTCTCATTACCCTTCATTTGACTATACCATCCCTTCTCCCTGTATCATTTGTAGTATAGTATTTTATCTTTGTATCTTTCTTTTCCCAGCCTCCCTTGCGCATTACCGCGTCCTGCAACTTTACTCCGCCAGTCTTCCTTATTTTTCATTTACACCAAATACACACACACCTTTTGATTTCCCTCCTTCATACCTAAAAAAAGTATATACTTTATCCCACGCTGCCAAAAGGCAATCTCCAGGTAAAGAAAACTGCCGTAAAATCCGATCCAACATACACTCTCACACACTCGCCTCTTTTATTTTTATTTTTACTTTTGTTTTTTTTTATTTGTTTAACTATTGTGTCCTTTGAATAAAACTTTGCACGTATTTATTTGCCGTGTTCTATATTCTTTATGATCTTTCAGCAATCCCATTTGATTTCCCACCATTTCCCCTCTATCTTGCCCAAAGTTACTCGGCATTCAGGTCCTCCTTTTTTTAAAGGAGGTTTAAAACAGTGCACAACAGCGAAAAATGGCCTAATTTAATTTACATGAATTACTCTATTTTTCAGAGTTGTGCATCCATTTGTCCTGCCTGTATGATTCAGTGTAAATGCCAATCCTTTATATGGATAATGTTTTCGCAAAGGAGGGCGGAATGTCTGACAAAAGGTCGTGTTGCTGGAAATTTAAAGTTCGTCTCCCTTTCTCCTGCCTCCCTAACCCCTGGTCTTTCTCCCCACCTTTTCGTACCACAAAGAACTTTGTCGGACATTAACGATCATCTAAGTCTTTCTCTTCCAACCTCCTGATGTTTGTTGTCATCATCATCATTTATATCTCTATCATCTATTGTATCACCAGATCTCGTCCCTGTCTCACCTACTTATAACGCACAAGCCAGGCATGTCTTTGGCCTTCATAAATTTCATTCAAACACAATTTTTCTTCACTCATCTAACCAGAAGTCTAATCATATCATATCATCCTGTTTCTACCATAATCTCTCTTTTTATATCCTAGTCTTAATAACTAATACAACTATTCATTAGAGTATCCGTATCTCTACGAACGAATACCACAGTAACAATAAAACAAAAACAAAACAGAAAAAAGAAAAGAGAAAGCAAGAAGACAAAAAAAGAAAAGAGAATTCAGTACTACAATCAACAAGGAAAAAGAAAAAATGCCGCTCTCCAATGTCTTCCGCTATGCAATCCCTAATCCCTTTCACAGTAATGCCTCAAAAGGCAAAAGCCGCTGCGAACTTGCGCACAGACGACCAAGTAATGCAGACAGTCTTGTCTCATCCATATTGGTCAGCCCAGTTCTCGTTGACTCCACTGACAGCAACCATAGCAGTAGTAAGGCCAATCAGGCCCCTTATCCTCCCAGTTCAGTCAACGCAGCTTCAGCATCCTCTGACTTTATTACTCAGTTCGATATGACCAAGAAAACAACATCACCCCATCTTCTAAAGCAAAAGCGTTCGCAGCAACTCCTGACCGAGATTCGTGGAGAAGACATAGAAGATGAGGATACTTCTGACCTAGAGCACTTCCGAGCTTCAGCATCTTGCTCACCGGTGCCTCCATCACCAGGAATTCGAATACCTCCTTCGCCTACAACGCCCAGCTTCATTAATGATTATATGGACCGAGGCATTACATCGTCGCCAGAGCTCATGACACTTCATCCCAACACCTCTGTCCTAACACGTTCGGCTGCTGCTGAAGACGGCAAAATAGCAGGTGAAGAAAACCGAGGTCGTCGTCGGAAGAAGAAGGGGACAGGGAAGCCAGGAGCCATTGGATCCAAATTTGGGTCTTTGTTCTTTAAGAAACAGCAAGAACAAACCCAGCAAGGCCTTGACAATACATATACAGAGGAACACATTGTTGTCATGCCAGGTAACGAGTTCGAAAAATTGAACCAAGACCACAGTCAGATTTTGCCAACGCCGGCATCAATGCCAGCAGAAAGTCCAACTACTATGAAGAAGAAGCGTTCTATTGGCGCGTTCTTGCCCAAACCCTTTCGTTCAAAGTCGGGACCCGCAGCAATCCCGGCCACAAATCCATGTCCACTTCAAGTGGTGGGCGAAGGGAGGCCTCCTCAAGGCAACGAAGCCACTGAAGGCAATCAGCAGCACCAGAAGCATGAGTCTACCACAACGTCGGGCATGCGTCGAAGGCGAAAGGGCCTGTTGCCAAAGCTTCCTCGCCTTGATACACGACCCCGAATCTTCGACTCCGGAACCAGTGAAGCAGTAGCAGGATCTCAAGTTCGGAATCAAAGAGATAATCAAGCTGCCGGTGTTAAGGCTTCAAAAGGCAAAAAGAGTAAGGGACCAATTAAAAGCTCTCTTCCTTCTTCCTCTATAGCCCCCATGGCACCTCTTGATCCATCGGTGTCATCGTTGCCACCACTGACCCCAGTCTACCTCCCCACAATGCCAATGCTCCGTGATTTGAGCCCCATGTCCTTTAAGGTGGATCAGTTTGGTTCTTCATCCTTAGCTCAACCTGGAAATGCTGAAACCAAGCCTGATATGCCCCGACAGCATAGTTACGGCAGCAATAATTCAAGACTGGCACCACACGCAGAATCAGCTGGAGATGTCTCTGGAAAGGGTCGTATTTATGAGTCGACGACCTATGCTTCTGCCACAACTACAATGACGCTCCTCTGGAATTGGCGTGTGCTCACAAATAACAATCATCTGTATCATGACGACAGATGGGACCGAGTATCAGTGGTCTCCACAATCTCCAATGCCTCAAACATTTCGGTCTTGATCAAGGGTTCGGGCGTTCTTCGCCCTCGACGATCTTCCACATCAGTAAATGAGGCAGACATTAAGGCTATTAGGCTGGAAAAAAATGGTACTGATAACACGAAACCTGTATATCTCACAAACCATACAGCCTACAAGCTCCCTCCTGGAAAGAGTACAAGAGATGAGGCCTTAATATGCGGTGATGATATAAGCCAAAGCCGTTCGTCTTATGACACATCACGCAAACAAAATAAACCTGATAACGGTATCTTGTTTGTCGCCGCAGCACCAACAACTGCAGAGGCCTATACCAATGCAGATCATGAGAATAGTACCAATAATGATATTGATAAAGTGACTCGCAAGTTGGGCGATCTCCTCAGGCTTAGTACAAGTATGAACAAAGATGCACCTGTTATCGAATTAAGTGGGTCGGGGATGAACGTGAATGCAGTTGACGGAGATCAAAGAGCGAGGACTAATTTTGATGAAAGTGATGAACACGAAACTAACCTATTCGACCCTCTTCCCCAACTGTAGGATCCGCCGGCACTCATAATGATCGCTCCCCCGGTAATAATAGCGATACCAACAAAGCCAATTTAGACAATAATGAAGGCAGTTATGAAAAGATTAACGACAGTAATGACAACATTGACAATGATAATAACGCCACCGCAGCTAGTAACGACAACATCGACAACGCCAACAATATCATCAACGATGTCGAGGCCAACGATGATAATGCTATCGATTACAATAATGACAATCTTTCCATCACCCCCAAAAGGTCTAATACCATTGGAAGTAGAAGTATCAGTAGCGGAAGCATCGGTGGCAGCAGCACCCGCAGCACCCATAGAATCAATAAAGAAGATGATCACTGTCTGAGTCAGCCAGGCCTCTATGCGTCTCACAACCGTATTCCGCCTCTGGAGAAGCTGGTTGAACTACAGGACCAGGAGCAGTGGCGAGTGCGTCAGCTTCAAAATCGACTCCGATCCTCCCTCCAGCGAACGCAAACACAACAGCAGCTTCTGCAGCAGCAGCAGGAGCAGCAAGGAAGGCAAGGGAGACAACGCTCTCGATCCCCATCTTCCAAGGGCCAACCAGGACAGTCAAATCAAAGCTCACCAACAGTATCTCAAGCCCATTCGCGCTCATCGTCTCTTCACCCACATCAGCGAGTGCTGCAGAAGCAGGATAGTTCCATTTCTTTGATCCAACCAAGCACCAACGCGACCCTCCTTTCACCAAAGGCTTCATTCTCTTCATATGTCTCGACCATCTCACGTGCCACTCCTTCACACCCCAATACAAACACCCACTCTCAATCACAGCCGCAACCTCTATCCCGGTCCCAATCCCAGTCCCAGCCCCGAGCTCAGCTCCATCCTCAAGCGGCCCCACCCACGTCACCCTCGTCGATATCACCAACTTCATCCAATATCTTCCGCATATGGGGCAGGACCCCCAGCGTGAACAGTGATAGCACAGTAGCACCCATCACGCCTGCATCCTCCACATACTCTCTCCCACTGGCATCTCCAACCCTTCTTCGACCCGAAAATCCTCGTCCACTTCAGCCAACTCTCTCTGCCAATAACGCTCTTTCGTTCGAGAAGTACTTTGAGGACACTGCATCCATTAAAACTATGAATAGTGCTCCTGCCACCCTCTCAACTACCACGGCTGCATCGGACTCCAGACCTGTCTCGCCTGCAACATCGCTCCCACCATCGAACGTGCTGACTGGACCTGCTAATTCGGGTACATCCAGTTCAAGAATGCCGGCACTACACCGACGCCATGCCAGTGCCCCATTGTCTAACCAGGAACCGAGCAATGGTCATATGCTTTTGATGTTGGTCCGAGGACGGACGCAGTACTATAAAGACGGAGCACGGGCCAAGGCTGGCCCACAATGGGGTGATGAAAATGACATTTATAGCCCTGATTCGATTGCAGAAGAGAGAGAAGACGAGAGTAATGAGAGGGAAGACGAATCTGTTCATGAGCTTGATGCTCAGGAAGAAGACGAGGGTCTGACCAGGAGCGGAAGCAAGGTACGCCGTCAACACATGTACACGGCTTCCCCACTCTCCACTTCGCCTCTATCGTCCTCTCCTGCCTCAACTTCACCTCTTTCGGATGAGACAAGAATTTTGAAAGGCCATCGACAGATTCCCCATCGGCCTTCTGTTTCCACTTTGCAAAGCATAAAATCTACAAGCTCCTCTTCATCTTCATTGATCAATACTGCTCGCCTGGGCTCAGGTGCTGCTCCACATCTGAACCATATCCGCGGAGCTAAATCTCGCGCTTCCGTTTCTTATACAGCTATGCCTACAGTGGCTACTGCTAGCCCGACCTTACCTCAGTCCCAGACATCGTCTACTACAAGCCTGAATCTTTTGTCAACTATTCATCGAGACTCTAGAAACAATGCTCCTAACAACAAATCGTAAGGTCGTCACTACGATAGACAGACACCAATTTTATATAATTTGCAACATAGTTATTGCGCTACTTAATAGTCATGATACCCAGCCTAAAATAAGTATATTTCTGAATAAAAAAAAGAGAGTGTGATTTTCGATTGTGTAGCCCTTCATCCATTTAAAGGATAAACTTACCATTGTAAATGGGTTTGATATTCAACAAACCATGGGTAGTACCTATAGCATGGTAGTTCATGCAAAGAGGGAAAATAAATCCATCATTGATGTAAGGCAAGACCCTGATTCTCGAGATGAAGAATCTTTTCAAAACGAACAACCTGACCATACACATTGATGGGTGTTCTTGTACCGAGAAAGGAAAAGCAAGGATGGAACGACAAGCCAGAAGACAGAAAATTGTGGACGCTTTGAAAAAACAAAACGACCACCTTCAAGAAAAATCCACAGAACGGGGTTTGGACTCGTCCTCAAGTCATGGAACGTATCCAGAAAGGCCCTGAGAGGCCCATATCCTGAGCGGCCATGACAAAGATCAGCTGATATCAGGCCTCGCCTCTATCTACGATGTCTGCCTTGTGCATATGAAGCGGATCCATGCATAGGATGCCATGATGACAAGAATGATAGGATTGTGGCATCTCAAGTCTCTGATTTTTTTGCGTACGAACAAGTCTGCACCCTAGTGCGCCTCCTTCCGCGACGTCGACGAAGGTTTAGGGCTTACGACGTGGATGACGTTATCCAAGCATTAAGCCTACCAGCACACCGTCATCTGGTGTTGTTCTGTGCGATCTTAGACAATGGTAATTCAAAAAATCTTGAGACGTTGGGCCTGATTAATAATCTTTAATTAGTTCGAAAGGTTGCATGGAACAGGAACTACAATAAATACTTCGAAGTTATCATATAGAGGCTAGCGAGAAGTTGGAGTAGAACGTAGTCTATGAAGAAGGTCGTTTCAAAGTAGCTCTCCATGTCTTTAGTTCCCGCCATCAAATGTCGACTCAAGTATTACCATCAAGCACTGAGTTCGATAAATTCAAGTGTCTTCTCGACGGAAAGAATCCTTAGAGTGGCTCAGCAAAGGCGATTGCAGGACCGCAAAACGTACGAGAGTTCAAGTCGTAGCTATGGTCTTGAAACTAAACATCTCCAGTACTGATCGCTGGCCCTCTCTTAAATATTTTAGAGACATTCAATCGTTCTATATAGCATAGAAACCAGTTCTGGTCCATCTTTTCTGACGGGCCAAGCATATTGAGCGCACGCACAGTTAGTATCAGCAACTACCGTGAACGCGATACGCCTAGTCTTAAGCATCCCACGTCGGAGAAAGGAAAAAGGAGCAACAGAAAAAATAAAAGCAAAAGCACAATGCCAAGGAGCCTCAGAAGGGCAAAAATGAAGGTACACCAATTATAAACTTGAGGGGCGCAACAAAGGCCAACCATAGCTACAGCAGCAAGCACCCTATCGAGGTCTTAACAACTAGATCCCTCAAAACTTCCATGACAAGAAAAAGCGGACTGGATGCAGGCGAAATGGGAACCGTTACAAGCCAAATCCGAGACTACGCCGCTATGCATGTTAGACGAGGGCCTTAGGCATTGAAAGGGCCATGCGGCTACCAGGAGTATCAATGCAGAGGAAGAAGATACTGGGAGAAGCCTTGGATAGTACTGAATATTATTATCGTCTCGCAACCCTTCTTTTAAGTGAGCAAGATGGCCACAGTTCATATTACGCGAGGTTATTAAAACAAGGAAGGACGGTAGGAAAGCTCCACTGTCTCCTCGCTTATGAGTGGGGGTGCACGAGCTTTACACCAGCGCCCGCTGACCCCGACACCTCCGCGACAGCTTTTTGGAGGTGGTGTACCCTCGCTCTAAATATTGCCATGCATGAGAAGTATTCTTCGATCGAGACACAGTTGGAGCGGAAATATCGCAAGAATCGGTCTTGCTCGGATTGAGAGCCATGAGAGCCAAGAGAGACCAGCGAAGTACAGACCCACGGAAGAGCCGCCCGCTCTCCCTGCAAAGCGTGCATGACGCTAGGCACAAGTATTTGGGTGCCGGCAGACCCACAAAAAATGCGTAAGCTCTATTTATTTTCGTCTCTTGCGTCCTACTACCTCATGAATTTCTGGACTAACTTAAAAAAACCTTAGGAAGCCAAGCTTCCGCATGGCTACAGTATACCGCTTTTAGATGGATATGGGGAGGCGAAGTACGCGGGTAGAATCGTTTTAGAAGCAATTATGACCCAAACTTTCGTATAAAGTAGAAAAATTGAGAAAATGCTCTTTCCAGGGCAACCAGAAGTGTTAGCTGAACAAAAATCGTGATCCTTGATGCTGAGAACACCGATATTGTCGCTCATCCAACTGACTTTCTAGGGAATAGCAAAATAAACAACGATATAAATATGTAAGGTTGTAGTAGCTCTTGTTCCAATGTTAAAGAATACTCCTGGGCATTAGATAGTTGCTACTTCAGTGGCTGTTGGTGCTTGGTCATTTTATTATTTATTTTCAAATAAAGAATTTAATGCTATATGAAAGAAACGGGGAGAACCATTTCAAACATGGGGGCCGACGTTTTGAGCGAATTGGCCGGGGACATTGCCTCGAGGATTATAGTAACAAACAATGTTTGTCGCCGGGTTGCCAGGGTAGATCGTAAAAGGAGGACACGTTACAGCGGCACATCCGACTTGCGTTGTAGCTTTCCAGACAACTTGGGTAAAAAAACCTAATTAGAGAGGAAAAATGCGAGTGAACAACTGAGGGATTTTTTTTTTTTCATTTATTTATTTATATAGCGAGTTTTCGCGTCCATCATGTTTAACTTTCGAAAGAAAAGTATTCACATCTTATAGAGGGAAGTCAAACTTTTTTTTTTTTTTCTCTTACTAGATCCCGTAGTGTATCCAGGGTTACGGAAGTTATATAAACGACCTCCAGCCATCCATCCTGCTACGGCTTCCTTGATGCCACCATTCGGGATATGGAGGAATTCAAGATTCTCTCCATACTTCGTGAGCAGATACAGGGAAAAAGATTAAAGAAAGGAAAGAAAATTTAGATTCATTTCCAGTTCATTAACTGTAAAAAAAAAAAAAAAAAAATGAACAGAGAACTTACTAGATGAGAATTAGAAGGTCCAATCTTACAACGCCTCGCATGATGCAGTGCTAGGTCATATAAGTGGTCGCTCCACGTCAAAGGGCAGGCACCGTGGCGTGCGCGAGCAGCATTATGGGCCGCAAGGACATGGTTCTCCCAGGAGTGTGCAGAAACAGTATATATAAATGTAGACAAAAGGGCTAAGGAAGCAAAGAGGAGCGATATGATCTTGTTCATTCTTATTTTTTTTTTTATGATAATGGGATTTGATAAAACGTGCGGATGCGTTATAGTTGGATATAGTTGTAGTTGTGGTGGGGATCGAGGTTCCCTGTGCTGTCTTTTATACATCGAAGCATACTTGAGCTAAGAGGAAGGGAGAAGAGATCTCATCATGTAGTTCTAAACAGGACCCTTTTTCTAATTTTGAATTATGCATATTTCAAGCCAATCAAGCCTTTCGATAATTTAGGTCGTACAAGTGTGTGATCTCGGAGTAAGTGTTACCTTGAGGAAAGATGAGTAGATTAAAAAAAAGGAGCTCTGGGCTGTATGTTAAGGATTGGAAGAAAAGATGGGGAGATTAACAACCAAAAGCCAGGACCACATATACCCCGCCTTCTCTTCCCACCTTTCCTCTCCTTCCTTTCCCGGTTCACGATCAGGAAGATCAGATCCTATAAGGTAACCAAGCAAATTTATTTCTTACACAAAAATGTGAATTTGGTGCAGACACTGACATGGAGTATTTGTGGCTTTTTTTTTTTTTTTTTTTTTTCGTGAACTTCAGGAGTTGACAAGACAAATCCTGAAAAGATACTCCTCATTCACTATGCTTCATCTCGAAATTAGAATTCACGCCTTCACATATCTTTTTTTTTTTTTTTTTTTCTTTTTTTTTTTAATTACAAAATTACAAAGTATTGTTGTAGGCTGTATCTGTTTGTGATCTATGCAATGCTCTAAAGCCATGAATGTGTTTAAGTGGAAAAAAGAAAAAAAAAAGAATGATAATGTATAAAATGCTCCTCTTGTGTGATATTCCTTATTCATATGCTGCAAGTTTATACACAGAAAGCTCAGCTTTCAACATGGTCAGCTTCGCCTCCAAAGAGTCAATCCGTCCCATGCTCCTGGCCTGTTCGTCCATCCGAAGTCGCCGCTCTTTCTGTGCAATCATCTCTAACTCCTTAATTTTTGCATTAACGGGTGTCCCAGGATCTGTTGATCGTCCCAATGATCCTGAAGTCATATCAGCTGCATCTGACGATAACGACGTTGACGAAGAGCCCCCTTGTTCCATTCTTCGAATCGTATTCTTTAGCTCAGTCACTTTCATCCTTAGCCTTTCACGCTCCTCTTTCAATGTCACAATTTCCTCGCGCTGCTCCTCCATTTCAATTACCATATCCCTGAATTCATCAGAATCTTCAAATGGTACAGAATTCAGTACGTCTTCCAATTTCTTCGTCTGAGCAACCACGACAACCTCAAGCTCTCGCTTGACTTGCCTAAGGTTTCGCAGCTCTTCGCGGTTCCATGGTGTGTCCAAAAGATCGTCATCCTCGTTCTCGTCTTCATTTAGGTTAAGATAGCTCTTATTGTCATCTCCAGTGAGTCCAGCATTGGGTAGGGAACGTGCGGCTTTGTCACCCTTCCCTAACTGTATTGACCTAGGTGCAGTTATATCGACATTGTTGCCGGTTTCACTTATTGGCTCCAAGGAATGGGCGCTCATGATCGACGCTCGCTTCTCATTCAGAAGCTTCTCTCTGGGTGGATCCTCCAAAACCTTGACTAAAGTCTTTTCAAGATCAACGCTTTCACCCTTAAGTGTCTTTTCTATTGCTACTCGCATTAGTGCCATTTTCTCTTGCTGCATTTCCACCTCTGATTTCAGCTGTTTGACGAGCGCATCCTTATGTGCCAAACGAGATTCAATCTCCTTGGGGAATTCAAGTACCGTGCCATCTGCGGAGGTCTCAACTGTATATCTGCTTATAGGTCGTTCTGGAGCTGCAGATTTGGTGTTTATTGACTGCGATGTTAGGATTAGCGTTGTGAGATGGTCGATACGTTCTTTAAGTGCGTTCCTGACCATGTTCATCTCGAGCATTTCTTCTTCATGCTTAAGGCGCTCCTTCTCAAGCAAGGTCGAGAGCTCTGCTTGTTTACCGCCTGCATTATTGTCTCCACCAACTCCAATGACATCACTACCATTAGAAACAGTCGCCATAAGCTGTGCCTTTAGTTCACTGATCTCACGTCTATACTTTTCAAGAAGAGCTTTATCATCCATGACCGAGTTTGTCTGCGCCTTTGTGACGACCTTCTTGACGCGCGCAGCAAATTTGAGTGTATTGTTTGATTCCTCGACGTTCAAAGAAGACGGACTAATGGTGCAAATAACAGATACACGAGCATTTCCATTAAGGGATGACTGTAAAATACGCGTCAATTTTGAATCACGGTATGGGATGTGAGCACTGTTTAATAGGAGTCAAATATAGAGATGTTTATAAAAGAGAAAACGAGAATCGTTAGAATGTGAGGACGGTAATGAATAAGCAGACTTTGTAATAAAAGAAAATCAACACAGAGCATATTCAATTTACCCTTTTTCCTCTGTTAGCTTTGAGATAACGGTTCCTAGAGTAAGTAGTGATTTATTGATAAAGGCGCCCTCCTTACGCCTCTCTTCATTTGAAGTCGCTTTCTCTGATCCTGCCAAATCGATCAAGTTCAGCTGCGATACGCGGACAGCGGCAGCAGGCTTGGCTCCTGCAGGCTTGCGTGGCGTTGAACTTCCTGAACTTGCTGCTGAACGGTCTCGGCTTTCGATAACCTAAGGAAACCACATATTAAGGAGTAATAATAACAATAATAACAATAATAACAATAATAAAAATAATAAAAATAGAAGAAAAAACAAAGAGAGATGAGAAAAAGATTTTTTTGATTGATGTATTTTCAAGTGCTCATAAACGCTCTGATGACCTACAATTTGGAAAATAGAATGCGATCTGCTGCTGTGAGCATTAAAGTCTGTAGCGCTGACATGGCGCTGATCTAACAATAGATAAGAAGATAAAGCGTGCATTATGAGTATATCTATTGCCATGCAATATAGAGTAATCGATGGATTTGATATTATGGGCTATGATTGTTGACTTACCATTGCCCCTCTCGATGATCCTCATGACTTGACTAGGTGTGGTAACGATCTCCTCCTTCAGTGGGCTGACATAGACGCCACGCTATGGTATAGAGATATATATAAAAAGAATGACGATAAGTTGAGATCAAAGCATTAATCTAATACAGTGACGAGACATCATTTTGAAAAGACAGATCATCTTCAACGTACGCGCCGGTCCTCATGTATCTTCAAATCAATTGCCTCAGGTGATAAAAGATCTCTGATGGATTCGTTGTAGATTTCCAGATATGACACACGCAGCAGAAATTCGCGATCTGGATTCTCGCGAATATACTTGAAAATATCCTCGATTGCACGCGGGGTAATTCCTGGTTGTGTTTCATTTCCACTCTAAAAGTGCAAAGGGGGTAAAAATAACAATTGAATGTTATGTCACTTCATTCTTTTCGTGACTCCCATCTCATTGTCTGGCATTTACTATTTAACATATTCCAGTCCTTACCATGGTCTTCATATCGGCCGTGACGAAAGTATCGGGTCATAAGAATAAAATGTGGATCAGAGCGCACAGGCTAATTAGAGAACAGAGCACAGGGATTTTTTTTTTTTTCTGCTCTCCTCATTCCTTGTCTGCTCAAATACAAAAAAAGAAAAAAGAGCCTCTTACATATGTTTTTCCTGATGAAGTCTGACCATATGCGAATACCGTTCCTAAGGGAAAAAAGACCAAATATTTGTTAGAGCAGCCTGGATTCAATAGCACCATGGGAACGCCTGAGTGCATTTGATTCCTTCTTACCATTATAGCCTTCCATAGCAGATTGGACAAGGTTCTTGACGCTGGAGTTGTAAATTTCTTCGTTATCACTTCCAGTCAGGGCATGATCTAGGTTGATGCAGTGATTAAATTTAGTATTATTGCATGAATTTGTAACTGCCATTACGCTGCTGCTGCTGCAATTATGATAGTAATAGCCGCAGTTACAGTCCTGGTTGCTCCTTACCAAAGATATACTCGACAGGTGCACGTCGTGCTTGTACAGCATAGTCATCTGCATACCCGATTTTCGATCCATCATCGCTAACATCCCACACTTCAGTTGGTCCACCAGCAGCACGCAATTCTGAGCTGCTAAATGGTCGGATACGCACAGTAACAGTGACATTCTCTGTCTTGGCGCCTGTCGTCGAGGGAGAAGAGCTAGTCCCTGTAGTTGTTCCTGTAGCAGCCTGGGATTGAGGGGACGGAGATGCAGGGCGGGAATTGTTCATGGAGGCAGTTGAGGGCGGAGAAAGTGTGACATCTGCGCTGGCATGATCCAAGGAGTGTTGTGGTTTATCAATAAGGGATGACGACGTAGACTTGACGGCAGCTATCCCTCTGCGGATGTTATTCATGATGGTAGGGCCTAATCCTGGAGACGTAGCGGTTGTTGAAACTGCTGCTATTGGAGCTGTGGCAGCGGTGGCCGCTCCTGTAGTTCCGGCGGTTGGCTTTGGAAGTTGTAAGTTCTGACGGGTAATAGGACGTGGAGTGGCGAGCATGGTAGTACGCTGAATAGTCGTAGGCGGTGCGGGTGAAGCGGAAGGAGTAGAAGGACCAGGGGATGTGGCCCTGGAAGGGTGCTGTGGAGCGAGTTGTGTAGAAGGAGTAGGTCGCTGAAGCATGCCTGGCTGCCTGATAAGGCCTTAGTGTGTAAATGGAAATGTGTGAATATCGCCAGGGAAGGAAGGAAGGACGAGAAGAGAGTGATCGTAGAAGGTGAATCAAGTTAAATCCAAAAAAAAAAAAAAACAATCAAATCAAGACATAAAGAGAATGGAGAATGGATGTAAAAGAAGTAAATTTAAAGAAAAGATTAGAAGAAGCCAATGAACAAAAAGAAAAGAGCAGCACTTAGAAAAGGAGCTCATAAGCTCTCATTAAACAGGATTTGGTATGCATCATTATGTGTGCAGAATATACTTTTTTTTACATCGTTTACCTCAAATAAATACTTTCTGCGCTTATTCATTCTCTTCAATGCTCCGTATATGCATGCGTCGACAAGGGCCGCTGCTCTGTGCATTCTTTCTGGGGATCATGGTAGCCTGCTGGTGGGATCATGGTTTCGATCGTTTTGATTCCGATCATAGAACGGACACATTCCTTCCAGCGTGCTCTGCTCCTACAACAGCATCTTCCACATCTAGTGAACCAATGGATCGGCAACATTATTCTTCATCTTTAACCAACTCATCTGCCGACCCAACTCCTCGTGTAAATGCTGCGTTTGTGATATTACTGCAGAACAAGGACCTGCATGATATGCGCAAGACGATGCGTATGCTTGAGAGCACGTTCAACCGGCACTATGGATATCCTTATGTGTTCCTGAACAATGTGCCCTTTACGGATCACTTTATGACCCATATCCGCGCCATGACCGCAGCACCCGTGCACTTTGGTACACCTTGATAAAAATTATAACATAGTATGGCATGTCTCAAAATAGCGTAGTAGAGCATTGCTTATCGCATATCGCTTATTGCTATCATTTTTTATTACTCTTGCTATTTAGGTCTGATTCCTAAGGAACACTGGAGCTACCCTGCACACATCAATCAAACGCAAGCAGCCCTCAATCGTATAGCGATGGAGGCCCGGAATGTGCCTTACGGCGAGTCCGAATCATATCGCCATATGTGCCGGTAAACTTTTTTTCAATGTATAATTGCTCAAGTGAGCATGGGGTGTGTGTGTCAATTGAGTCTACAAAAAATAGCGTAGCACAAAACGCGTCGTATTTTGGCGCGTTTGTCTCGCATGTCCTGCTTGAAACTCTGTATTTATTCCTTTTATCTATTCTACTTATGTCTTTACCATCTTAGATACGAGTCTGGCTTCATTTTCCAGCACGAGTTGGTCCTGCCGTACGATTACTACTGGCGTGTTGAGCCCGATGTTTCCTTTTCATGCGATCTTGATTTTGATCCCTTTATGGTCATGAAGACCAGAAAAATTAAATATGGTACGTACCATGTCTATCAAAATAAGCAGAAAACTATTCATTATTATTATTATTATTATTATTATTATTATTATTATTATTATTATTATTATTATTATTATTATTATTATTATTATTATTATGGTCATTGTTTCTCAAATGTAAGATTACGTTTACGTTCTTCAGGATTTACAATTGCTCTACCAGAATACGTTGATACTATCCCAACACTGTGGGAAAACGTCCGGCGCTTTATGGCCCTATATCCCGAGCATATTGCCAAACGTAATTCACTTGAATGGATCAGCTATGATATGGGCGAAACTTATAATAACTGTCACTTTTGGTATGAGTAAACTTTCTTTGTGTTTCTGGAGAATGTCATTTGACCACAGTTTGACTAATTTTTATTTCTTTGCTTTACTTATTGAAGGTCAAACTTTGAAATCGTTGACTTATCATTCTTTCGTTCCAAAGCCTACATGGATTTTTTTAACCTGCTGGACCAGGCAGGTGGTTTCTTTTATGAAAGATGGGGTGATGCGCCTGTCCACTCTATTGCGGCTGCATTGATGCTTGAACGGCGGGAGATCCGCTTCTTTAATGAAATTGGATATCGCCACGGCATGTATGAGCATTGCCCGGAGAGTCCTGCACTCCAATTGAAATGCGCCTGCGATCCGAAAGACAATGTTGGTATGTGTAAAAAAAAAAATAAAAAAATAAAAAAAAAAAAAAAAAAAAAAAGAGCCACTCTAATGACTTTTATTTATTTGGGTAGATTGGGCCCAATTCTCTTGTCTCCGCCGGTTCCTGGAGACGTAAACATTATAGAAAAATATATGGAAGGATACCCATAATTATAGAAGGGCTTTGCTCCATCCCCTTCTATCTAGACTAATGGAGGGGATTAAATGCTTTAGAATCATGATCTCGTTGGTTCAAGGTCCTGCAGTTATAAATAATAAATAGTCTATGCTCCACCGATTCTACTGATTTTGCTTGATACCCATGAAATTGCTTAATATCATTGTTATAAACACATGTTAGTGCCACTCGATAGCTGTTTTATTCATCATGGCATATCATACACTTTTCTTTATGATATCCTACCATCTCAATCATCTCGACGACCCTGATCTACGTTAACATCTTTCCATCTTGTTTGACGTCACCAGGTCATTCCTCGCCTCATCATTTTCAACAAGTCCTTCGCTTTCATTACTATCATTATCACTGTCATTATCACCGTAACCATCGCTACAACCAACAGAGGTAGCGACAACGATAATAATATTAAGGATACCAACGACCTCTTCATCCCTTAAACCGACGCCACTATTGTTAGCGGCAACAACAGTATCAAACATACGGGCAGTTTTTTGTTTTTTAGGCGCTCCAATTTGTATACGGATCCTTTGATACCATCAGACTTTTCATCACAGTCTTCATCGTTGCTCAGATCCTCAGTGCCACCTCTTTCGTCGTTTTTACTTTTAGTAACAATCCCTAGTAAATGCGGTTGTAATCACTAGCAAAACGTGATCGTAGACTAGTCATGATGTTGGCAGTAATACTGACAGCGAAAAAAGAAAAGAGAAAAAGAAGCACTGATATTCCTACCGGTACCGAAGCTATGCGATTTCAAAGTTACTGGCAGAATCCCGACTCCAGAGACCTTAACGACGTCAAGCCCAAACCCAAATACGCACTAGGTATTCCGATCTATTCCAGCCTCGTTTAACATTCAATAAGAAAATTGTAAACCACGTCGACTAGCAACAAACATCAACAGACGATATCTACTTGGTTTGTAACATTCTTTAATCGCTTCCCTCCTCGCGTTCATCTTGTTCGTCGTTACACTATGAATTTCCTTTTTACTCTCTTGTGTAACCAAAACCACAGGCATGGCATGGGCCAACAAGAACAAAGCATGGGCTCCACAGCGTTGAATCTGATCCATAGAAACTTTTGTCACCAACAAAGTTCGCACGGTCGACAATCATTCCAGGACTATTATAATTCTGTCATAAGGCATCACCACAGTTATCATAACTACACCCACACACCCCAACGATTCACTCCTCATCCAGTTTTAGAATCATTATCCTCCAACCTGACCTTGCGAATTGCGCTCTTGTTAATCTTATGCCTTGGTGCACTTTATTACTTTATTTCTGTCATGGAGCAGCTACAATGGCAGATAGCCACCGCTTCCACGAATTGGTGGTCAGACGACCCACCTAATATTTTTAGTGATACAGACCGGAACACAAGTACAAGCATAAGCACGAACATAGGCAGAAGCCCTAGAGTGGGGAGAAGCACAGACACAATCACCAGTAACTCAAGCAGCCATCGCACGAACAGCAGAACCAGCGAATAAGAGCACTTCATTATCCTTTCTACTTCTCACATTTACGAATGAATTTGCAATCAACTGAAAACTCAACATATGCAATTTGAATAGTACAAATCATGGGGCCTGTTGGGCGTGTTAGAAGTGGTAATCAAAACCATTAGCTGTAAAGCCGATTTATTATTATTATCTTTGCTGCTCTAACCATCACTACCACCGCAGGTCCCTTTCAGTTTACAGTTTCCAGAACCTCAAAATAATGAGACAAAAAAAAAAAAAAAAAAAAAAACGAAAAAGAAATAAGAACCATCAAATCGAATTTCATGTTAACCCACGCAATGTTTGTTTTGTTGATAATCATACCAAGACTCGGCTTTCATTCGTTTCCCTGAAATAGCACAACAGCCTTCGCCTACCGCAGTGACATTTTTAGAATCCAAGTAATGCAAGTGGCGACGAGACTATAAAATGAGTATTAAGGAGGAGACAAGCGCCAGGGAGCAACAAACCATCAGAGATTCAGTGAGATTCTTATTCTTTAGACCTTTCCCTACCACACTGTAGAACCCAACTATAACCCTTCGATTTCATCCCCACCTAACGATTATCAGCAGGATGATGCAAGAAGAGGGATTGCTTTCTTCTGCAATAACTGCAGCCACAAAAAGCAGTGACCGTAACAGTGCTTTTACTTTTCCAAATCCAAAGACAAAAATACTAGGCATGGATGCTCTTTATTCGACAATGTTAAGATTGATGCAAAGGCAAAAAGTTACATTTCGCAAAGAGCAAGAGTGTAAACAGAAGCTTTGATCACTCTAGCTACATTGCAAAGCCTTATAGAAAAAAAGTATCCATGCACAGGGAAAGCGCTTGCTTGCATCTGTAAAATAAAGCCAAAAGGACCAAGACTTGCAAATAAAATGAATATTTATTTTGGAGTATTTGATTACTTTCATTAGAATTACATCTTTTTTTTTTTTTTTTTTTTTTTTTTTTTTCCTTCTTTATAGAAATCAAGCCTTATGCGAATGCGAATCCCGTGCTACACTCTGAGATAGCTGTCAACAACTGCTGTCGCAATTCCTCATAGGTTTCATACTCTGGCAGATCCAATTGATTGAAGCTGGTAGTGAAAATGACAAAATAATAAGAATAAAAACAAAAGGGCAAAAGTTAGTCAAGCGCTCAGGACTCTGCATAAAAAAAAAAATGCCATTGTCGCATATAGATCGGTAAAGTTAGTTTGTATTACCATGTATGTGCGGAAGGCAAACGCTTCGTTGACGAAAAGTCCTTGTGAATCTGGAATTTTTGAACACCAGAGATACCCTGAAGCTGGGAGAATCCACCAAGTGGGACCTTGGACGTTCCTGTCACAAACTGCAGCAGCTTGGCTCGCTCTGTCTGATCAAATGATCGAACGGCTCTCCAGAAGTTCTGGATCTGGGGCGAGGCTTGTGTGTAGTTCTGATATTCCGTGTTGTTCTTCCATTCATCCACATCAATATCTGGCAAACCTGAAATCAAAAGTTCCAGCTCCTGCTCGTTGAAAATGCTAATCAGATGTGCTGGGATAATCTCATGGAATCCTTGCAAGAAAGAGTGAATCTGATCCTTAATTGCTAGTGTCAACTTCTGCTCTGTGATATACTTCACATATTCATGCTTGTTCTCCTCAGTCACAGGAATGTTCCGTCCATTAGGCTTCAAATCTACAATCTTCTTGTTGCCAAAATCGTCCGTCTCCACCGAGAAAGTTTCTTCCACAATATCTGTAATATCATTCTCAAGCATCCACACTAGCGACTTATAGTACTCAGGGTCAACAGCCTCCACATCACGATAGTCAACAGGCCGTCCTAGGATGTGCTTATAGAAAGATCTTGTAAAATAAGCGTCCAAGAGACGTCCATCATAGATAGCCTTGCCAATAACTCGTCCAATAAACTTGAAAAACAACAAGTGATCAGGATTGACATATGACGCTCGATTGGGCTGATATGTCAATTTGTCTGCAGCTGATGTCTTGAATAGCGCATAATCTGGATTGAACATCTGTCTAGCCAACACTTGGAACCATTCTCGGGTTACACCACCGGCGTCGACGCCTTCCTCACCATGGAAATGCACATTCAGCTTGCTGTATTTGATCTCTTCACCCGTCCTAGACTGCAACTGCGAGAATGAATCTACAAAGACCATCTCACGACGAACATTCATTTGTAATGTACCATAATGCTCCCGAGTGGGGCTCCGCTTGTGGAGTTGTTGTGTAAAGTAATTACGCTTGTTGTCAAACTCCAACATCTTAGGATTGTGCACCAGCAGCGAGAATGAGCCGGACATTAATGAGGGGTTATTGCGAACCATGATATTAAGGATCTTGCTATGTTTCTCAGTAAACTGTAAGAACAATTCCTCAGTTGATGTGGATGTCGCCTTGCATTCTGCTTCCTCCATTTCTAATGTCGAGGGTCGAAGTCCCACATACTTGCAGACAACCATGAACGACTCAATCAGTGGCAAAAGAACTGTCGCTACATGGATCATGTCGTTTCTCTCACGAATCAGCTCGAGTGTATCTCCGACTTTGGTCCATAGAGTGTTGAACGAAAGACTATCATAGATTTCCGAAACTTTCTCCTCATCCTTGCTCAACTTCATAGGTCCATGACCAACATCACGCATTGACCTGGGCATGACTGCATCGGCCTCCTCGGGATCCAGAGTAGGCGCAAGTTCAATGTTGACTTGTGTTGTCGCTGGGGTGGGATTAGGGCCTTGCTTTTTAGAATACATGTAGTCGATTGTTTTAAGAACACGCAGCAACTTGGCTTGCTTCGATGACGCGGGTGTGAACTTCTCGAGGGCTACTCCTTGAACATCTACGCCACTCATTGCATTTGATAATGTCTCAGAGAGTGTATCCAAGTTCTCTAGAATGCCACCTCCTAGTTCCCGCGCAACTCGGATTAACTCAGTTGTGATCACGTCCCGTGCGCCCTGTAGCACTGAAAGATTTTGGATTACGGATAGTGTGAATTGGAATGTCTTACTAGAGCACTCTCCTGCAGTGAGTACCCGGACGATCAATTGCTGACAGTGATCGGGAATCACGGGAGGCTTCAATGTTGGTGGCTCATTGTCGGCTGTCTTGGCCTCGGCTTTGGTATCTGACTTACTATCACTTTCAGTTGCAGTGGCTGCTATAGCATTTGATCTTTCATCTACGGTGGATACTGATGTCGGGTTTTCGGCAGGTGCAGCAACACTCGTCTCATTTGAAGCCCCTGTTGTATCTGGTCCCGTGGCAGCCGACGAGCCCGTCAATGTGGCTACTGTGTTAGTTGAGGCAGATATGGAAGCACCTTCCTCAGCTCTTGCTTTCTCCTTCTTCTCTTCCTTTTTATCCTTCTCTTCATCTTCTTCCTTTGCTAACGTTGCCAACGGACGACAAATGAGGGAGAGCAACATCATTAACTGTTCCATCAGAGCAGCGTTCTCAATAAAAATGGGCCGTTCCAGAAGGTCCAACAGAAGCACAATCGGATACTTGGAGCTGATGGCTCTTTCTTTGCCTTTACCCTTCTTGGAAGGCGTGCGCTTCAAGGCAATATGATGCTCCTGTTCCGTAAGGAAAAATAGCACTGCTTGCGAGTTATACGAGACAATATAGGAAAGCGATTCGAAGCATCGACGAGCTACAAGGTTAGGTACATTGTCTGTCGCTGTGAGCGCTGGTGTCGATAGAGCCGCCGCACCCTTGCCCTTTTGATGTTGGTGAGCTTTAACAATGGCCTTCCCTCGAAGCGACATCTGCGCAAAGCTCTTATCCACGGCCGCCAAATCAGTACCTCCATCCTGTAAGATCGAGAGTAAAAGTGATAACAATTCGGTTCGTGTTTTACTATTTTCGCACAGATTGACTAAGAGTTTGTTCAAAATATTTTTTCCAACAGGCTGAGGCAGGAACATCAGTCGAACAAGTGTAGCTAGTGATGCCTTGTCAACAAGCTGGATAGCATCACGTGGCACAGCAGCCTTCTTAGTAGCAGCCGTAGAAGACGATCCCGATGCAGCGCCCACAAGAAGATCGTGTGCTTCTCGCAATCCAGGATAGCTTCGAGGAATTTGGTCTAAGAACGCAGTTGTTTCTGCCAAAAGACTGGGCGGTACATTAGGTCGACTGGCACCTTCTTGATAGAGTTGTCGAAGGCGGGGAACAAGCCGAGAGAGCGTGTACTCATTGAACGCATCCATCAAAGGTCCTGATGTCGATGTACTACCTCTTGTTGCATCTTGTCCGCTCATGATCTCTTCTAGCTCAGTTCGCAAATGCTGTGGGAGCGCATCCATAAACACCGAGTTAATGGCTTGGGTGCCAGTCGAAGACGATTGTTGTTGCTGTGGTTGAACGGCCGGTACGGCGGGACGGCGCGACTGAAGATAGTCGTTGTACACTTCTCGACGCAGTTCATCAGGCAACGCCTCCAAAAATTCTGGGTCGATCTCGCTGTCAGTAATGTCCACCATCTCACCATCGATCAACGCCGTCCGACGAGCTGGAGCTGCAGACTCAGACTCAGGTTGAGGTTGAACAGCCGTTGCAGACGAAGTACCTTCCACTTCCATTGAAGATGTCTCTGCTGATGAAGGTGTAGCCTCAGGACCTTCTGTCTCTCCACGTGCTGCTCTAGCTGCAGCCTCCTCCGCACGACGGGCTGCTTCACGCTCCGCCGCTGCAGCTTCCGCGAGCCGTGCCTTTTCAGCCTCCTCTGCTTTAATACGCGCTGCTTCTTCTTCTGCCTTGCGTTTCTCCTCTGCGATCCGCTTGCGTTCTGCTTCAGCCTTACGTCGCTGCTCTAGTTCTTTGGCATCGCGTTCAAGTTTGAGACGATGCTCTTCCTTAGCTGCTGGGATCAAAGCGTTCACGATGTGGTTAACTAGTCTTGTAGCCTTTTCCTGTGCGGTTGCTCCATACATCATGCGACACTCTTGAGACCATCTTTGCGAGGTTGAGAAAGGAACAAAATCATGAACAATGCTAAACATATCAACCTTGTTACCGCTAGCGTCTGCTGAGGAGCTGGTTGGGATTAAGCTACTTCCAGAATGGTGGCCATGCGCGAGACTTCGATCGATAGGCGCCACAATGGCTGCACCACCATGGTTGACCTCAACACGGAATGCGCCATGGTTCGCACGAATGGCACCTCCATTCATCAATGTGCCGATAATCTGGCTTGGGTTTCCACTCAACAGCTCACCAAACGCCTGTAAATCTGTAAGTCCGACATTCCGTGAACCGCCACGACGATGGCCATCCGAAATAGGATTCGATGGCGTAGCGCGAGGCTGGGCTAATAAAGGGTGAGTGATCACATCGTCATTGACTTGAAGGAAGGGATTTCGGGCAGGCGCCCCAAGAAGAGGGAAATCATCGTCCTCGATATATGAGAATCGTCCTTGGTCGACTACCGAATCGTTCCAGAAGAATCCCCGGTCATCCAAGCGACGGGCAGTGCTTCTCGGACGACGGCCACGTAGATCAATGACTTGCGCGCCATTAAGGAAACCTTCTTGATCGTTGATCACAAAGGTACTGGTCATTTCCCAAGGTCCTCCACGACCTGGTCCTCGAACCGGGTCGAAGCCCTCAGCGTCGTCAAGCAGAACAATGTCATCAGCCTCCTCGTCGAGATCGTCTTCATCACCCTCATCATCCTCATCTACATTCTCATCATCATCGTCCTCATCATCATCATCCTCATCCATACCTTCCTCGTCTGCTGGATGAAGGAAAGGGTTGTGAGTATGAGTATGGTGACGATGGGCCCGGTCCTGTTCTTCAAAGTATTCAGGATCTGTAATTTGAGCGTCATCATCGTCCTCAATGGTCTCCGCAATATCATCCTCACGGAGAATGATGGGCCTTGATTCAGCATCCCACTCCATCATTTCTTCATCATCCTCATCATCCTCACGATCGAGAGCCTCATGGAGTTCAGCCTCCATCTCTTCATCAAGGTCATCCTCGTCACCATCCATATCTTCGTCATCATTATCTTCATCGTCATCCGAGATCCCGTGACTGTGATGATGGAATGGGTTACGTTCAACGGATTCCTCGAGGTCTTCATCTTCGTCGTCATCATCGCTGAAATCTTCCTCACTCAAGTCACTAGCATCACTAGCCGTCTCTTCTTCATATTCTTCACCTTCAAATATATCATCTTCGCCAACAGAGTCACCAGATTCATCCTCCTCTTCAGATTCTATGTTGGCTCCATCAAACATTCCGAGCGACGAATTTCTGTATAAATCTGGCGTGTCGGCCTCGTCTGCAGAACCGCCCCCGCTTCCAGTAACAGATAACGGTGTAGACTGCCGATGGACTTTGGATGATCCTGGCTCGGTTGATCTACTCATCTTGAGAGAAAGCTTGGTCAAGTGCTCCAGAGGCTTGAGAACGGCATTGACAAGGACCTTGGCATGGGGGTAATTGAGATCGATATCTGCCAAAACATTGGTGAGCGTCATAATAAAGTTTTTCTCTAGCATCACCTTGACAATGTTGATCGACATATCTTCGCTGGGTTTTGCGTTGACAATGGAGGAAGAGGACGCGCCCAAAATTTTATAACTCAGCTCGGACAATGACAGGAATTTGCCATACTTGATTTCAATAGGATCAGATGATGCAATTGCATCCTTAAAAGACCGAATGATACCATCAACTACAAACCGACGGACTTGCACCAAGTCACTGAATGGTTTCTTTTCCTCTTCATCATCGTCATTGTTGGAACACATGGCGACTAATACCGCACATGCAAAGTTCGACTCAATCGAATGCTTACGAAGTTCCATGTCACTTGATTGAGCTACTGTACCTCTATATGGAATGAGGTCATTCAAAATGTAACCTAACCAGTTGGCTCTTGGCTTGCTAGCAACGCTGCCAGAGTCCTTTACACCTTTTCGACGCGAGTAGTTCATTAAATCAACCTTGCATGAAGGATATGACATCAGGAGCTCATTCAAGCATTGCAGGACAAAGCATCTGTGCACAAAGTCGATGTCATGCGGAGTATCCTCAGCTGGTTTCGAATCCTTATCAGAATGAGTTGATAGAGCTGTAGCCAAAGGTGGAGATGCAATAATAGTCTTGGATGGCTGAGTCCCAGAAATAGGCGCGTTGACGGATGAGGGTTGGGGGTTAGCAGAAGACGATGTTGTACGACTGTCGAGGAGTTCTGAAACCAAGAAGTGAATAACAGTCTCTGATATTTCAGACGAATATTTTTTGGAAGCCTCAGCAACATCCGCCGCAGTAGTGGTTGTGGTAGATGTTTGTTCTGAAGCTAAGGCAGATGACTCAGCAACCGTCTGCTCTGCCGTTTCCAAATCTTTATCCTTCTCCTTGCCCTTTCCCTTGATATCATCGCCTTGCACCTTTTCAGTATCTCCAGATTTCGATGGCGTTGAAGGTTTAGAGAGTGTCAACTGAAGCGCTCTAAAAGCAGGATCATGCTTTGAGACTTTGCAGACATTCAACGTCCCTGCGATAAAAGCATCTAGGTCGCGTAGTCCTAAGAAATTGTTATAGCGAAGATAGCTTTGAATATCCGCAGTTCTTGCGCGAGTAGGTTGCGCAAACCACCGTACAATCTCCTTCTCCATCGTCGCCTGCAAAGTAACTGTGTCCTCGATAATATGACGCATGATCATGACAATAAAGCTTTGTTGTCCTTGAATACCAATCCTTTCAGGCCTCAGGGTCGAGAAAATCAGCTCCAGACCATTAGACTTCAAAAACTTCAGGGCCAGCGCGTGGTGTCGAGTAAGGCGCACAAGTATACGGAAAACCGCAAGTGTAGTATCCTTTGTAAGATCTTCTTGATTGAGAAGAATGATAGAGTAGCTGAGTAGATTCTCCATGTCAGAGCTAGAGATGATATCGTGCTTCATGTCCTTATCATGTGTAGCTTTGAGCTTTGCTTCTGCCGTTGTGTCATCTGGAACAGCTTTGATCTCGTCTGACATCGACAAGAGACTTTCAATCATAAGTAACAGCGGGGATAGCCACGTATTGCCCTTTTGAGAACCCTGAAGTTTGATGTAATCTGTTAAGGTTGTCATTAATAAAGGCGCAAGTGTAGGACCGTATTCGCTCATCTTGGACTGAATTGAAATGTCGCCAAAAAGCAAAGCCAACAGTCGCAGACGGCCACCGAATACTTTTTCAGTGCTGTTGGTCTGATTGTTGAAATTGCTGACTTTTTCAAGATCCTTGACAAGTTCATCCAGCAGCTTACTGTCCTTTTCCTTAGACAAGAGAATGAACAAATCCCTGACGTAAAAGATAATGTCTTCACAAGCGTCAATCAATTCTAGAGATCGGGTAATGAGAAGAGGTTTTATCTCGTCACGGCCCTTTGACAGTTCCTCCTTGTGTCTTTGATGGCGTGCCAGCGCGGCCTTGTACTCATCCTCCTTTTTTGCTTCTTCAGTTGCCCTGTTATTCGCATTCTCTTCAGCCCGTCCACTTGTCCCATCATGATCCTGCTGATTGCTGGAGGTAGAGGAAGATTGGACTTCTCTAGAAGTAGAAGCACCCTCGTTAGTCAATTCTTGAACAGAAGAGACATCAGCAGAGTCAGCATTGGGCGTGGGCGCATCCAGCGCCTGAGACATTGCGAGCGCCTGTCGCAGCATTTCCTCTTCATCATCATCTTCGTCGTCATCATCATCTTCACTATCGTCGTTATCTTCCTCTTCATCGTCTTCATCACTCGCGCCTTCATTCCCCTGCGTTTGATTTCCAGCAATGGCAGAGGTTTCTCCTTCCTGAGTTCCGGACGTGGTTGTAGCATTGTTCTCAGTGGAAGATCCTGCGGCGGGTTCCGTTGCAGCAGCTTCAGTTGAGCCGGCGGCGTTGGCTGCCGCAATAGCTGCAGCGCGAGCTGCAGCCTCTTCACGCTCCTGCTCATAGATTGCAGCCGCTACGACTTCCTGATGCGTAAGCAAATATTCTGTGGCTCGCTCGAGCTGATTTCCAGATCGAACCAGTGCTTGCTCCGCAGCAGATCGTGGGAAGCCCATGTCCAATAGTGTAGCCACACTGGCAGCATCGGGTACGAGGGGCCGAGCACCAAACACAGACGAAGGTGTACCTATAACTGCTTGTGGGGTTGATGGAGCAGGGGGCTTGGTTTCACCAGCGGCCTTTAATATGTTGGTGATAATTTGGATGACATGGCGAGTGATAACTGCAGGACAGTGATCTAATTGTTTATCCATCCAAAGGCTTCTAATGCGAGGCAAAACTGCCAACCGAAGGTCAACCAAGAATTCATGCGGCTCAAAAAAGTCTTCTTTCCTGTTCTTATCATCTTTGGATGTTAATGGTGATGTGTGTGATGATTCGAGTAGAAGTTTGTAGGATGTGAACATTTGAATCACGCTTAGAATGATTTCGATAGATCCATACAGTTTGACCAATAAGTCCTTTTGCTCTTTCTCGGCTACCGTAGATGAGGAATGGATCGCAATAGTTTCTGCCCAAAATGTATCCAGCCATGAAAACAATAGCTCCAAACCTCCTGTCCTGACAAACGAGACAACCATAATAGTTTGAAGTGTGGCAGGACTGCGATCATCCAGAAATAGGAATGGTAACAATTTTAACATCGTATTAAGGTACGTATATTTGTCTTGGGCTGAAGCACTTGAATCTAATAGTTTGATATATATATATATAAAAAAGGGGGGGTAAATATTGCGTACTAACCGAGTTTTTGATTAGCAGCATGATTCCCATTTATACATCCATTAACACACCTAACAACTTCCATGACACATGGCCTTGCAAGACCCTTGACAGAGAATCCGCAATCTGAAAAGAGTGAGCACGCTGAGATGCCTCGACATCACGCCGGTTAAACAACATCTTGACCATGCCTAGGGACGAATGAATCGAAATAGATTGTACTGTCAGTAAATATTGTTGAATTCAAAGTACACGCAAGATCACTCTTCCATATATGGAAAAAACTGTTTGGTTATACCTTGATACATTGGTGTGAGATAGTGAGGGATCTGAGTGAGCAAGAATTTGAAGTATTTTGTGTTGATCGCACTAGGCGTGTATGTATCCACATTGGGGTTCACTGCTGTCATTTCCTTATCTTCGCTCACAGAATCATTGGTGTTATCATCCACAGTGCCCGGAACTGACGCAGGGTTATAAATTTTTTTTGCTTTTGGATTAGGGTCATTCCAATTGTTCTGTAAAATGCGTCTCATTGTGATGCTTTCCCAAACACATGTCCTACGAACGTAAAAAAGACATAATTTACATTAATGATGATGGATAGAGAATTGATGAGGATTGGGCTAAGTGTGCAATTTATAATTCTTACCTGTGGAGCTGACCAAGACCCGCAAGTGCCTTGTCACCTTGTGCATCCACGAATGCAGCCAAGACAGATGCGGAATTTCGACCATGAGAAAACGCAGAGGCACAAAACATATCTGATATAAGCCCACTCAGTGCGTGCAAGCTTGTCAAGTTTCGAAGTATATCATTCCCTTTTGAAATTACATCTTCGCTTGATTCTAATAGGTTATGGTTATAAAAGTAAGATTCCATATTGGGTAAAATAAAAAATAAAAAATAAAAAATAAAAAATAAAAAAGATGCTTACCTGAAATGTCAATATACTGAATCAATTCCGATGTTGGATTGTTGGATTGAAGTAATGGTTGTACTTTGAGTAACATCTTGTTCACTTCTTTCAACACAGCTGAAATGGCTGTGCCAGGGTTCGTCTCACTGAGAAGCTTAAGAAGATGCGACAAAGTAAAGAAGGCGGGAGTATTGGCCAAATCGTATGGCAATGTCGGAAGAGTGTAAAATCGCATGAGAATATCCACCCCATCAGACTTCAAAAAGTCTTTGGCACTTGAAGTGTTGGCGAAAAAGCTCTCACAAAACTAGATTTATACAATGTTAGCCAAAGTATTAGACTTAGATAGAAAGGTCCGAGAAATTAAACATTAATGAAAAATTTCACTCACTCTTGCAGATGCCTCGATCAACTGTGCAACAAGACTATCCTTTCGATCGTCTTTTGCGCCATCTTCTTCTGAAACATGGCCCAGAGGTGGGGCACCTTTAGCTCGGGTCTTTTGTAGAGTACAAAATACAATATCATTTTCAACCACCTCTTCAGATCCACACATCGTGAGAACCTGCTTCAACATAGCAACAATTTCAGACATCACGTTAGCTTTTAGCGAAGGCTGGTGCCGAATCAATTCATCCATGGAGACTCCCAGATTGGATGCAACATCATTATCTTGAAACGCTTGTACATGTGGGATGGAAGTAAAGATGTCAAAGAACTTTTTGATAGAGAACTCTTTGTTGAACATTTCCAATCCAGCAGGGTTGAGACAGATAGCGCCAAATGCTCCTGGAAGGTTAACTGCAACGTCATTGGATGGGGGGATTTCTTTGGAAAGACTCGCAAGAAGCGTTTGGGGTATCTTGGCCTCCTGCAAAATGACAAGAGATGTTGGCTCATTGTGGATAAAGGATGTCATAGTGTTGATTGCTAATTTAATTAAATATACATAATGATTAGTCGCACAGATTAATCAAAGATACAGTTATTCTGTGAGGAAGGAAACTTACCATGAGCGTAGACAGAATTTCCTAGAGCATTTGGGTTCTCCATGATGTCCTTGAGTGTGGCTGGTAGTGAAGTGTCGATAAGATTCCGCAATCCTTCTTGAGTGCCAGGACTTTGCATCATGTGGATAACAAATTTAAACATGGCCTTAAGCAATGCAGTCCTTTCAAAAGGAATAGGGGAGGCGTCTTCATCTGGAGTAATATTCCAAAACAATAACGATTAGGCTCCATTCAACGTTGAGTCTCATAAAGAAAAATGATAAGACAGGAAGCAAGACTTTCTTTTTTACCTTTAACCTGATCTTTATCACTGGAGACAGACGTAGAAGTAACACCTATCATTTGAGACACCTCAGCTTCTTTGACTAGCTTCAATGAATAGTCTACCTCATCCTTGATTCTCGCGACTAAGCTGTTCAGTCCACCGGCTGAGCAAAATGACGTAAAAGCGGTACTAAAACCATAAATAAGGCTATCCAAGATGGTAACGCCCTTAGTGACATTCTAATTTGATACAAGTATAGGTTATAATTAAAAAGCATTAGTACTAAGTACCCACAGTCCGCAGACGTATCCAAGTCCAATACCAGTCATACTTTTAGCTGTGTGGGTTGCTTGTTTGAAAGCATCTGTAGAATGACGGGGACAATGCCAGCTGATATAACCATATTCCCTCCCATTTGTGAACCAATGATGAATGAAATGAACGCGAACATTGCATCCAAATATTCCTGTGAATAGGGTACTATTGAAGAAGAAGAAAAAAAAAGTAAGTATTCATCAGAGTGTAAACAAGCTCTTAGAAATAGAATATTACAACAAATATTTACCATTTGGGGCATCGATATTGGTGACAATCTTGCGCAATGCATACAAAAGAACGCCGTGGCTCGCAGAAGCATTCACTGCAGCCAGCACTTCCAGCTGCTTGCTTCTCAAATGTGCTAATCCGTCTATTGCAAAAAGCGCGACAGTTTGCAGATTCTATGTGATTGTAATTATGATAATTGAAGAGAATAAAGAGTGGATGAAAAGTAAATAGATGAAGAGATATTATAAAATTAGTAACAAGCTCAAGGTGCTGTAGAAGGGAAAGCCATCTATCATCACTGAATCTGAGTGCCTCAATTTGCATAATAGTAACTCACAAAAGGCACATTATGATCCGGATGAATGAGATCAGTTAAGCTCTGGATGATCTCAGGTTCGAAAGCGAAGAATTTTTCAAGAGCAACATTTTCAGGAAGGACATGAGACATGACAGCAATGGCCAAGATTCGGATCAGCAAAAGTTGCTTGCGATGCTTTGGATCAGTGATTCCTGTAGCTATCCTGATACGGCTGAGAAGTTGAAAATGGTGTTCTTCAGGAACTTTATACTCGTCTACCAGGTGCTGAAGAATTCCATAGTCTGAGGAGCCCATTTGACTGAGATCGGAGACTTGGATCACGACCATGCCTTCGTTTGTGGATGAGGTAGCATTAGAGGAAGCGTTGGATGGGGGATGTACAGTCGAAGATACAGCAGAATTAGAAGGTCGCCTCTGTTTTGTGGGCGAGGAAGATGATGCAGAGACGGAAGGTGTGGTTGATGACGATGCTGTTGGAACGATGGTGCTAGACCCTGATGAGGTTGTCGAGGCTGCGTCTGAATTGGGTTGTTTATTGGGAGTTATTGTTCTATAGAACTGAAAACTGAGTGTTCGCATTCGTTCTGGGATTTCGGCTTTGTCATCTGCAAGTTGCTGCATGTCCAGACCGTATTCTTTGCTACCCCAGGAATGTGCAAGAGCCAATAGTTTATCCTGTGACACCGTGAATATTGAGCGTGCTGAACGCTGAGCGCTGTGACGCTGAGCAGGTCGAAGTAGAAGACGAAGACACGACTCCAGAATATCCAGATCACGAGCATTAAGTAAATCGTTGAGTTGCTGACAATAAGAAGTTATGCATCAAATCAGATATTGCTGAATCATTCTAGAAGGATACAAAATATATAAATACACAGACATATAGACATATATTTTTCTTACCTCATAAGAAGCATAGAGATTCCGGTTAGTACAGTTCTCAAGCAAGAGCCGTGAAAATGTGAGCATGGCGATAGTTAGACGCCAGTCCCCAGGCGTCATCACCTTTGACTGTGGCTTCTTCATGTCATAGCGTTTACAAAGCGTTTCGAGAATTTCGTCGAAGCGGTTGAGCACGCCTACCCAATGGAACAGATCTCCTCGCGGCCATGTCCATTCTGGCGTTGCCTCAATATGATTTGCAATTTCTGCTTCAGGACACTCTTTAAGTGTCTTGATTAAGTTTCGGATTGGAAGTGGCTATATAGGAAGGAAGAAATGGACCATAAATGTTCTTTGTATTAGATCCTGTGTTTACTAAGCTATTGTCACACATTGTGTTCTTTCAAAAAAATCTACGGCGCGTGAGTAAAAAAAAAAAGACTCCACATAAAGCCTCACGTTGTGGTTGCTCCGTATTAACATCGGTCTCTCTGCTTTTTTTTTTTTCTTTTTTTTTTTTTGTTAATGTTGTAAACTCAGTAATAAGAACTTGCACATTGTGTCATGCATAGTCATGCGTCCATGGTATGAATGATCAGAGATTGATCAACTGAAGAAGGAATTCAATCGCAACTCCCAGTTCTTTTTTTCTGCTACAATTATGACTATTTTTTCTCTTCAGACTCTACTACGGGATAGAATCCTGTTTGTCAAGCACTGCTACAGTTGAATAAAGACTCTAGAGTGACCGCATGTTGTCGTCACTATTAGTTTTTGAGTCATTTAATGCGTGGTGGATACTTTTTTTTTTGCGGAGGAAGAGAAAAAATTGGAGAATACCACAAGTATTTTGCCACCATATCCTCTCTTCCCGAGCTTCATTGTGAGATTTACATCTCAGGCTTTACTTTTAACATCACCAATATCAGCAACATGATCACCACTTTACCGCAGCTACCATTACTACCACGACTAGCATAGATGTAACAGGAGCTGAGTATAAAAAACAGAAACATATTTCTCACACACAAAACATCGATGTTAGAAGGACTGCGGCGCTCCAATTAAAAAGTCACGAAGAAAGAGGAAATGATGGCTCTTGGAATGATGGTGATGATAGGGATAATAGGGACTATAATGAAGGCTGCTTACCGGCACAGCCAACTTCTTGACAGGAGTCTTTTTGATCTTCATTTTGCAGATAATTCACTAATGAGAGTTGAGGAGCAGTAACGGAAAGGCTTCTGGCGACAATAAAGAAAGATAAAACAAAATAGATTTGCGAATATGTCAGGCAGAAGGGAATAGAAAGAAAAGAAGGAGAAAGAAGGAGAGATGGAGAAAGAACAAAAAATGAAAAATGAAAAATGAAAAACGCGTGATAAAAATTGTTTGACTGTCTGTGTCCGTGTGTATATCTTTTTTCTCTTTTTTTTTAGTTTTTTTGTTTTTTGTTTTTGAATAAAATGTATGTGTTGTGGAATAGAGACAAAGAAGCAAAGTGAAGGGTGAAAGAGTTGTATGTACAAACGACAATGCTCTTGTAGTCGTCTGTCAAAAAGAGCGATGGAGAGAATAAGAATAAGAAAGAAAAAAAAAAAAAAAAAAAAAAAAAAGAGACGTCAGCAAGGAAAGGAAAAAAAAAAAAAAAAAAAAGAGTCACAATCACCATGGTTTGTTGTTATTTTTTTTTTTTCTTTTTTTTTGTCTGAATGGAATGTTTGTTTCTATAACTCCACCTGCTCAAACATAATGTCATCCCAGCGTTTTTACACCGGTGACGAACAGGGTCTTATCAAGGGTATGCCCTCGCTCCTATCCTTTCCCTATTTTTTCCACTTGATACTTCTTATTGTTTTCTTTATTAATTTGGCTTCTTCAAATTAGTCATTACTATCACTGAACCACAAGTAGTAAAGGTCAAGCGAGTCAAAAGGAACCAACCCACCCCTGAAGCTCCCCCAAAACCCATCCCTACAATCATAACCTGGGGCTCTCCTGATAGAGAGAAAGCGATTCAGCTCCTTTGCTGGGACCATGGCAAGAAATATCTGGCTGTTGCTCGCAAGAATGGCCTTGTTCAATTGGTCGATCCTTTGAACAATGGTTCCTCGGTCTATGAATTCAAACTACCTTTAGAGAAGCAGGACAAAGTCGATACCATCTTTGTAGGCTTATTCGCTAATACAGAGTAATACTCTTTGTAATGTCATTTGAGCCTATTTCCCTTCCCCTTTTTTTATTTTCAGACACATTTATACGATCAAATTTTCTTTTACTGATTTTTTTTTGCTCTGATCTCTACTTTAGACATATCATCACATGCACTAATACTGGAGTACTCACAGTCCAATCAATCCACAATGTCTCACAGCAACGGACTTTTAGTATAGGCAAAGACATCTGCAGGATGAGAGTCCACCCTAAAGAACACCACGTTGTAGCTACAGCAGGAAAGGAGCAGGAACTCACTTTATGGGATCTAAATGAGCTGTCCAATGACTCATCTGAAAACTCTACACCCGCTTCGAAGGAAAAGAAGACCAAACAAATAAATGGGTCGTCAATATCATCAGGAAAAGGTTCCAAAAAGGATGCGCCGTCAGAGACTCGCTACAAATCCAAAGAAACCCTTGCCAATGGCCAGCTATTCAAGGCCAAGAATGTCAAGAATGATCATCTCGATCTCCGTGTCCCTATCTGGAACACAGACTTTCAGTTCTTGAGCCCGATTAATATATCACGCATTGCTGTCGGAACCAGGTATCACCAAATCCGTGTTTATGATACTAAGAGTGGAGCTAGACGACCCGTTGTCGATGTGGAAATTGGATCGATGCCTGTAGTTGCCATGGCCAATGGTCCGAATGCGAATGAGATTGTCTTTTCTGATACAGAAGCAAATGTCTATTCTGTGAATACAGTCAATGGCGAAATCCTTGGACAATTCAAGGGTAAGGAAGGAGATATCATCACTTTTAGCAATTCTTTTTTCTTTTAAAAAAAAAAAGGGTTATGGTCCTATCTATAGCCTTTTAACAACGCGGTTATTTTTTTTTTACTTCCATGAACAGGTTTTACAGGAGTTGCTACAGCATTGGCAACGTTTGTACCATTCGGGGGTGAATCCGATGTTTCACATTTGGTGAGCGTTGCTATGGATCGCTGCTTGCGTGTACACGATTTAAGCAAGACTAGAAAACTGCTGCATAAAGTATATCTAAAACAACGCATGACTGCCGTAGTTGTTGGAGAGTTTACCCCTGCAGAGCCATCAGAAGAGGAGGAGGATAATTATAACAGGAGTACCAAGAAGAGCAAGGATATTAAAGGCGAAGAGGGTGATGAGGACGACGAGGACATTTGGGAGAGTATGGGCAAACTTAAGGAGAAGAAGACGGTCAAGAAGAGGAAGAACATTCAATAGAATTAAAGCATTGCATAATTACATTTGTCTTAAAGTAACCAGCCCTAGTGTTGCATGATCTCGAGCAAATAACATTATAAAATGTGAAGGATATTGTCACATCCAGTCTTTATGTCAAGAGAGCCACATCGTCTGTCACTGAATACAAAGAAAGAGTCTTTGCTGCTCTAGAAAGATCAAGCTATGGGAACAATCTAAACTGTTAGATGTGAATATGCAACATCGTCCTTCTATAACTTAGAAAAGAATGCTTTAAAGGCTTTTGGCTTTATTTGCACCTTTTTTTTTTTTACTTTTTACTTTCTTTTTAATCATCATACTGGCGTTGAAATGGGTAATAAGACACGATCTACAAATGATGTCTTTAACTAACATGATTTGTTGATGAGTAGAAGACATATTCTAAAGAAATCTTATTGATGCCATCCATCATCGGCGGCCCATGCGGCGGATCAATGGGCGAAGCTTCACAAGATAGTACGCAGCGCCAAAAAGCCCTCCACCCAAATGGCCTGCAGAATCAAAACGACCAGTCTACCAAATGCGATTGAAAAGAAACCAAATCCATCATGTCAGTAAAATGCAACTATACAAAGTGTTTCGCATTACATTAAGGCACGATGGGGAAGATCAACTATATCGGAAAAACATACATTCACAGTTAAGACGTTATATAGTTCATAGGCTCCAAAGAGTCCTATAAAGAGGAGACGTAAGATTGCCCTGTACTAGTTACTAAAACACTTCGCTGATATAAAACTCTTCTGCAATGAGGTTTTTTACTATCTTACCAATCAGTACTGCGGCTGGCATATTGATTACAAAGAATAGTGAATATTGGGAGAAAGGATGCACACATGCATATGCTGTTGTGATGCCCATGAGTGCACCTGAAGCACCCATCGAGAACTGATATTGGCCAGCCAAAGCTTTATTCTGAGCCTTGCGCAAGTATGGTGCAAGATACCCACTATACGCAAGGCTCCCCAACGATCCTGAAATCGCAGATCCAAGGTATACCGTTAAGAACATTCGTGTTCCAAGCATCCGCAAGACCTTATGAAGACAGCGTATTTAAATGTACATATCAAGATGAGTAAAAAATATCACATACAAAGGTGGGAATGATCAAACGCTTCCGACTTAAAAGCATAGCTAACGGATGTTGCACTTACAGGGTCTCCAAAGGAAAAGAGCACCATGGTATTCAAAAGAATATGGTACCATTCTTTATGACTAAACGCATTTGTCAGCAGTGTCCAAAACCTGCCTTCTCGCAGATTCCGCGCGGAAGCCGTAAAGTTTCTAAGTAGGAAAAAATACAGCGATGTTTCTCCGAACTGCTTCGCTTTCCCTTCCGCATACTGCCACAAAGCAAATACTCCAACGTTGAGTGCTGTAATCGAATAAACAAGAGGATTTGATGGACTAATTGAAAAGTTCTCACTAAAGCGCTGAAGTGAAGTGCTGCTAGCCATGCCACGAATCTTCTGCACTTTAACCGTTTGATTGCTTCTAGGGCTTTTTCGAGTAGGTAGACTATGGAAAAGCTTAGTTCTTTGAAAGGATAACTTGGATGACAAGGCGGACACTTGATATTGGCCGGTCGATGTAGATAATGACGAAGAACACGTATTGGCTTTGTAGAGAAAACTATCAGTAAACAAGGTCGCCTTTCGCTTCGCAATACCACACGGAGTTGCAGGTCCAACAGTAGTATTCAAGTATCTAGCCTGGTGTTGCGACAAAGTTGACATGATTCTGCCTATGCCTGAACGAGACCCATGAGCCATAGTTGTATTGAGCTGAAGAACACTGTTATGAATAACAAGGGTGCCATGTCGAACAACACAGCCAGTAGCCATGCTTGGAATGGAAAAAAGCATGACAATTGGCAATTGGAATTGGAAGGAATGAAGCAAACAAAAGGAAAGTTCATTTACGTGTGGTTACATGTGTGCTTCTATCCGTAGTAAATGCTGTTTTGAATACCAAATAGGGAAGGTGCCTGGTAGTCACGATCACCACTGTTTTGGTGGCAAATAACGACGAAGATGTTGCCTCTTCTTTTTTTTTTTGACATGCTTATTAACTTTCTTTTAATAAAGACGCTTGAGACCCCCATTTTGTAAAGTCTGAACCGTCTTTTGAGAGATGGTTGGGAAATGACCATTTGACAGTTAGTCCATCGTTTTAAAAGTTGTCAACATTTCTTTTCCTTTACTCTTTAGACCAGCTTGCGCATACCATCATGTGTGCAAACCATACAGGAATCAAATCTCGACGTTTACCCCTATCTTTAAAGCGACCCACATCCAAAAAAGCATCAGTAACGACACAGGGTATAATTGAACAACCAGTTGACATTAATCAATCCAGCTCAAATGACCAAGCGAACAACATTCATGCTACCACTACCACAACCACTGTTACTGCCATTACCATCTCCACTCCCACTCAAACATCAAGTAATACGCAGAACGCCTCGGCAGAAGGCGTCATTGTGCTTGATTCAGATTCAGGGGGAGAATCAGATCAAGAAATGCCCGATTGTGTGGCAGCGCCACCAATTATACCAGGAACAACATATTCCGAGCTAAACCTGATCACTACACAAATCAGTGGTCTCCAAAATGCTTCTCCAGCGCCGTCTAAAAGTCCTTGGCGACCTAGTTCATCAAAACTCACACAAGAATCTGTTAGCAGTTCACAAGGGAGTGACATTGGGCCCGAGCTCTCTGATCTCCAAGAGTATGCCCCAGACTCACAGTGCTATTCACCAACGAGCACGGATCATGCCAATCAATATGCAATAGTCTCAGATGATCCTAGTGGATATACAATGCATGCACAACAATCATCCCGAAACTCCCCCAACCCATTTTTAGCAGACCCTGAAGAAACCCCTATCAGCCCTATTATCAATATACCTTCAATTCTACCTAATCAAGAACATAAAAGTCCACTGCTTAGCACATTCGAGTCAACCTATAACAACGATACACAACCCGACCAAAGATCAGCAGGTTCTTCAATTGACACTCAGTTGATAGAGTGCTCTTATGATTCTGCTCAGAGTGCTGAGGAAACCTTGGAATGTATGATATGTGGCAAACTTCTGGCCCACCTGGATCGTGCTCGTATCGAATACCATATCAACAATTGCATCGATGACAAGGACATTGAACGGCAAGTATTACGGTCCCCCGACATGGCCTCGGCCTTACCCCAGAAGAGAACACTGAATCAAGGTGATATCGCGGGTTCAGAAGTCGATTATTTAGCACGAGTCAAAAAATGTCCAGTTTGTAAGCAGGACTGGCCATCGAAAGGCAAGGCTAAGGCAAATGGGCGTTCAATAGGGCAACCTAAGGCACGACAGAAAGTGGATCATATGAAGCGCTGTGCTCGGGCGCATAAGCGGACAGCAGCAAGTCTGATATATCAGATCAGAATCTTAAAAGAGAACTATGAGCGATCCCTGATCTTAGGCTTGGATGTGAGGTCGGAGTCTACTGAAGAAAATGATGAGGAATCAGAGGCAGACACAGAAGCGTCTGCTAAAACGGCTTCATCGAGGAAAAGGAGGGGCTTAACTACGTCCAAGGTGCAAGTCGTATCTCTCGCTGATACTGCAGATGCGGATTTCAATTCAGATGCCATAATCACTACAGTACATACGCCAACGCTATCAAAGCCAGTCAAAATGTCAAAGGTACAACAAATGGAACATGATCAGCAAGATGATAGCCTTCAAATGGCGTTGGCTTTATCCATGTCCATGCGGTCCTATGGATCCGAGATCGCTTACGGATCAAATGCAGAGTCGCTCTTGGACCCATCAATTACAAACAACATATGGTCTATGTCACCTTTGGTTGCTGAAGATGGAATACGGAATGGGGGCAAGCGCCGAAGGCAGACAACACGCGATAAGCTAGAGACAACCGTTCTTCCATTTGCTGAAGTCCAGCATTTGATTCAAATGAATGTCCATGCACTATTGTTCCCAGAAAATGAAGAAAGTGGCGACCATCAAGCGGAAGGCATAGCTCAATCAGATCATGCGACTAACCATGGGTACATTAGCGGAGAAAACAATCAACTCAAAACTCCACCGTGGAGACCATCCCGCTTTACCGAGGCGACGAAAGTAACCGAGGCGCTCAGTTTATCTCAATCATCAAGATCCGACATGATTTCCTCACCACCGGATTCGCTTTGGAATTTATCACATCTCAAGGATACCCATACTGTGGAGCATTTTGATCTACTTGCCGCGGAGCAATGTAATGTGAGCCAGCATGGAGAGTCTGAAAATAAACAAAACATTGCCCTTGGATCCAAATCGAACTTTGATCGAGAGAAATATATATCTCGGTTTATGAGGCGGTTTCTACAGCGCAGCAACGATTCACACAGTAATTCTTCCATATCCGGGACTCATTCATCAATTGCAGACAATCCTGAAGTTATTTGTAAAAGCTCCGGCTCCCATCCAGGGCAAACAGACGACAAGGTAACATAGTCCGATCCATCATCAATAAAAAAAAAGAAAGAAGGAAAAAGAAAAAGAAAAAGAAAATATCTTACTAGGTTGTATCGTCAAATTTGCTCTGCGTTGATGCGTTGAGCCCTGACGTATCGACATTTTTTATTTTTATTATTTGTGATCAAAGTTCCCTTCACCATTGTGGTCAGCTTCCAGAATGAATAGGATCTCATACAGGAATCAGAGAAAGCTTAGTCAGGAGCCATTCTCGGAAGCTTTGCGACACGAGATCGTTGATCATCTTGAAACCATGTGTCAACAAATACAACAAGCTAAACTTGTTGCTTACGAAAAGGTTGAATTGGCTTTTACAACTTAGATATATGTATTACTCTAGAAGGCGTGTACCTAAATACTCATGATTGCAATGCCACAAACCTGTATTGTAAACGTTCATCCTCTGTCAATCGTAAAAAGATCTTAGATTCCATAAAGAGACATCCAGTTGCTGCTGGCTTGAACACAGTAGAACTACCGGAATCGTTCAGTATCGAAGATGAGGAAGATAGGGGACTAGACACTGAAGCAGAACAGATTCAATATGACACCTGCTCATTGCCCTCATCTCCTCTCCTGCGGTACTCCAGACCGCTGGGCTCCATCTCCTCATCACTAGTTGATAACCATCGTTCATTACCAGACTGTGACTCTTTGCCCAATCAAGACACCTATCACGTAGCAGACATTAGCCGGTGTGACGCTGGCCTAGGAGAAGAGGGTGACATGCACGATAGTATACAGAATGACCAACCTGTGGACAAAAGAATTTGTCTGCAAGGTAATAATAAGGGAGAGGCGCAAAATGAACAAATTTTGGTGCACTCACTATCAAACGTCAGTTCTAAATCGTCCTGCATTGATATAACGCAATCTCCTGCGGCTGCAGTCACTCAGCCGCTTGATCTTGAATTGATATTCTCACCAGAGAAGAACTTTACTATGACAAATAAACATCCAACACCCTCTCGTAGAGCATCCTCGTCAAGCGATATACCCCCGCCATTGGATTTCGCTGAACTTGGGTTCCTGGATACTACGTTTTTAAGAACATCTCCGCCATCGAGGAAATCTGGATCTGATTTGTTATGGGCTGAGCCGCATATGTCTAAACAACGGAATGACGAGAATGAGGGGGTCGACAAAGACGGTGCACGATACCACTGGAGCGGAGCCACTACACCTAAGCGAAAACCCAGGACGCAAGATAGAGACAGCAATGGAAATAACAATGGTAATGAAGAAGAACTTGCTCTAAAGGTGCCTAGACGCCCAAGTAGCGCGTCCAAGATCAGAAGTAGATTACCGATGTCTCTCTCGCAGCAGGATCAACAAAATGTTGAGAATCGACTTACGAGGAACGTTCTGTACGGTCTGCCGCTTTTGAAGACCGCAGCCGCAGTAAATATAAAGAACACGGGCACAAGTCATGATAATGACAAAGATAGTGACGATGCAATGGATATGGAAAACAATATGCAAACTTCACAAAACAGGGCTTCTCCGCCACTGCATCCCGGTAAAGAAATAATGGCTACAAACAATAGAGGCTTACGCACACCTCATAGGACCAGAGGTCGTCCGAGAGCGCCTATACCCAACTCCATGGTCGATCCATTCGTAGCAAATGTCCCAGCAATTACAGCGCCAGCGGCCTCCAAGACACCGAAACGTAAAAAGACTGCAGCCGTTTTACGTGCCGAAGCACTAGCTAAGCAGTCTGCCAGAGCTGTGGCTAATATCAAAGCCCAGAAGCGGATGCCGGATTACAAAAATATGTCTATAGCAAGACTGCGACTGGCAGCGACAACATTCGGGCTCAAGACTGCAAGCAAAAGACTGTTGATCGACCAGTTGACGAGCATCTGGCAGAATATAAATCCTAACCCTAGTCTTAATGAGGATGAATTCGAGGACACGGAAATGGAAAGGGAGGAAGCGATAGGGCTGGAATGTGATCGAATTGACTTGGATAATAGAGTTGCCAATGATTTGGAGCCAAGTGGTAGTTATCAGCACCAACATTTAGATAACAGTCGAGATTATCCATCCCCAATCTTGCCTCCATCTATGAGCGTCTCTAGTATCCCAAATACTCAACGATCGCCGGATACAAACATGGACAGTAGTCAAGACTATGTTGTGGATCAATACTTCCACAAAGATGTTGATGTGGAAGCAGCTGCTAGCGCAGATATTGACAACAGCAGTGTTCGCAATACTACTGTTTCGGTGGTGACAAATTTGCCTCCTCGTAGAAATGATGTTGGCGATGAAGGCACAGAAGTTGATGAAGAGGATGAACCTCTGAAGAATAACTCCAGGAACACTGGCCTTCCAAAAGCTGATCTGGAACCTACCACAGGCTCCCTTTTGGAGCATCAAATTTTTGAATTCTTGAACAAAACAGCTCACTTCCGGAAATTATTTCTTACATACAAGGTACGATTGTGTTTGTTTCGATTTGGATTTCTCAAAAACTTTTCTCATTAAGTAAACTGTTTATGCTCTCTTTTTTTTTTTTTTTTTTTTTTTTTTTTTTTCTGTAGCCTTTGGATCTCGAGCAAGTATGGGAAGGATGCCAAGAGTCTGATATCCAATGTACACGACAGCAATTACGTCAGTTCATGGACCGACAGGGGATTGTATGTATCGTACCCGCGCATTCAACACTTGGTAGTTGGCGAAAGACACGCGCCAACAAGCGAAAACGTGTAGTGAAATAGCCTTCCTCTCTTTTTATTGTAGTCACAGTTATTATTTCTAATCATTCCCGATAATTAAAATCGACTACTAATCACCTGTATCAGTGCGAGGAGAAGGAAGTGAGTGGGTTCGACAAAGTTAAGCGGGCACAATGTGACATCTATAGTGACGAGCACAAAGTACAGGATAAAGTACAAGAATGTTAGAGTCTACTCTAGCCAGCCAAGATCGATTAGATTCGATACTATGGGACTTCGGTATTGTGATTAGCTTACCCTAAAAGACCGCGGCCACCCCAGCCTTGCTTCGGCACCAGAATCAGTGAGTGCAATTCAGTGGACACTCCTCGAAGTACCCTGACTATAATGGGTTTCTATGGAGAACGAACAAAGATTCAGTGGAGGGAAAGGAGGAAGTGAGGTCGTAGATCTTTAATACAAAACTGGTCGTGATCGGGTCCCCTATTATTTTACAATACAGCGTTGGTGTTTGTTGAAGAATATTCATTATCCTTACATTTTCTCGTGACTGAACATGCTCACTTAATGAGGCCATGATGTTAGAGGTTTTGATATTGATAGTTCCGAATGCCACGATCCGATCACCTTGCATGAGACCCTGTGCCATAAGTGAATAAAAATAAATTAATATGATTTTTTTTTACAAAAAAAAAAAAAAAAAAAAAAAAGATATTTCTGATAGCTTACAGCATCTTTAGCAGGAGAATCTGGCGCTACTGCATTCACACGCGCGAATGGAATCAAGGACTCCTCGTTGCTATCCTGTTTTGTTCCAGTTCGTTTGTCAGCGACAGATGTTGATGCTGACTGTGTATTAGCCATATTGCTCGAACGTTGCTTCTCAGCGAGAGCTTCTGCGTGGACAGCATGAAGAGCTTCTTCAATCTTGTCCATAATAGCTTTGTGGTCGTTCTTTAGCCCTGTGTATTATTTTTTTTTTTTTTTTTTGACGGTTTAGGATCATTAAAAAAAAAGAAAGAGATATTTGATTCCAACGCTGCAAAAAAATAAAAAATAAAAATAAAAAGCTGACATCAATGAAATAAATAGATTATCGTACTGACGATGTTAGAACGTGCTGTTGTGACCAACACCAGATCAATATCCGAGCGCGGGAAACCGTTGTTATCGACCAACTTTTCATTCATGCCCACTTTTTGCTAAAGAAAAATAAAAAAAAAAAAAAACAGAGAAAGAGAGAAAGAGAGAAAGAAAGCATAAGTGAGCGTGTGAGTATTTGATTGCCTTGGTTATCTGGATGATGGATATACAATCTCTAGGTGATGTCCCCGTTTCGGTTTTACCGATTGAAGCTCCTCTTGTGCCTTTCTGATCTCGGCTTCAATATCGTCTTTCTGCTTGATTAACTCCTGTGCCTTTTTCATGGCTTCTGACTGTGTGTTATCCATGGTTTATCTTTGTTTGCTGCAACTTTCTTTGGAATGAAGTAGAATAAAAAGATAAAATTATATTCGTCGTGACTCGATCTTTAATATTGGTGGCCAAAAAAAAAGTGTGACATGTAACTTATTTGAAATGTATTTTTTTTATTTTTTACATTCATTCAGAACGGTGAGAAAAAAGTCAACATTGTAAATAGCATCTCACCGCGAAGGAGTGTATGCTTGCATAAAACACTAAAAAAAAAAAAAAAAAAAAAAAAAAGACTAGGTAGACAATGTGAAGGTAACGGAGGAGTGAGATGAGAGATGAGAGATGAGAGATGAGATGAAATGAGACAGGACAAAGTCAGGTAAAGTGAAAGACCAAATGGAAAACGAATGCTAGCAAAACAATTAAAATGACAAGAAAAAGGCATTATATATTTATGCAAGTGTCAAGCTAACAAGGTTGGCATGGGTGTTGATGACCTATCGGAGAGTCGATGAGCAATAATAGTAATAATAATGTTAGTTGGTGTAACTCAACACTTCACTTTTGGTTAACATACAAGACAAGACTTTGGTAAATACATACATCAATGGCCTGTCCAACCTCGACTCTCCTGCGGGCTGCAATGATCCAATCTTTGGCCAAACGCTTGCCCCAACCTTTGAGTTGATTTAATTCACGCACTGCCTGCTCCAAATCGTTCTCTTGAAGGTAGTACTCTGTGCGAGCAAGAACTGCTTCAACATCATTTCCTGGGACCAGTCCGTGCTTCTTAAACATGAGCTTGGACAAAACAACACTCATTCCATGAGCAAGAACTCCCCCATCATCAGGGACCAAGCTAGCCTGGCGAACCTTGTTTGCAACATACTCGAATCGGTCTACTAATTCTGGGACAGAGTCCACTCCATGCGCAGCAACTGAATCTGGAATAGCAGCCAACACAGCTTTCAAAACTTCAGCATCTTTTTCTTCCTCTGCCAATCTTTTCAAACGTGCCAATTCGCGATCAAAGGGACGGCGTTCACCAGCTTCATACGCCTTTTCCAATGCTTTAATACCGCACCAAAGTTGATGTGTGCGTGCAGACTGTTGCAAAAACTGGGCATTGTCAATTCCCTGGCGCTCCAGAGTTCTAAGGCGCAAGTTGATCTGGTCCAAACGAGCCAAGCGACCACCTCGCTCATTCTCGACTCTGACTTTGACCTCGCGAACCCAGCGGCGCTGCATTTCTGTCGCATACTTTAGAAGCTCCTGTTTTTGTTCCTCCTTGAGAATATCCTGCTGGACCTTGAGCTCATGCTCAATTGCTTTCTGTTTTTCCTCCTCAAAAGCCGCAGCCAGCTCCTTCTTCAATTGCGAAAGCTCACCCTCATGCTCCGATTCTTTTTCCGTCATCAATTTGTTGTACTTCTCGGTGACCTCAGCCAAAACAGTTGCAGCCTGGGCTTCACCCTCAACCTTTAATGCCTCAACGCGTTCACTCAAGTGCTTCAACTCCGCGTTAGCCTTCTCGAAAACCTGGTGACCCTGCTCAGGGATCCCAGTCTCGTTCAAGATGGCGACCAATTGATGCAAGGTAGTGTTAAGGTTTGTCATGATAGGCTCCTCTGATTCAATTGTTGCAACCTTGATTAGCTTCTTAGGAGGTTCTGGGGAAGCAACAACATCCTCCTTCTTCTCAGTCACCTTCTCTACAATCTTGTCCTTAACCTCCACAATCTTATCTTTGACTTCCTCAACTTTTTCTACAACCTTAGCCTCAGCAGCCTTAAGGGAGTTGAGCGGTTGTGCAGCCTTACCAGGAGCAGCGCCAGGCAGAAAGGTAGGTGGAGGGACTTCGGAAGGGACATATTCGGAACGAACAGCAGGAACGGCGGGCCTGGGTTGCTCAAGCTCTTTGACCTTCTTTGCCAAGGTACTGGCAGTTTTATCAACCTTCTCTGGTGCTGGAGTGGTGGTTCCATTAATCAGATCTGAGGTTTTACGATAAGCTGTCTTACCAAGGTCAACGGCCTTCTCAGCTACATGAGAAGCACCCTCAATGTACTTTTCGAAATCCTTGTTATCCTTGATCGCCTCCAATTGATCCATCGAGTGAGCGAAATATGGCACATTATCCTCCAAAAGTGAGCGGAACCCCGGGTCATCAAACGAGTGCTTGACAACCCCTGCGACACCACCGCCCACCAAGGTGAGTGTGATTAAAGCCTTAGTGCGGAAGCGAAGACCTTTTTTGGCAGTTGAAACAGTAGCAGCAGCAGCAGCCTCAGGCATGGTCAATTTGGCATCAGTGGAGTTGAAGCGCTACGTTAAAAAAAAAAAAAAAAAAAAAAAAAAAAAAACGAGGGTGAGATACAACATGTCAATACATGTGTCTACGAAGCGAATGGAACCAAACATCTGTATTTGCTTTACTCTGTACCTGAGCCAAAGCGCGGTAATGAGTAGGGCACATGGGGAAAGCTGCCCTGGCGCTGTGTTTTGCGCTGGCAATAGCCAGTCGGTTGACATTCAACATTCTATATGGATTTTTCTTTCTACAGAGTGTAATTCGAGAGGGGATGAGTGGGATGAGTTGAGTGTGTCTACAACTGTTTAGTTGGTCTGTCCATCTTGTTGATCAGATAAATCATGCATGCGCGTGTCTTTAACCATGTCTTATGGTACCTGAAGAAAATAAGAAAAAGAAGGGAAAAAGAAAAGGAGAAGGTATAGTTTCGGCCAGTACCCTACACTGTTCAATTAGGATCCAAGGCCAAAGAGAATAAGGATTTATAAAGGCAAAGAAGAAAGAGAGGGGGGAGAAGGATTGCAAAATTGACAGTGGCACCTTTGACCCAGTTAGAGAGTTAGAGATCCTCGGAAGCAAAAAAACAGGACTGATCTTGTTCCTCGCGAAAGTGAACCGTTGTCTGGAAATAAGCATTTTGACGTATTTTCAGATACAATTCTACATTATTTTTGAGTTTAAGACGCCCTGACATTCTGACAGCACAATATTAAAGAGTATATTTAACATTAATTTGCTCTTGCTCTCTTGCTTTCTCTCTTTTTGTTTACTTCATTCTTCCCTTGCTTCTTAACTTGCACTCAGACTCCTTCCTCCTCTTTTTCTTTCACATCTTTATCGCTGAAGCATGGAGAAGGCAGTCATTGGGGCTACAAAGCCCAAGTGCATGTACCCAAAGCGGAAATACCTCGACAGTATGTGACATGTGCTTTCTCAATGCTCTCTGCTACCAGTTCAAGCAATGCAACTCTGAGAATACAATCGTTTATGCGCTGATTCTTTTTTCTTTTTCTTTTTCTTTTTCTTTTTTTTTTCCCTCTGAACAATATCTCTCTTTAGCACTGCTGTTCGGGGCGTCATCCTCCATGCACAACATCATGCTAATAATGAACGCGCTCCAGCCAAGATTGGCGAGCAACGTCTGGACTGTATGTTACTCTTTGCGAGTCATTGCTCTACTTATTAAACTATGTCTTCACCCGAACTGGCTATCTAATATACTAAAAAAATACTGTCTCTCCCCATGCTGATAGACGTCGTTTAAATCTCTACTGGTTGTTCATTTACTCGCTCGATCAGAGGCAGGAAATGAAGTCTTGAGTTTTTGTGCTTCGCAGCGTGGTATTCTTTCTGCTGCGTATAAAGGCGGTGCAAACAGTAAGTCCTCTTATTTCATCCTGATTTACCATTCTCCAATCCATGAAGGCCGAACAGATAAAGCATTCCCAAGGACGAAGAGCTACTCATTCATGTTTTACATGTATTGTGTCATACTAGGTGGATACACAGCTACCATTAGGACCTATGCAGCGTACCTTATTGAGAAGGTGCATGCATATCGTGAGCTGCAGCGAGATCCGGTCAGAACAGGAGTCCAAGGCCGAGATGGATACCTTCGTACACTGCCTCTAAATAAGGGTTTGCTACACCATGTCTCTGCACTTCAAAAGCAGATATCAGCCCTCTTAGCATGCAAGGTTAGGTTTGCTCAAGCTCGAAATACCCACCATTATTGGCAGTCGAAAACACCGATATTTATATACACTTTTATCGATTTAATCAACAGTTCTATGTCGACGAATTGAGCAACGAAGTGACAATTGGTGCATTTGCACTGCTTGTCCAAGATTTATTACGACTCTTTCAAGCTATGAACGAAGGCGTCATCAACATCCTCCGTATGTTTCTTTAATGCCAAAACCTGTCATTCAAATTTATCATGAATGGGCATGATGTACCCACCACTGAATGTACCGTTCGCGTTTCTTATCGTAGAACATTACTTTGAGATGACTAAGGATCAAGCGAGGCTTGGGCTGGCGATCTACAAAACTTTTGCAGAGCAAACCACAAAATGTATGGAGTACTTCAGCGTTGCCAAGCGCATGGAAGCTGTGATTCACATTACTATTCCTCAGCTCAAACATGTGAGTTTTTTCTGGAGTCATTAAATGAACGGATAATTGCGAGTATAACACTCGATTGTCTAATCAGCTTAACATATCCCTGATATAAATACAGGCACCACTGTCACTCGTCAAGACACTGGAGGAATACCTCAACAGCCCAGACTTTGAAGAGGGCCAAAAATCTACACTATCAAAATCAAACAATCTATCCTCTTCAACTGCAAAATCTCCCCCTACAAAACCGTCAACACCTTCATCTAACAACAAGTTTGCAGGGAATGGTATGTATCTTTAAACAGAATGATTGCAATCGAAACGCTTGCGTTGACTATCTAGGCCATTTAGACATCCTAATACTAAATGTGCAACAAAATATTTCTTTTCGTGCTATAGATGATGATACATGGTCACCCAAGAAAACAAAAGAGGAATCTAAACAGACCAACCCCATGAAGGATATGATCGACTTTTTCTCTAGTATTGAGAATGAAGAAACGACTATTCAACAGAATCCCAATACATTCCAAGCGCAGATGTTGACTGGAGGCAATGATTTCCAGCAATTTCAGCTCCAGCTTCAGCTTGAACAGCAACAACAAATGCTTCAGATACAGCAGATGCAGCAGATGCAGCAGATGCAGCAGATGCAGACACAGCAAAATATGATGCTCGGAAACAACTTTACTGGTATGAGTAGCTCTCAGTCCTTCCAACCGGATGTATTGGCAGCTCAACCGACAGGCTTCAGCACAAATCCATTTTCAATGGGCCAACAACACTCCAACATGTTCCAAATTAGCAATGGCAATGGTAATGGTAATGTAATGGGTATGATGAGTAGCATGCATGACATGAATAATATCGCTCCGCAGAGCACAGGAAACCCTTTCCGGACAGGATCTGCAGCAATGAGTGGCTCGTTCCCAACACCGTCGCTCCCAACGATGACTGGAGCGGCGCAATTCAACACAATGCCCAACTTGTCTTCACAGGCAATGGGAAGCACAAATCCTTTTGCGCCATCTATAAACCCTCTCAACCCTTTCTCGCCCAATTTTGGTAACGTGCAGAATCAATCTTCAGACATGATGAGTGTGAACGGCGGAAATCTGAATAGTCTGAACATGATGACTGCCCAACCTACAGGAGTTAACGGAAATCCCTGGGCTATGCAGCAACAGCAACAGCAACAGCAACAGCAACAGCAAACACCGTTTGGGCAATTCTAGTTTATGGACCACAATATTATTATTATTAATGAACTTTTATGATGTTAATGCAAGTCAACTCTAATGTCTTTGAAGAGTAAATAATCATGTTTTGCCTCATGACGGTATGCTCCAAAAAATTCTATTTATTTAATCTTAAGATTGCAGGGAGAAAAGGTGTATGTTTTGAGTCCTATTTGTTGTCAAATTAATGGCTTTGGTGGCAATCATAATTGTACATTGCCTAGTTTGCTTGGTCGCGCCGCAAATGGTTGATATCCACCAATTAATGTTTAAAACAAGATATTATACAGATATTGAGCTTTGAATCGCACAAAAAATGAGAGTATATACATAAATTGTCCTCGTCATTTGGTCATGCACATATTCTAAAAACATATAATTATTGAATTGATTTGGTCGGCTCAGAATTTTGAATAATCTTAAATGAGTTGGTGGCCAAAATCAGCCACCGATTCAATACACAAATCCCATTCAATGTGACGCGCTTTTTCTGGGCCAATTCAATCAATATATTTTTACAATATGTGCATGACCAAATGACGAGGACAATACATGTACTCACCTCAGAGCCATTGCGCTTCTTGCTTTTCGCAAGCTCTCGATACAGCGCGATCGGCCATTGAAATTTTTTTACCCACTGAAGGGTTGCATTGGCTATGTTCTGGCCAGCAACATGGTCACAATCGTGTTGAAAACCTTCCCCATGTTGTGGACTTGTGCAGTTTAGGCAAATGGCAGATTAACCTTTTCCCTCCGCTCTTTTATGACAAGTGCAGCAAAGATTGATGTCCTGGACTCGTCCACATGACAGACAGACATTCCCTCGCCCGCGACCAAGGTATAGAAGTAATTTGAATGCTGGTTAACAAATTGGGCCAAAAGAAGAAAAAAAAAAAAAAAAAAAAAAAAAAAACAAGACATTACTTGGTTATTCAGGGTCTAGGTAAACTTTGTGGCCTGCCATCCTTGAAGCCTTATTTCGTACGGCTTTCTTTGTACTCAGTTTTTGAGCCGTCTTCGACTTTTTCAATTCTCCTTGATCAGCAATCTTTCGTATCTTGTTTGGGTCATCTTTATCTTCTGAAATGAACTTTCCGCTTCTCCGATTTGGAAACCGGTACAGGCTTTTGGACTTGAGTTAATTTTGGGGCATTGAAATCTCTTGACACAAATTTGCTACCAGAAGTCCGAAAGATTTTAGTCTTTAAAGGCATGCTAGTTACTAACGTCGATGTATTATCAGTTGTCGTGACCTCATTCGTAGTGCTTGCAGTTATAGCTTCATTCGTCTCATTCCTTGCTTTCGAATCCCGCCATGATACTATCAACCTCATCATTGCTACCTAACTCATCCTTAGCCGGATCTTCATGTCTTGTAAGGAAAATACCTGTGGAATGCTTGAAATCCTCTGGGCATGCCTCAAAAGATTCGCAACCCTGGAATAGCACTTTGTACGGGTCGTCAACGTTTTTACACTCTTACTACAGTCAAATTTTTGGAAAATGAGTGATTTGTATACTCATCCTTTGTTACAATAACTGCCACAACCCATTGATGTCGATTGACACCAAGCGTTTGCAGTATATCATCTACCTTGAACCCTGTATAGGTATATCCTCTTGGGCTCTTTCTTAGGGGGGCTCTAGACTGTAATACAGTAAGTCAGAGCCAGCAGATACAACAACAACCATACCGGGATTCAGCTCAGCTTTGCGGCCAATACAAATGTCAACTTCTCCCTGGCAGCAGCAAGCAGCCCATCCTCTCGAGTTCTAAAGGGAGGTCCAACTTAACATCCGGATAGATTATTCTTGCTGCAAACCAACTGTTCTTTGTGTATCGATTTAGTCGAAGAAACTTGCGTTTTCGGATTCTTTGATTCAGATTGCCGCCTCCGGCCCCAACAAATGAAGGGTCTTTGAGAGGAGTCCTTGAATATTTGCTTGTCTTTTTGGTTGCGCTCCATCCTTACATTTCTTGCCTTTATCTTTTGGATTGTGGACGAGCTATCGAAACGTAAAACTGTCTCTTGGTATCCTGGGAGAGTGTCTCGGGGAGTTCCTTGTGAACCCTGCTAGCCATGGTTTGGAGTACCAGAGGATGTTTCTCATTTTGAGGCCAAAGAAAGCTCGCAAAAGCGCGCTACGTATCAAACTGCACCTCATATTATCAGAAAAAAAATCAGAGTGTCAGAACAAGATGTGGATACACACATCACACCCATGGGGATATTTATTGAAGTTAAAAAACGATATCAAAAACATAATTTGTTTTGATAATAATGGGGACCCATAAAGCCATGTGAGTTTTATTTTACATATCAATAACATAACTACACGTGTAAATGTGCTCAATGCAACGTCTTTTGACTATTTTAGAAGCTATTCTAAAATATTTGTAACAAATGAATTGTACCGCGACCAATTGAAATATGTGTTATGTGTTCACGTGATCCTCGTCTAGGCCAAGCATCACAGCCCGCAATGTAATAAAGCAGCAATATGGCACACATTTTCTTCTCTTTTTTCCAAAACCAACATTCTTAATTCTTTCATTTCAACAGCCACACGCATTCATGTCATCTCCAGGCAAGGACTTCAACTCGGAGGGCGATGTTCGTCCTCCTTCTGACCTCAATGTTCTCCCTGACTCTGAGACGCCTGCCACTCTAAATGTTGTGTCGCCCGCGACTGAAGTGGCGGCTTCGAAGAAGCCTCCAGGATCACCACAAGTAACGGCGGAGGATTCGTTCCATGAAGACGCAGGCAACCTCGAACTGCACTCTAGTGTCGCTCAACCAGGCGCGACTACGAATGATAATGCTCCCGCCGATACACAACAATCGAACGGAAGTGCAACAGTTGTCCCTGTTGCCCCTGTTGCCCCTCTTGCCTCTGTTGCCTCTGTTGCCCCAATTACCCAAACAACAACTACCGCCCCAGCAACAGCAGAAGTGCCTACAGATGGTAATATAACGACGCCTGCTGCTTCTGAGAGAGAAGCCAAGCTCGCTATCTTGACTGAGGCTTTTCCAACAGTGGAGAAGGAGGTTTGTGAGTTTGTGTTGGAGAGCCACCGTGGGAATGTTGAAGCAAGCATCAATGCTCTTCTTGAGATCTCCGACCCCGAGTTTCGGCCAGAGCCACAACAAGCTGTTGTGCCCCCACATCTCGCTCCTGCTCCAACTTCTAACGCAACTGTCTCAAATGTTCCCCCGGCGTTGCCTCGCCGTCAAACCCATGATAGTTTGACCCAGGGTGTAGACAATTTAAGTCTTGGACAGAATCAGAATCAGAATCAGAACAGACCACAGGCAGAACTTGATGTAAGTTCTTTATTATTATTATTATTATTATTATTATTTTTTTTTTTTTTTTTTTTTTTAAAATTCAAATGATACAAATGAATCCTACTAATTTTTTTTATTTTTTATTTTTTTCCTTCCTTATGCAATGGAATTTACGGTTATATCGAAACAGCCTATTTTCTTGGCATCAACATCCACCTCCGAGCAGCAATTGCGCGCCGACGAAGACTATGCTCGTACTTTGGCAGCAATGGAAGAATATAGAGGTAAAGCACCATAAAGATTTCTTACACAACAACACCATTACTGACCATCCGGCGCTATGATTTGTACCAATGACGCAAAGGACGTGACCAATGCAAAATAGACTGCGATATACGTGAATGTTATCACGTCACACTGCCTTTATTATAACTGCTTTAAAAAAAAAAAAAAAAAAAAAAAAGCTTGGCTCTTTTTAATTTTTACTTTTTCTTGGCATCTCTTGTAGCTCGCGAAAGGCAGAATGTTCATAATCAACAGGGCCAACAGCAAAATCATCAAGAGCAGGAGGGACCATCATTCACTCAAGAGTTTAAAGAACTCATGGATGGTATGTGGGATCATAATTCATTCTAATTCACTTCTTTTTACCGTCATTGGCATTATTGACATTATTGACATTACTTATGTAAACTTTTTTTTTATTTGATTTGATTTGTACTGGACACCTTGTTTTAAAAACACAGAGGAACTTCCCAAGATTAAAGAGCGGTTTAATGTGGCTGCAGACAGTAAGTTGGAAGAGACAGTGGTAAAATGTTTGAAATTTTGTTGTGAAAGAGCTTAAACTTACTCTTTTTTCAACTTCTTGCGATATAGCTACCAAGAAAAAGGTCACTGAATGGTACAACCAATTCAAGGCATCCAGAGCTGAGGCAGCTCAGAGAAACAATCAACATCAAAATCAGCAGCAGGATAGTGAACACTGGCTAAGGCATGACGATGCGAACCCAACTCGATACGAGTCCCGTCTAGACGATGACGCACCTCTTGGTGAGTTTTTTTATGTTCCTATTTGGATTTGTATAATATACTGTTTGCAACAACAATAGTACCAAAGCAAATCTTTATTTGTAACGCATGAAACACCATTTCATTTTTTTTTTTTTTTTTTTTTTTTGCCGCTAGCTCACAACAGGACGACTCCTCCTTTGAGTGGCAGCGGCTCCACTCCCCCTCTTCCAGCTAGACCTTACGATATCAATAGCCAACCATTAGCGTCTGAGGCGACGGAGCCTGTTTCGAATTCAACAAATACTCGCCGTACCACTCTTGAGGATGGTAAGTTAAAAACAATAATGATGATAAGAATAGAGTCATACCCTATGACAAAGGCTATATCCGCTACATCCAAAAGGCTGATGCCAAGAATCTCTTCTTTTATAGAACTTGACACTGCAATGAATACCCAAACGACCCCAAGACGACTTTAAAAAAAAAGAAAAAAAAAAAAAATGAATGTATATATTGCTATATTTCATCCTTTTCTAGGTTTCTGATCCATAAAACTCAATATATAATTAAAAGATCTGTTGTCGAACATGTTAATGAGTCTACTATGTGGCGGTGCTATTTTTAGCTGCACGTGCCAATGACATGCAAAATAAATACCAAAAGGGCAACTTTTATTTTTTTCAATTGGTGTGTTGTGAGTCGGCTGTGTTTGGACATTATGCGGGAAAAATAAACATGTACACTGTTTTAAACAGAATTGAAAACCATATTTTCTCGCCAAGCTATTCCAAGGCACTCACATAGTGATGTTCATTCAAGTTGAACTCTCTAGTTCAGGCATCAACAAAGAGAGATGAAATTTTGGTGAACAAGGGTTTACAGGATTGTCAAACTACTTGAGCAAATGTGTCTCACCTTATTACTGCATCGCCATTCTCGTGGAATGATTCCGGTTCATTTCATCTTTTTTTTTATGCCAAACACAAACACAAACACAAACACAAGAAACAAATCAAAAATAGTCCCTCCAAGAGAGATTAGACCATCGTCATCAGAACGACGCTTCACCCCTTGTTTTTCTACTCTTTCAGAGTCTACAGGTCAACTCTTGTTGGTCCAGCCCCTACCAATCCAGCTCCGCTCTTCCTTCCTTTCTTCCCTTGTCATCTTTCTTTTTCTACATTCATCTCAAAACGGTTGTCTTATTTCTTCCTAATCCTCATCCCTTCCTTTTTCTTTTTTTTTTTTTTTTTTTTTTCTTCACACATTCACTTTTGAATCTCTCTTTATTTTACTTCTTTCTTTTTTTTGTTTAATCCCGAACACTCCAAGCACGGCTTGATATCGGGCTCCTTCAGGAACAAGCTCAGAACACAGCAAAGACAGGAAAAAGAAAAGCTCTCTCTTCTACCATGGCTCACTATATGCCACTGCAGGATTTAAACGTACCGCCAGAGCAGCGGCACGGATACGCTAATCCTGCATACCCTGCAGGGCCTGGCCATGGAGGCACAACACCTGGGCTTCATCATACTGTACCTGTACCCTATCATTCTTCAAACTTGGAGACGCCATTCTTACCTCATACCGCCATTCCTATGCCTGGACAACTGCCACATCAATCCACAATCCGATATGGTGAAGTGCCTGAACGCCAAGAGCGCCGCTACAAGACTAAAAAGAATGTGCAGCTCACGGATGGAAACCTGATTTTGGATTGTCCGGTTCCTACACACTATCTCCAACATCAACGTCAGCAGAAAGGAGAAGAGTGGGAATTTATGAGATACAGCGCTGTTACATGCGATCCTAATGAGTTTAAAAACGAAAACTATACCCTTCGCCCTGCAATGTGGAATCGTGAAACAGAATTGTTTATTGTAGTGACCATGTATAACGTAAGCTTATACTACAAAATGAATTATGACAATATTCAAGAAGATTTCCTTTCCTTTTCTTTTTCTTTTTCTTTTTTTTTTTTTTTTTTTTTTTTTTTAAAAAAAAAAAAACTAATCACAATGATATTTGGTTTTTTGATGTACATTCGGCCCTATAGGAAGATGCAAATCTATTTGCACAAACTATGCATGGAATCATCAAAAACATTCGCCACCTGGTATCAAGGACAAACTCCAAGACCTGGGGTGAAGGCGCTTGGGAAAAGGTTGTAGTCTGTATTGTCGCTGATGGTCGCAAGAAATGTAACGAAAAAGTTTACAACTATTTGTCGGCAATGGGTGTCTATCAGGAGGGTATTGCCAAACGTGAAGTTAATGGAAAGGAAGTCGAAGCACATATCTTTGAGGTAAATGGCAGCAAACTGTTTTAAGATAGCTGTTATTATCCATATTTTATTTTCCGTAGAACCAAAGGGCCCTCGACTAAGACAAAAAAGACCATCTGTTTGTATAAAAATAGTATACCACACAGGTGACAATCGATCCAAGCATGAAGATTGTCGAGTCCAAGACAAGTGATTATGCGCCTGTGCAGATTATGTTCTGTCTTAAAGAGAAAAATGCAAAAAAACTCAACTCCCATCGCTGGTTTTTCAATGCATTTGGCCCAGTCATCAACCCGCGTGTCTGTGTTTTGTTGGATGTGGGAACTCGACCAGGACCGACTTCAATATATCAACTCTGGAAAGTATTCGACCTTAATTCAAATGTGGCTGGAGCGTGTGGGGAAATCAAGCCTGTCAAGGGTCCCGCTGCCAAGAACTTACTGAATCCACTAGTGGCAGCTCAAAACTTTGAGTATAAAATGGTACAACTCGGCTTTTTATTTGTGTGTGTGTTTAGCCTTTATATCTTGATTAAGATGATGCAATTGACAACATATTATTGCATTCTTTCTCTTCTCCCTTAAGAACAACATTCTCGACAAACCATTAGAATCAGTCATTGGATATATTCAGGTACTTCCTGGAGCTTTCTCAGCCTATAGGTACAAGGCTCTCCTGGCTCCACCGGAGACTCCCAACGAAGGGCCTCTTGTCAGCTACTTTAAAGGCGAGAAACCATCTGCAGATTCTGGAATCTTTGATGCAAATATGTACCTTGCCGAGGATCGAATCCTCTGTTTTGAGTTGGTAGCCAAAGCAAACTATGCATGGACACTACGATACGTTAAATCTGCATGGGCAGAGACCGACGTCCCCGATACTGTTCCTGAGTTGATTAGTCAGCGCCGTCGATGGCTGAACGGAACATTTTTTGTGGCATTGTTTTCGATTTTTCACTTTACAAAGATTTACAGGAGTGATCATGCGGCCTGGAGAAAAGTTTTATTTAATTTGCAGCTTGTATATAACGTCCTGAGCATCACATTCAGCTGGTTTGCGATTGTAAGTCCTGTAATTGATTCTTTAAAAAAGTGGACCATGATATTAAAAGTAAATCTTGATATAAAACACCATTACTTGCATTTTTACTAACAACAGCTCTTTCTTTTTTTCTTCAAACAATAGGCCAATATCTACTTAACCTTTTACATCCTATCCAACTCACTTACCGTGCCCGAAAACAGCCCATTTGGTGATAATGGTGTAGCCAAGGGGCTGTTTGTTTTCCTAAAATACGTCTACGAGTTCTTGGTTATTGCTATGTTTGTTCTGAGTATGGGAAATCGACCCACGGGGTAAGTGATATATGATGATGAATGTTTTTTACTGTTTCTGCTAATTTTTTTTGTTCTGTTTTCCATTTTTAATGCCAATGCTAATGCCGTTGTTGTTATTTGCTATTCTACTTCATGGTTATGCCAGCTCAAAAATCTTGTATACTGGGGCTATGGTTTTTTTCGCTTTCTTGATGATTTATATGACCTTTTGTGCTATCTGGCTCACAAGACTTGGAATCCAGCGTGCGGTAGAAGCAGGGGCAACGAGTTTTTCGGCAATGATGGGAGATTCGACATTTAGGACCGTTATTTTGTCGCTGCTATCAACATATGGATTATATCTCTTTAGTTCGATCATCTACTTTGATCCTTGGCACATGGTGACAAGTTTTGCGCAATATTTATGTATGATGCCGAGGTAAATATATATATATATTACTCTTCTTATGGTTCTTGTAGATGATTTATGGTGATATCCCAATATCAAAAGGATATTTTGCATGACAAAAGAGACTGACATGGCTTTTTTTTTTTTTTTTTTTTTTTTTTTAAATAGCTATGTGAACGTTCTCAATGTTTATGCATTCTGTAACACACACGATGTCAGCTGGGGAACCAAGGGTGATACAATTGAAAAGATGGATCTTGGAGTGGTCAAGGCTTCATCGGATGCCAAGACTGCAGAGGTGACAGTAGCGGTTCCAGTTGAGGAGAAGGATATCAATGAAAATTATCAACTCGCATTGGATTCCCTTCTTGAGCGAGTAGAAGAGGCACCACAGAAGCGTGATGCGAAGACTAAACAGGAGGACTACTACAAGGCATTCCGTACCAGGCTGGTGGTACTGTGGTGCGCTACAAACGCTATTTTAGCAGGGGCGATCACGTATGGAGGAGATGAGAGGTCGGAAGGATATGATGCACGATCCAAGATTTACCTTGGATTTGTGCTGTGGTCAGTAGCTTTCTTATCAGCATTCAGGTTCGTTGGGTGTGTAGTTTACATTGTCTTGCGACTGATCTCTGGCGAACTACGTTGGTGATTAATTGAGATAAAAAAAATAAAAATAAAAAAAAAGCGGGCGTTTCACTTCACTGTCCATCATTCATTAACACAAGAACACAGGAACACAAGACACAATTAGCATAATTTTAAAAGGAGTGTTGTGACGTGCAAAAGAATTTTTTTTTAGTATAAATAAATGCTGAAATCAATCTGAAAGCAACAACTTGTCCCAGATCAATGTAAGTCCTTTTTTTAAAAAAAAAAAAAAAAAAAAATAGTAGTAGTAAATCAAACATTCCCCATTCCAATGTCCCCTTCATCTTACGCAAATAAACTGTGCACACACCGATGGATTCTCTCCATTCCTTCTCGAGAGTGACACAGAGGGTTCTCGTTAATGAGGATCGCACTTACACTGTTTGCAAGAAAAAACAAAACAAAACCACCGTTTGAGGATGTGCTCGCCATTTTATATGGAGCCCGTTTATAGGTATGTGGTTTATAATTGATTCTAATCAACAAAATTCTTTTATTCTTTCATTTAGCTTTTAGATCAAGAATCTACCAGGTTTGCAATGGGTCAAGACATCACCAACGGAGCCTAGACGACTGACGTGGGTGTTGTTACTGAAACTAAAGACTAGTCTTTTTTGTAGGGAATTAATAATCTTTATCAACGAAAATGATAATAAAGAAAGTGAAAAGAGAGTCCTAAGTCCAGGTTCAAATGTCTTCCACCAGTGGATGGTGTGATGTGTCGTGTAAATGCTGTGTGAATATGTGTATTTGTGCAATGTGCAGTTTTTTGCAGAGAAAGTGATCCTAAAGATCCTTTTTTTCCCGTCCTTTCCCTTCCCTTTCCCTAGGACTTTTTTTTTTTTTTTTTTTTTTTTCCTTTTCCTTTTCCTTTCCTTTCTGTTTCACTTTCTTTCCACCAAACTCAACTCCATTCCTCGAGCAAGGCGAAGCTTTTACACACATTCTTAACTTTGCCCACTCCACAAAGGAATTAATCTCTATCCCTCCATTCGCTTCTTTTCATTCACATGGCATTTCGAGGAGCATCCTTTCTGCTCTTTGTTAACTGGCTATGTATCGTCATTTGGCTCACAACTTCATTTGACTCGACTGATGCATCCATCGTTGTGCTTGTTAGTAGTCTCTTCTTTTTTTTTTTCTTTTTTCTTTTTTCTTTTTTCTTTTTTCTTTTTTACATTTGACTTTTCTTGCGACATTGAACTTGTTCTTTTTTTTCCTTTTTCCTTTTTCCTATTTCCTATTTCCTATTCCCTGTAATACGCCTCTTACCATTCATTTATCTTTTTTTTTTTTTAGGCGACCAATGACAGCTATGTTGACAGGACTGCTGCATTTGGACCTCGGATTCCAGAGGAAGGATTGGTCCTAAATCTTATCGCAATCGAAACTTTGGATCAAAATGAGGCAACAACTGCCTGTGTTCCAATTACGGAGGAGAGACGACTGCCTTTAGCCAATATCTCATGGGTTGCTCTGGTTGAACGAGGAGGACGCTGTAGCTTTGTGGACAAGGTCCGTAATATGCAAGCCAGCGGTGCAAAAGCTGTTATCGTTGGTGATAATCAAAAGGATGGTTTGATTACCATGTATGCCCGAGGTAATTTAAAAAAAAAAAAAAAAAAAAAAAAAAAAAGAGGCAAGATGATGGGGAACTCTTTCTTCTAGATGAACAATTTTACAAAAACAAAAATTATAACACGTTCCAACTGATTTTTTTTTAACCTTTTGCAGAAGATACATCGGATGTTTTAATTCCATCTGTCTTCATCACTCAAAATCATTATCGGGAGTTGCGATATTTTGGCATGGAACTTGGCAAAAACTTTTTGGTCAAATTGTTGCCTGATGAGATTGACTGGTAAACCTTTTTCTTTTTCTTTTTTTTGTTACACTTGCTTTTATTTCTCTTTTACTCACCCACATGCATCAAGAAACACGACGCTAACTAAAGAGTCTATTTTCTATTTTCTATTTTCTTTTCTAGGCCTCTGCTCGATGTCATCATCTTTATTATCTTATCACCAGCATTCGTAGTGCTTTTCTTGTTCTTTTTGTGGAAAATGCGTCTTCGTCAACAACGTTTAGCAGATCTAGCTCCACCCGAAATCGTCAGCAATTTGCCTGTCAAGGTCTTCTTCGAATCCAAACTCAAATCCGATGATCCTGTGGAATGTGTGATCTGTCTAGAAGAGTATGCGGATGAAGACGAACTGAGAATATTGCCATGCCGACATGAATACCATGTTGCATGTATTGATAACTGGCTGATGAACCGAAAGAAGTTCGTAAGTAGTTTAAAAAGTTTATGCGCATTCTTGTTGCGGAGATTTTAAGGAGAAAGTAAGGGAGGGAGTTCTCAAGAATTCGGAAAATGCTCAAATAGTTTTGATGCAATAATGCATTGATTTTCCCCCGCTATAGTGCCCAATTTGCAAACGAGATATCTGTGCACCAACAGAGGCAACACCACTGCTTGGATCAAGATCAACAGTCGCAGCAGCAGCAACGGCAACACCCGGTTCAAGAGGAAGAATCAGCGAAACTAATTCATCCACAGCATCTCCATCACCATCATCCTCTTCATCATCATCCTCTTCTTCTTCCTCACCCAGACAGTATCGAGACACAACAAACATGATACAACCAACAGTGGTCGAAACAACACAAAATCAAAACAACACTGATGCAGTGGTCATCCATTTGAACTCTGGCTCTATCAACCAGTAACTCAGGATGCTAAAAAAGTTTAAATCAATTTTCTAGTGCAGAGAATCTACACGTCGAACTTTTGTTTTTTAATTCGCGTGTGAATACAATAGAACTTCCCAACAGCTGTGGATTATCAACAACCATGGTGTTGTACTCATGCTGTTGCTGCTTCCTTTAAACCTAAATACTTTTTTTTTTTTTTTTTTTTTTTTTTTTTTTAATAAGTACTAGCTTTTTTTTACGTCAACGTTGAAATAATAATAATAATAATAATAAAAAAAAAAAATGACGACCAGCGTCCTTGATTACTTAATATGGAAATATGTAAATTGCATCCAATTTAAAGGAATGTATTTTTTTTTTTTCCTTTTTTTTAAAAAACATTTCTTGGCTCAGTAAGTTGGAGAGGAAGGAGATCGGATAGATGGTGACAGTTGACCAGAGTGCAATGGTTGTCTGTGTGGGTTCTTAGTGGGCACAGAAGGTGGGAGTGGACTCCTCGCTCTAGGATCTGATTGCACAGCCATGTCATTGTTCGCGGCCACGGTATTGATATGCATATTTGGATTGCTTTTGCTAGAGACACCAGTACGCGATGCCACCATAATCTGCTCACTGCTCTCGTTAGAGCTGTAAACTTTAGCACGCGTCTTTTGTGAGGATGGTGATGGAGGGTAAGATGATTGCTGTTGTTGTTGGTATGCTTGACTTGGTACGCCACGTGTAGCGACACCAACAATCGGAACAGACTCTGTAAGTTGTGCACGAGATGAGGTGTATGTTTGAGTAGGCGAGCGAGGTGGCATGGGGGATAGTGAGCCGCCTTGTTTAAACATTGGTGATGAAGGGGGCGGGGGCTGCAAGACGGCCTCGCTGCTGCTTAGCTTGGGTGTCCGTGGTACCGGCGTTGGGAGAACAGGTTGCTCAATGTATCTCTCACCCTCATTAGGAGTCATGTATGCTCTGCTGGGTGTGCTTGGGGACCAATGCGTAGGAATGGCTTCATGGACAGGGGGTCGGTAGAGCAGATCGCCAGAAGACATATTCGAGTTGTATCGTGGTGGTTCTGAAACTGGATTGGGTCCCGAATGGATGGCCATACCCGTTTGTGATCCATAGCTCATACTCCTCTGCAATGTACGGTTACCATGATCATCGTACTCCTTGTCCAACAAATCGTCCATATCATACCACTGTGAATTAGGCCCTTCATTTAACTCTGCCTTGTCGCCACGGTTCCTGAAGATTTCTGATGCGTGGACAGCGGGGACCTTGTTGTCCATACGCGAAATGGTAGGATGCTCATTATCGTCTGCAGGAGGATGATTCATATAGGCTCTAGAGGAATTTTTTGCGTCCATGTCAGGTGAAGTTCCACGAGAGGAGGCCGTGTTATTGCCTGTTTTACCGCGACGGATCAGGTTGTTCAACAGGTATGCCCATTCTTCCCAGAATTCGGCTTTGGTAATAAACACAACGGCTACAACGATACCAATGATTGCCAACACCAATTCTGCAGCTGTAAACCAAGGAATGGATGGCAAATTGTGTGCAGCGGCTCTGGCACAGATTGTCTGGGTTTCATCTGATGACCTGCTCTGTGACCCATTCAAGAAAATACATCTTATCCACTCCCGAAGCCATGGGGTCTCTCGTGAGAGACCAGAAAGACGATGTGCATCCACGAAATAGAATAGCCAAAAGACTGTTAATGAGACCATCGTTGTACATAACATGAGAGCAGGACGCCATTGTCCACGTAAAAGACGCTTGGCCTGCATAGTGGAGGTGATCCTCATACGAGCATCAGAAGACAACTGTGAGAGACCAGGATCAATCTTGGATGACATCATCGCCAACTAGGAAATGAGGGAAAAAAAAAAAAAAAAAAAAAAAACAAGGAGAATTGTTTGATGATTAGACAAACTGTTTCTTTTAATTTTTATGCAAGATGAAATATCTTATCTAATGAACGTAATTGATGGATGGAAGTATGAAATTGTCTCACTTCTTTTTGCGCATTGACAAATTATAAAACTTACGTGAATCATTTTTCCGACCGTAACAATGTGACAAAGCATGGCGGGGTAGATATAAACAGCTGTAGGATAGAACAGGTAAGTATTAAGGTTAGCTGTGCTGACCAGACAGCTGAAACCAATACCCGGATACTCTGCCAAGTTCTTGACTGCGACTGGGATAGCAAAGGCCAAAGGCAATGTCCAGCAAAGACCGGTGAACCATCCGTAGTAGGCATCAATCCAGTTGGAACGCCAAACAGCGAGCTATGTTACAAACAAACACAAACACACAAAAAAAAAAAAAAAGGTTAGCCCTGATTCGTTCCTAGGGACTTAAAAAAACATGATTTTCACAAATACTAAAGGGCTGTGTAAAATTAAGATGAACAATGCAGAGGTTTGTTTTGTTTGTTTGTGTTTGTTTGTTGATGTGAATGTGTGTGCGCGTGGAATTTGTATGACACATTAGAAATTGAAAAAGAGAAAAAAAAAGACACACAAGGCGCAACTCTTCACTTTTCTTTAATGTATTGAGGGTGCCACAAGGCGGAGTGTTTATGCAAAAGAGCAGAAAGAAAGAAAGAAAAAAAAGTGCACGAACGGAGCTGAAAAACGGTCTTTTTTTTGGGGGGGCGAGTGCGCATTTGTTATCGCGATAGGATTTCGGTGAGCCTTATTTTATGAAGAAAAAGAACGATAGAAACAAACTGAAGTATAAAATTCTCTCTTGCAGCTTCCTCCCAGAAGAAAAAATAAATAAGGATGGGATTAAATAGAAGCGATAGAGATCAAGGATCATAAAAAAATAAATAATAATAATAATAATAAAAAAAAAGAGGGTCCAGAGCGTGGCAATGACGGTGTTTTTTTTTTTTTTTTTTTTTTTTTTTTGTATAATCATGTAAAACAAACTCCCCGCTTACCATATGCAATTTGTAAATCAAAAGCGAACACCAGAGGGCGCAAGTCTGGGTCAAATAGATAATCAAAACGCCCTGAATGCCACACATTCTGGAATTCTTGGCCGTGGACTGCTCAAAGTCATTGATGCATGCATTCGACACACCAGGCATCACATCAAATGCTGCATACCATAAGGATAATGAGATAGTCAAGAACAAGACCGAGATGTGAGGCTGGGATCGCTTGCCTGGTAAGACCAAGTAGGAGATGGCCATGAAAACAGCAAAGACCAAGGACACCTGTCGGGTGATGTAAGCAGCATGGAGTACATTTTCTACCGTGTTGGGTTCATAAAACGACTCGATGGCGGGGCATTTGATGCAGCAAGGGCCCATGCAGGTCGCAATGTCGAGCATCATTGTATTAGGGATCAGAGGTCCAGGGCATCTGGACATTGTTTGATTACCGGCTCCAGCCGGAGGATTGTTGGTGCCAGTTGGAGTGCCTGTAGGGAGAGAAAAATGGGTGGTCGCGCTGGGAACGACCGCTGCTTTTGTCGATACTGAAGTTGGATTAGCTGCAGTGGGTTTTCCTGCCGTGCTAGTGTCTGGTGCCGCGGCTGTTGCTGATAGGAGTATAGCAAGGGCTAGGATGCTACCTGCCGTCAGCGACTTTAAGAGTCGAACCATTTTTTATTTCAAGGCTAAATGTACAAAAATAAAATATATATGAGGGGAAATGGTGTGAAAAGGTTACAGATAACTGAGCTTTTAAAACTATGAACACGGTAGAGGGATGGAAGGTTGATTGAAATACAATGCGTGAACAAAGCTGAAGGACGCCAAACGCAGAAGGTGTAGAGAGAGAAGGGAAAATTAGGTCTAAAAAGGGATGATCAAAGCGGACAAAATGATATTCGACAAGGGATAAAGTATTAGTATTAAGGATTTTAAGTGTGGAGGGGTAAAGATTAGCATGAGGATGAGGATGAGGGATAAGAGGGGATCATGCAAAGGTATTTGCAAAGCGAAAGGGAATGAGCGATACGGATGTATGGCGAGGACATCAAAGAAAGAGGGAAAAAGAAAAAAAGAAAAAAGAAAAAAAAAAGAAACAGCCAAAGAGGATAAGTACGACAAATGAAAAAAAAGAAGTGTAGAGTGGAGGTCACAATTCTGTCTTTAAAATGAATTTTCACTCACTCTTCTCCACAGGAACATGGACATGTACCTTCACGACGACAAATATACTTTATTTGTTTACATCTTTCCTTTATTTACGCTGTTCATAAATAAATGATTGTAAAACTTGTATCCTTATCCTAATGAGTAGTCTATAGAATGTGGGGTGGAGTAGAGGGGATCAGATCAGAGCGAAAGGTGTAGTTGTCACACATGCTATTTACAAGTTAGACTAGACTATTTTTTCTTTCTTAGACTTGCATTGCATTGCATTCTTTGCTCTTTTTTTTTCCCTGTCCCCTGGTCCTACATATAAAGATGCGAAAAAATGGGATGATTGAACTGGTCTATGCTACATACAGTTGGAAGTACAGTACAAGAAATACAATCAGCCTCTCGTGCTTTTTCGGCTATGAATGGACAGATAAAAAAAAAAAAATCAGTACCTGTAGGAATGGATACCAATGGTTCCCCCCTGGTTGGGACATTGTTGTTATGTATCCATGCACAGTAAACGATTGCTTGTATTCAAAAGAAGTCTCGGAATGCATCTTGAATTAAGTATAAATATATATTTATATTTACTGTTACAGTCATGACCCCTAGTTCTGCTTTGGCATGACCATGCCGATGCCTTCTTCAATTGGATGGATTAGTTGTTAAAAAATACCTCACAAACCTTTGGACACTCGGTTCTTTGTTTTTACAAGCTAAGCTATCACTATTATCACTGCTCCCAAGACTATAGGACGTTGATAAATATATACATACACAACGTCCCTTTTAAAATTAAAAAAGGTGCAAGGGACATGTAAGCATACAGAGACAATGCAGAGGAAAAGCCGAAGAGCCTTTTCGATAGACTTTTATGGGCAAGGATCAGATCATCAGGGCAAAAGGGTTTGGGTTGGCTATTAGTTCGGGCCTGAGCAATGTCATCACCACTTTTTCTTTCGCCCCTTTTTTTTATCACTATTATTATTCCGCTTAAGAAACAACACCAAGCTGGTAACGGATGGCGCTGGACATTTCAAACGACCTCTTTATTTGTTTTTGTTATTTATCATGACCGTTAACCAATGTTGTACAACCGGAACACCAATTCTTTCTGTCAGCCATAATTGGTTTTTTCTTGGCTATACACGTGCGGAATCCTTATTTCAACAACATCTGACGTGTTGGGGTGTTAGTTTAGCGCACGTTTTGTATTTTTCTTGAGGTATACAGGACCATAAGCCTAGATGCGAAAGATACAAAATACAGATAAACAGAACGGGAGTGTAGTTTTTTTTTTTTTTTATATATCGTTTACAGTGGTATTTCGAGGGTGCATCTTGCTCGATCTAACAGCTCTTTTTTTTTTTTTGGGACATTAAAAATAGCGATGGTTTGGTTTATATGGAGGAATAAAGTTTTTGACAGGGTCATTTTACTTTTTTTTTTTTTTTTTTTTTTTTTTTCTCATTGCATCAGAATACAAGTTACTTCAAGGCTGGTTTGGTAAGAATGTACATGTCTATGCACAGACAAATTACCGCCGTTTTCATTCCGAGGCACAGACCATGTCAGAGATGGTCTCCCCAATTCTTCCCTCAACGTACCGAGTCTCCCGCTGGACGACATTAACAATGCCAAAGAGAGAATCCAAACGAAAACCTCGAAAAGATCAAAAGACTACACTTTATTGTTTATACTATTAAAAGAAAATAAAAAGTAAAAAGTAAAAAGTAAAATGTAAAGAGATAGAGAATAGAACGTACTATCAAAACAACATTGACTGGTATTCCTTAACTCACTTGACGGATCTACGCTCTTCCTGCTCTGTTTTCTTCACTGCTCTCTTGCTCTCCTAGATCATGTAACCCCATTGTTTTTCGCGCTTACGGATGAAGCTTGCCAGGCTCATGACCGCTGCAAAAGTTTCTTCGCCTGAAGGGATGATTTCTGTCTCTGGTAATAGAAAACCATAACGTCCTGTGTCCCTGAGCTCGACCCCATAAGAATACTTCACTTGACCTTTTGCATAGGTCCTAGGGAAATTTATACATCATCAGGGGATAAAAATAACACTGAGCATTTTTGACGAACTACGCTTCTCCAAAAAAAAAAAAAAAAAAAAAAAAAAAAAAAAAGCAATAATAACAGCAGCGATAGCGACAGTAACAGCAACTAAATAAAAGAAAGACTTACCAATCAATTGATCCACCACTAGCTTGATAGATGACGTTACATATGCTACCAACAGTATATTTCTTTCCATGCACTGCACGCAGCGCCTTCGTAGCTCCCAATGCTCCTTCCATGATATCCTCCTCATCTCGTGGAACGCTACTGCAATCGCCACCAAAGGGTATCATCCATAG